GACCACACGTTGTCTGGTCGTGTTGCAGGAACACGAGGCCTGGCGTAGCGGACCCAATATTTGACGTTACTCGAATTGCTAACTGGATTATCGCCCCTTGATTTTAAGTCAGTTGAGGCCACTAAAGGTCCCCCCCAAATTAACCACACAGACAGGGAAGAGAAGTACAATAGGTAAAGTAGCAACGGATGGGAACTGCATTTCAAAGTTTCTCACTTTGAGATTCCGCATTGTCTTAGAACTAGGAAATCCCCGCGGTGGCTGGCTTTGGTGGGCTGAGGAGTGGAAATGTGGATCTTTCTCTCTCCCATCACATCTGAAGGCTACCTTTGTTTTAACTTCCACTTGTGTAAAAGTTATGAGGTTGTAGGGGAATTTCAAGCTATTTTTAAAGAGACAGGTAGGTAGGTAGGTAGGTGGGTAGGTAGGTAATTAGAATTAGCGCCTCGCAAGGGAAAGAGGCCTTTCTGTCCTCCAGCGCCGTTCCTCTTCGAAGCCCCTCCCACTCCAACGGCAGGGGGCGGGCTTCCTTCCAGGCCTGTGATGTCTCTGTCTGCAAATGACCTCACAGCCATCTCTCTGCAGAAGGCGCTGCGGAAGCTCTGTAATTGGTGGAATTCTGGTAGGGTAACATTTCCGAAGACAGAAGGTGGGTCCCCTGCCACCGCCCTCATTGCACAATATACATCTCAGAGAACGCTGGCGATTCACTCCCAGGTTGCCTGGGTTTTTAAAAAAAATATGCATATGTGAGAAACGTGATTGCCTCTTCAGCTCCCCAATGTCAGCGGCTGCACCTGAGCGTGATTTCACCAGATGGCGCAGAGCGCTCATCAGGTCAGGAGCGGGGTCTGTGAATGGCAGCAGATTGGCTGCGTCTGGAGGGAAGGCGCACAGTGGGGCGGATGGCCATCAGCGCCCCGGTGTTCCCTCCAGCGGTTCTTGTCGGGATGGAATTGCTCCTCTTCCCCTGGGATGGGAAACATAGAAGTGCCTGCATTGTCCGTAAGGGTAGAGAAGGGAGCATTTTCCCGTCGAGAGCCACGAATCCATCAGTCAATCTCACGATCTCACTGCCGGTGCTATAATTGAGCCAAACCCTCTTTTTTTAAAAAAAAATTTTTTTTAGATTTTTTATTTATTTATTTTTAGAAAAGGAATGGAGGGAGGCGGAGAGAGAGAGAAACATCAATGTGCAGTTGCTAGGGGTCATGGCCTGCAACCCAGGCATGTACCCTGACTGGGAATCGAACCTGCGACACAAGAGCCAAACCTTCTTAAACTGGGCCCCGGTCCTGAGCTTCTCTGAGGCCCGTTCCCTGTTTGTTTGAACAAAGTTGAGGGCTGACCCCCATTAACAGAAACACAGGGGCAAGGCTCATAGGTGCTCACACCCTGCTCATACCCTGCACCCAGTTTGTCCTTGCAGAGCCGTTTCACCCAGACCTGCTGACACACCACGTGGGATGTAACTCAGCGGAGAAAAGAGGGTCGTCCACCGCTGGGCCCTCCCAGTTTCCCTGCCGGGGACGGAGGCCCCTCCACGGTGCAACACTGCACCACGGACCCGACTGGAGTTACCTTTTCGTGTCTGTTTCTCAGAAGGCAGATAGTTAGTAACTAGCAACCTCACATTTTGCACAAAACCCTGCCAGGTGGTCTTCAAACAGCACTGGGCTCTGGCTTTTCAAAAGTCACTGTTTTGTCACTTTACTTTGTGTCTAAGCAGCAGACATTTAACACACGACCAGTGACGACGTTACAGATGAATACCCGCAGCACCCCCTGCTCACGGGGCATTTGCCGCGTGCCTGGTGCTCAGCGTTTTATGCCCATGAATGCTTCTGATCCTCACGACGCCCTGGGGAAGGGTCTGTTTGAACTATTCGCACTTCATAGATAAGGAGATCAAGGCCAAGTTAAGGGAGCCCACTTGCTCAAGGATGCAGAGCTAGAAAGGAGAGAAGTCGTGATTTAGTCCCCGGGCACCAAACTCCAGGGTCCTCGAAAGGCCCCTGGTGGTGGCCTAGCTCAGCAGCGCCCCCACCCAAGGGAACCAGCTGGAGCTGCCGAAATGAAGGCTCACCCGGGCATCCTGTCTGGTTCCAGGCAGGGCGGCCAGCGTCTCCCGGTTCCTTACCAACCCTTCTCCACTCCGCCCCGGGGGACCTCACCTCCTTTCACCGCCCAGCCGAGGCCCGCATAGATCTCTTCCATGTGCTTAACACATGTGTGTACATATCGAAAACACATGTCTAAGACCCTTCTAGAAATACCTGCAGCGGGTCCTGGGGGTTATGAGCAGAAGTAATGTACAGGGTCCGGCACTAATAATCCCCCTTTTTTTATTACAAAGTCTTTTATTACAAAATCATAAGCGTGTAATTCTGTAACATAACAACATCACCCCGAAGCACGCCATATGAATGTTTTAGGTGAAATGTTCAAATTAAAACCATAAATTATTATGCCCACGTCATTACCCTAATGGCCACACTCAAGCAGGCCTCGCTTCTGCCGCACCCCGCATTACGTAGCACAGTGGAAAACACAGAAACGGTGGTGTTCCTGCACTTCCCCTCACGAGAACAGTAACTCTCAGGCGTTTCTCTTGGACACCGAGAGCGCCTGTAGGGGCCTGAGCGCTCTTTTGGCCTCTGCACCTTCGTGCCCTGGGGCCGGAGTCCACATGCCACCTCGTGCTTGCCTCGGGCTCCACGCACAGCTGCTCCGTCTGCACCTCGCCCTGCCCAGCCGGAACGGGGTGTCGAGTCCTGGCCAAGGATCACGAGTTCAATTAGGGATGGTCTTGTTAAAAACAACCGTTAAGGGGGAAGCAGGCCTTGGGTTTTATAGCATGAAACAATTTTAAGCAATAAGCTAATGGTAATTGGGTGCATGCGTTTCGATGTAATTTCAAAGCATTTACCACTTTGAACAAAGAGAAGTTCCTTTGCACCCACATATGGCCAAAGCCGTATCCAGGAAAACGTTTCATCTTACGGTATTCATAAAGTCTTTATGGAGCAAGTCTTACAAGCCTATATGTTTGGACATCGTCGTTAATGAAAGTTGATAAATTGGCATATACAGGGTGGGGCAAATGCAGCTTTGCAGTTGTTCACATGGAAAATAACACAGTAATTAATAAACAGTAGCACAAGGATGAACTGTGTTTCGCACGCTCACGACTGTACCCCGACTTTGCCCACCTGCATCTCACCGACGGGTGCAGCCTGGCCGTGGCGTCGCCCCGGCAGGACTGTGCGGCTGAGGCCTGCCCAGGCCCCCTCTGGGTGCGCTCGCCAGGAAGGGCTCCACCACAGCAGGAGGGGTGATCTATCCTCCGAGGGCCTCAGCGCAGGAGGCCCAGGTGTGGGTGTGCACGGGGCTGCCCCTCCGTCCCAGAGGGAGAGCAAAAACACAAAGAGGTCAGTAACCTCTGCCTGCCCTTTAAAACTCTCCCCTTGTCCAACAACCGAAATTCCCACTGTGGGCTGAGCCTACTGACTCTTAGTCGCGCTGCTCTCTCCACCACCTCTGTATCAGGGCCACGTCCGCGTGTTACCTGCAAACCCCTTCCACAAGGCACCGCACTTGCAGCGCGAATGGGAGGGATCCACTGTTCACTCCTTTTCCCTCCTGGCTGGAGCCCCCTGCCCACCCACCCTTCCCAGCTGGGCCAGGGCTTCCGGAGCATTTACCCCACCCCCACCCCCTAAGTCAGCCGCGTCAGAACCTCCGTGGGCACCGCTGCATGTCGTTTTGTGTGGCTGTAGCATGTACCCTTGGAAGTCACAGGCAGGTGCCACCGAGTCAAGCCCAGGAGTTTATCGAGCTGCTACCGTGTGTTCAGGACTGTCCCGGGTGCTGGGGAGCAGAGAGAGCTGTCAGACACGGTCCCTGCCACTTGAAGCCTGTGATCCCAGTAGGAGGGGAGCGGGTGCCCACGGTGGCCATCCCCTCCAGCAGGATGCGGAGACTGCTGCGGGAGGACTCCCGGGAGGAGGGGGCCGGGAGCTGAGAGCTGGAGATGGAAGAACCCTTCGGTCCGGAGTGGCCGGGTGGCAGGGCGGTCTGGGTGGGGCCTGGGAGCCGGAGTAAGACTTCTGGTCGATGTCGGTGATGGGAGAAGGCCGTTCAGAGCACTCTGTGGGTAGCAGGGCTGTGGGGGTGGCCAGGTGCAACCTCTTAGGTCTCGGTGCTTAGAGGAAAACCAGCTGCTTACCCGAGTCTATCTGTGGTGCCTTAAGGTCAAGGACTGCCTGTTTTTATTCCTTCATTCCTCCCACCAGGCCTGAGACAGTGTGTGTGTGTGTGTGTAGTGATTGAAATGCTTAAATCGTTGCAAATGATATTTTTTGGTATGTTTGCAGCCCCAAGAAACCCCTCACAGTAGTGCTCTCATTGTCCTTCCCGTGACCTTCACATATTACGCCTGCGTGTTTGTGTGCAGAGCGGCCCCTGCTCTGTGGCCCGCGACTCCCCGCCACGCCCCGCCCCGCGGGTGCCTGTGGGTCTCAGGCCGGGGAGGTGCAGGAGGTGCAGGCTAGACGGAGGAAGGGGGGGCGGGTGCCCAGAGGCTGAGCAAGAGAAACCAACCAGCATGCCTGGTGGGGAAGTTACAGACGGCGACAAATCATTTCTGAGTGTTAAAAAAAATATGAATAAACTAAGCCCCTGAGACACTAGGGAAGTTAAGTGATGCAAGTGAGGAGGCACAGGGAAAGAAAGAATTCAAAGAGGAGGATTGTCGAGAAGCTTCCAAATGAGTCAGGTTAGGTTCGTAGGCTAGACCACACGAAAACTACTTGCTCAATGTTGGCATTTAGTGTTGACAGCTAATGTGGGGATGTGTGGGTCTCTTTCTGTTTCATGCCAAACTGAAGATGACGCCCGAGCCAGCCCCCTCCCCCACCGGAACCCTAGGACACGGCGCCCCGTAAATGTCAGAGCCCTGGACGCGCAGCACCTGACCTCCCTGTGCTTCCTCGTGACAGGAAACAGCAGGAGCGCCCCGAGGTCCTACGGGTTCCACCTGTCACCCGAAGAAGAAACGAGGAGAAGACGGCTTCAGAGATTCGACCACCAGTGAGGACGCCCGGCATCTCGGGCCGCCGCACTCCAGGGGTGTAGTTATCGCCCATTTGGTGCGTCCCCCCAAACCCTGACCCACATCTAACGGAGGCAGAGGATGCAGTGTTCACCCCGGACTGCCCAGGTCTGCAGCTGCCAGTGTCCCCGGCTGCCTGGGGCCAGAGCCGCAGACAGGCTGCCCCGTCCTGCAACCACTGTGCTGGCTGCTGCTCCCGCCCTCGGCCTGGTTTCCTCTCACCAGCCGGGTCCCTGCCTCCATGCAGGGACCCGTGTGCACCCTCCTTTCCCTCCCTGCCGACCCAGCGGTGGGTGCCTCCGCCTTGTTTTGTTCTGAACACGGTGACCTCCACCTCCAGTGACCTCCACCCGGAGGCTTGCCTTGACCAGCCCCAGAGGTCAGGCTCCATGCTGCCTGGCGAGCCCCCCCGTTCGGCCTCTCGGGGAGCCGGGAGCAGACCCGGTCCTGCCGGCACACTGCCAGGTGACTTTCCAGGGACAGGATGCGGCCGCCACAGCACCGTGTGTTCTAGTCAGTCTCCCTTGCACAGGCGCCCCAGCCCCTTGGGCCCCGGCGTCCTGGTGGCGGCGGCCGTGCGCTGGGTTCGGCCTTACGTGGCCCTGCCTTGCAGAAGTCCCGACCGGGGAAAGCCTCGGGGGGACCTCGGGGCGGGGACCACGCTCCCCTGGGTGCCCGGTGGCTCCAGCACCCCGGGCAGCCTCTCCAGCGGCCGTCGGTGCTCCCGGGACGGGACTTACGTGTCCCCCGGCAGCAAAGGGGCCGCACGCAGAACACGGCCAGGGTGCTCAGCGGGTGTGTTCGCTGAGAAGTCGCTCTTGAGGACACTTTTGCCTCACAAAAGTGCCTCTTCCCCCCCCCGTCATGCTGTGTGAGCCACCCGTGGGCCCGGGCGCCCCAGGCCCTCCCTGGCGCCGGCGGCACGGTCCGTCCAGGTCTCCAAGTGTCCCCTGGTGCTCACGTTTCTAGGGCAAAAGCACACGCACCTGCCACTGCTGTCTTAGTCTCTGAGATATTTATTTTTAGAGAGTTAGAAACAGAAAAGTATCCTCCTATTTCAACTCATCTAGCATCTATGCAGAGTTTTCTGATTATGAAAGTGTTATAATATACAGGACCCTGGTATATGCACAGAGCAAACATATGATGGGAGAAAATAAGCCATATGTCAGGCGAGGTTATTTTGGGGAGTGGAGTACGTAGGATTTTGCTTTCTGTTTTTTTTTTTACAATTTTTTATTGCACTCCTTCAAAAACGTGTGTACGTGTATATGTATTACTTTTGCAACAGGATAACTGATTTATATGATAATAAATCAAGAAACATATAATCAGGAAAATGGACTAAATAGTAAGTACTCTCTGTTGAGAGAATTCGCTGTCTAAACGGACAAATAAACACAAACAAATACAACACAAATAAACACAAATGAAGGGATGTGCAGTTTGAAAATCACCCAGAGTCTCACCACTCAGCAGTGCCCAGGGTCAGTATTTGAGGGGGGGGGAGTGTTTTCTTCACCAACACTTACTTTTCTCCTGTGGAATTGAAGGGCAGAGAGGGAGTGATCTTGACCTTGTGTTCCGATGGCAGGCACGAACTGGCAGATTTGAAAACACGATTCATACCGTATCAGGGAAAACGGAAACATCGCTAGTAGGAATCATTAAATGTGTCGGTAAGACATAGCGCTTCTTAGGAAGAGAATGGCGTAAGAAAGTCAGTATTGTGTGGCGTGAAGAGGCTCTTGGGATCTGGGGCCAAACCCGAGAAACAGCCCGTGCCACAGGGCGCCCCGCACACAAAACCTGGCCCGGGTCCCTCCTCGGGCCAGAATCCCACCGGCTGGGGGGGCGGGTCTGCCTGGAAGCCCTGGCGTTCTTTTGTTCTCACGCAGTTCCCCCGTAAATACCTCGTGCCGTGCCTGCAGGGGAGTGCTAAAACCAAATCACACCTCAGAAAGTCTGCGACTTCATAGATTTGGGGTATTTATTTGAGGTCCTTAAAAGTTATTGCTTAACTTTAATCTTGAGATGCTGCCTCTTTTTATAAGATTCTCTCCCCTAATAAGTACAATTAGACCAATCCCTGGGGCTCACGACCAGCAGCTGCGCCCGTCAGGAATGGGCCGGCTGGCAGGACCGGGTGCGGAGTTGCCATAGTTACTCCTGCAGCGTGAGAGCAGCGTACACGGGGATCCAGCCCGCACGCATCATCCCGGGATGGACCCACTGTTCACCATGTGCACTGGGAAGCAGACCGAGGGCTTTGCCACCAGAAGAAATGTTTAGCCCCGGTTTTAAAGCTTTCCCTAGCTTTTCCGGACACACAGATTCCATTGATACCTGGATGAGAATTTTGTGTTGAGCTGATGAAACCATACCCACGGAGCATACAGTCGTCGAGGACGCAAGCCACCCCCCACAGCCGTGTGTCACAGGAAGTGCCTCGCCGGCCAGTGGGGAAATAACAATGGCCCAGGTGGCTGGCACCGCAGTGACCGAGCTGCCAGCCAGAGGCCTCCAGGTGCTTCTCTCTCCAGCTCAGAGCAGTTCTCCCGATGGCTGACCTCAGACGGCACGGGGCTCCTCCCGAGGCCTGACTGGTTTGCCGTTGACCCTGCCATACAGGCCTCCCCGGTTCCCCCCCCCAGATCACCCTAGCCTCGTGGTCCCCTGCCCCGCCCCTCCACGGGCAGCCTCACACTGTCTCCAAGCCACGTGGGGCAGGCCGCCTGGGGCCTTCTGACAGCGCCTGGCCGGGAGAGCATCAGCCCAGGGCCCCCGTCTCTGACGTCTCTGCAGGACCCTCTACTTTCTAAGCTGTCCGCGAACAGGGGAGCTCTTGGGAAGCACGTCGCGGTGCCCCCTAGAGCAAGTTACGTATTCTCTCTAAGCCTCAGCCTCCTTGCCTGCAACACGGGAGCGGAGAGCTGGGGAGGGAGCACATACGGCAGAGTTAATGCTGTTCCTATCGCCTAATTCCTGGGAACACACAGCTCAAGAAATGTTCAATATCGTTACATCTCTCAGGCAAGAGGTGTAAGACCACTGACCCTCCCCCCTAATGAAAAAGAGTAGCTCCGTGAAACAGTTATTGCGTGTCTGCCCTATACCTGTCTCTTTGCTCAGCTACAGGGGACTGGAATCACCACCTAACCCCTAACTTCCAGTTGCTACACTTACCAGCAGGAGTGCGTTACACTTCAACCTCTTTGTAGTCGTCTCTTTCCCTCGAAATCCTCAGAACAACGCTGTGAAGCAAGCAGTCTCATTCTCCTTCAACTAATGGGGCAACCAAGGCAACAGGGGTTGACGCAGACCCCAGGCCCTGGGGCCTGGTTGCCTGCGCATCCCCCCACCCTATCACTGGGTGCTTCCTGCAGCCTGGGAATCCCATCCTCTCCCGAGCAAAGGGGGTCAAGTTCTAGGCCCCCACACCCTTCACATCGATGGCACACACTTCCGCCACGTGAACCCTCCTGTTCTCCCCACTAAGCCAGCTTCGAGGAGGCCCTTTGGCTTGAAAGAAAATAAACGCACCAGATACATCACAGCTGTTTTGGGAGGTCATCACAGAACTTTATATATATATATAATCAGTGATATTATAAGTTGTAATACAATGAAGACTTAAGTGTCAATAGCAGACCAGGCACCTTGCAAATGGTACATGTTAAAAGTCTTTAACTTTACAACCATAGGTTAGAGAAAGGGATGCAATGTATTGGACCCGTTTCACATTTTTCCTATGAATCGTTAAATATTTAAGCACCATAAAATTCAAGCATTTTGCACGACTGTGGCAGCCAGCCTTGGTGGTTTCAAATGCATTATGCAGAATCTCTGGCAGATAATAACAATGACAGTTGCAGAGTACTGGTTTTTAATGTCAGCTGTTTTGTTCCCTGCAGAACTTCCTGGTAATGTCCCTGTAAGAACTGTGACTTTTTCGTGTGTGTGGTATAGTCATTTTAACAATTGATATAAAATAGCCCTTTCAGACATTAAGAATTGACCACGTTTAAATAATTCTAATTAGTAATTTATATGCCTGTGAGAAGCATAATTCTATGTAAAAAAAAAGAAACAAACATTTTTCATATGAAGTGGTTGGTTTTCAATGGAACAGGTGACCGTAATCAGCACACAGTGATTGCTGTGTATCAGGCATGCAATCGAACTTCACTTCCAGTGCGAGAGTAGGTGTGACACCCCACTTTATACATGAGGAAAGTGGGGCCCAGGGAACTGGTGGAACTCACCCACGGTACCAGCAGAGCGTGCCTGGGCCAGATTCAAACCTGGGTTCAACCAGTTCGAAGGCCCACATTTTCCCACTCTCCTTAAAGCCGTACCAAATAAAAGTAACAATTATCCAATTAGTCTGGTGAGCTCATGGAAGCACAAACCAGATGTGCTTTCCTGGAACGCACAGAATGATTTGTTTCATTGTCATGTCTGAGAGGCTCAAAGTAACATCTTTGGTGAGATCCAGTCGTCGGGCACCGTCCCGCCGACGGTTTTCTTAGCACCGGGAACACGGACACCCCGTTTTCAGAGGAGATCTTGGGCTAGGAAACGCTCACACCACGAGGGAGGGCAGCATTCAGCCCGGGTCAAGTCATGTCCCATGTCAATGAGAAGTCTTCCCTCAGCCCAAACTCTCAGCTCTCATCTGTGAAATGTCAGTTTCTGCAAAAATAGCTCTTCTCCAGGAGGGGGGTGATGGTTCCAGTTTATCAATTGGTGTCCTGTGAATGGTTGTAAGAAGAGATCACGGCTATGCCCACAGGTCGTCACATTCAAATACTTGGAAATAAGAAATGGTTCACGCCGGTCACCGTTCCGCCAAGGAGAAGCCCATGTGCAAAGCAAAACCTCTAATGCCTCACGGTGCCCACTGAGTTGCCAGTGAAAAAAGAACCGTGTCGCTATGCGCTCAGCTCCGTGTGGGTACTGGGCACACAGAGGGGAGTGGGGCCGGCCCTGCCCTGGCAGGTGCGGGCAGGGAGGGGCTTCGGGTCCAGCCGGAGAGAGGAGGAAGTGTGACGAGACCCGGCAGGAGCCGTGGAGGGACGGGAGAGCGTGGGTGGGCAGCTCCAAGTCCCCTGGAGGAATTCCCGGATGCTCCTCTCCCTCAACTCAATCAGTCTTTGAGGATAAGGCATTGGCTGGCGGTTCAACCTCTGGGGGTGTGATGCGAGCATCACTGGTAGAAACAGCAAGAGCTTAAACCTCAGGCGCTCAAAAATATGGGACATAACATAGCACAGTTTAAAAGAATCAGTAAGCGGGTCGTATGAACTAGGCACATCAAGAAAGCGTCTCATCTGAAAGTGTACCTTTTTCTTCTTACCGGAAAGTGTTCTTAAAAATGCACTGTCACCAGGGACACCCCTGACAAGACCCACTGGAAGTGTGTCCTGCCCAGAAGGGCACGTTCCCGGTCGGTGTTTGGCATGGCTAACATTCCTCATAAACGAGCTTTTAACTGAGTTTAACCTCTCTCGATTATTTGTTAGCACACTGAAACTAAGCACCACAATGTGTCACTCTCTCATGAGAAATGTCTTTCATTTTCTCTAAAGTGACATTTTTTTTTTTAATGAGAAAGGCAAGTCTCCTAAAAATCCTTTCCAACCAGCCTTTGGATATTTAGGGTCAGACCACTGAAACCACAGCGAGACGGAAACCATATCCTTTGCTCTTCAGAAAACGACTCATTATAAATTGACATAACTTCTAAACCTTTATGGAAAATACTAATACCAAATGTCACACGGCTTCCCTGGTATATAATACTGATAGAAAATAAAGGGATGTTTTTAAAACTGGAGAAACAGGAGGCTCCTGTGCAACTCGATGACAGGAATATAAAATTCAAATGGCAGGTCGTCTTTGTTTCATTTAAAGATAGTGCCGTGCCTTTCTGGTAGGGTGACCGTGACTTCCAGTGAATCTTCTTACCTAAGTTTAATTAAGTCAGCCCTTCATTTTCCCCCACATGCATAATGATGGCCCTGTCACTGCCCCGTGTGAGCGGCTATTATGCAGAGGAGGCGGAGGGTCCACCGCGGGCTGCGAGCCAGCTCCACGGGGGGCCGCCGGGGAGAGCGAGACGCTTTGTGCGAGCCACGTGCCGCCTGGGGGAGCCCCATGTGGCTGGGGGCCCATTAGCACGCACGCACGCACCAGGGACAGGCCGGACCCCGACTGGGGAAATGCCGTCTGTCTGGAAGTTCACGGCCATGGGAAGTCAGTTTTTGTGAATCACTGTCTTCATATTCATTAATAGCCTTTAGGCTCTTAATCCCTTATACTGAATATATTTTTTCCATAATTGCTACTTTTCAAAAGGGGTTGCCCGAGCAGGCATTTCTCTGTTCTCCGAACAGCGCCGCGGAGGACATAATGTGGTGCGTGCATCTGTAATGTATTTATGCTAATGCCGCATCCCTGGACCCAGCAACTGGGGTCCTCTCTGCCACAACGGTTCACTCTGCTTTGAAATGAACGGTTAATGCCGGCCATGTGGGTTTTTTGTTTTTTAAATCTCCTGGGGTCATGGTTTTACAATTATTTAAAGTGCATGAAAAAGTAGATGACAGAGGAAATCATTTTGAAATGTTGGAAATCTCTACATTCCAGTTTCATTTGTTGGCCTATTTATTTTTTTTCCCCCCCGTAAAATCCATCCGGAAGCCCCCCTGTATCACAGGGTAATTGACTTCCATGGTTTGAGGGGCTATTAACCAATGAATGGGGTTTTCAGTAAATGTAATTTGTAATCTGCCATCTATTTGCCTTCCTGTGACTTAGCTTTTCTATACGTATAAAGAAAGCCAACCCTTCTGCCCCTCCTCCGTAGAATAAGGGTGTCTGGGTCGCATCCAGGTCGGTGAGGGCAACCACATCCACACACGCAGCATTTGCTTCGTCTGTCCAGCACGGAGCAGGGAAGTACAGTACTGTGGGCATCGCCATGGGGCGGCAGCACGGACCCCCACCACGGGGGCCCGAAATGAGCACCATTGAAGCTCCCGGCACAGCCTGGGACGACCGGGTCCCCGCCAGGAAGGTCCTCCTGGCATCCCGCGAGTCCCGGGTTCTCTAGCTCACCTTCACGCAGACCTGGCACCTGCTGATTTTCTGCCGCTGGGCCTGGCCGTCCTTCAAGGTGTCGGGCGACGGTGCCTCAGCAAACTGCAAGTGTGGTTGCACCACCGTCAGCCAGAAGCTGTACTTATTTGCGAAAAAGTGGCACGTCCCCTGCCGGCCTTGGCATTCCAGGAACGGGGCGGCTCTGAAGTCCTCCAGGCAGCTGCCAGGCGACGTGAGCGCCTGCCCTCCTCCTTGGTCCCCAGCCCCCGTGTGCTGCCGGGACGACAAGAGAGAGTGAGGGCTCAGACGCAAGCAGGCGGCCCCAGACCCAGCCGGCACCGTGGCGGGGAGGGCAGGGGGGGACTCACCATCAGGAAGGAGTACCCGATCCAGAGGCTGCGCCAGGCCCGCGGACACGGGGGGATGGACTGGTTCTGGCTGTGCAGCGCCACCGCCTGAGCCGGGGCCTCGCACACGGCGCAGCGGCTGATGTACGGGCGGATGTCCTCCTCCGACACCGGCCTCATGGGCAGAGGCGCGGCGCTGGCCAGCCAGTAGGACCGGTCGTTTCTGCGGGCGTAGTGGCACACCTGGTGGATGTTGCAGTAGGCGAAGGGCAGCGTGCTGAACACGGGCAGGCAGGACCCGGCCAGACCTCGGGGAGGAAGAGGACACCACGTGGTGTGTGAGCGGACGGTCCAGGGGTGTCCAGTGACCTTCCTGCCTACACCATTTGCAGACACACAGTCTGGCATGGTGGGGGGGGGGGGGGGGCGGGGCCTGGCCAAAGTCTTCGTCGGTGGTGGTGAAAGCGAGGGTTGGGCCTGACCATGTCTGCCACTCCCCGGGTCCCGCATTCCCTCACCCACTCATCACAGGTGAGCCAAGCACTCAGCCAGGTACAGAGCGCACCGCCTTGTCTTCCCAAAGCTCCCAGCCCAGCCTGCAGCAGAAGCCGGAGGAGCAAACCAGCAGTGAAAATGCAGCCTGACCGGCCCTGTGGACCACACGTGCAGGGCCCGGGGACTTACGGGAAAGGTAACCAGAAGAAGTGATTGACGGGGCTAGGACCGGAAGTACAAAAAATGGGCGGGACTTGGTGAAAAGTATCCAAAGGGGATGCAGAGTCAAGAGGGTAAGGGTATCCGACACGATAAGGGAGTGCGGAGCTCGAAGGACTCAGAGACGTTCAGTGGGGGAAGGTGGGAGAGGAGGTCTGTGCGTCTGCCCCAGGGCTGTCCAGAGTTCCATCAGACCGAGGACGCGGGCTTTGTCTATCCCAAGGGGTTCGGGTTTTATCCCGGGGCCCTGCAGAGCTCTGCGCGTGCGCTCGGGCTGGATGGATCAGGGCAGAGAAGCGAGACCACTGGTACTTCGGCAGAACAGAAAGGAGAGAAGCAGACACAGTCAGGTGTGACATGCCACTCCCTTTCCCCAGGCTCCTCCCTCTGGCGGGACAGGCCTTGGAGAACCCGGGGAAGGGGTGGAGAAGGACAAGTCAGTAGCTGCCGCCTGTAGGCCTGTACCCTGGGACCGTCTTACTAACAGCCGGGTGAGGAGGGCTCGTGGCCCAGTGAGAGCGGTGACCAAACACACCCCACAGTCCTCCATCCCCAGCGGCATCTCCCTCCTGTGCCCGCCACCCGACCTTCATCACCTGGGCAAGGCAGAGAGTTTGCCAGCACCCGGGTGCTTCAACTCAGCTTGGGATCAGCCTCACCGATCTATTGGAACCTGACAAGCAGCACCAAGGAGGGCTCTCAAAGTCAAGTTCTGTCACTGAAACACAAACTGCAGTGGGGCGGGAGGTCGGGGCGGTGAACGCCACACCGTATCGTCTTCAGGGCGCTGACAGTGACACCCTTTACACAGAAACAATTTCCATTTGCAAGTAAAGATTGCATTTTGTATCAGACTTAACGTCTCATGTACTGACCACTATTTTTTTTTTAGAACTGGGAAATAGCCAGATAATAATAACGGGAGCCAGAAGGAGACCCTCGGCACCTCACAGGATCAGGGATTTAACAGACATCTCTGAGAATCAGCACAGTGTAGAAAGGAAAAAGAGGCCCAGAGAAGACGAGTGATCATCAAAGAGGTTCATGAATACTCGAAATTAACCCAACAGAGTCACGCGTAGGCAATGGATGTGGGCAATCATGGGTTCTCTACGTACCAAGGTCTTGATTGTGAGCCCTCTCCTGCCCTTCCAGGTACAGCAGGCTGTAGCCCGTCCAGAGCCTGGGCATGCCCACGGGGCAGGTGGGTTCTCCATCTGTCTGACTGTGGAGGACCAGGAGGAAGCTGCTGAGGTAGCCAGGGCTGAACCCCTTGGGCCCAGGATCCCCAGTGGGCCCTGGAGGGCCTGGAGGAATAAAGAAAAAAAAATGAAGGCCGCTTAGGGGGTTCAGGCTCACACACATTTCTGACCACCCTTGTCCTGGGGCCTTGCAAAGCACCCAGGGAACCGGAGAAAGCAGGCCTGGCCCACTGCAGAACGCCCCCCCACACAGCCGCAAGCCACGCACACAGCTCACGCGGCACGTGCTTATTTACCTCGGGCAGCATCCAGGGGGCTGGGCGGTATTCGCCTAAAATCGAAACAGACTAAACTCCCTGCCCCCCTAGAGCTCATGTTCCACTGAAGAAATGACACACGGTAAACATAATAAAAAGGGAGAGTGTGAGACACGTGAGAAATGGTGAGGGCTGAGGAGCGAGAACTGGAACAGGAATGGCCCATCCCAGGTGCCATGTCCCAGCCAGCTCCGACCGGACCGGGTGCCTGCCTAGCTGGAAAGGTGATACTCAGAGTCATGGGTCTTTCTGGTTCTCTCTCCTCTGCTCCCCTTTTCTCCACGCTGCCCCGCCCTCTCTCACAGGTGCAAGCCAGCCGTCCACACCTTCTTCCTTTAGCCAAGTCTCTTTGCTTTCTCTCTCCTAAGCCCCAACGGCCCTTCCTTTGCCCCTGAAACTTGCTTCCTGAGCCCACACGTTCCAGCTGGCTCATTTCCTCCACTGTGCTCTTCGTCCACCTGTGATTTTCCAAATAAACTTTTGCCTGGATTTGAAACCAAAAATTGGTCTTTCTCACACCCACAGACCCATCTCATGGTTCCTGTCTATTCAATTGTCAGCCCCCTTCTCAGAAGAATGAGGGTTGGGGATCCCTGTTCAGTCTCTTCTTTTAAAAGTGGGGGATGTGGCCCTGGCCTGGTGGCTGAGTTGGTTGAAGCATCATCTTGCATGACAAAAAGATGCAGGTTTGGTTCCTGGTCAGGTTGCAGGTTCGATCCCCAGCTGGGACATGTATGGGAGGCAACCGATCAGTGTCTCACTCTCACTTCGATGTTTCTCCCTCTCTCTATCTCTCACTCTCTAAAATCAATAAATCCATCCTGGGGTAAGGGTTAAAAAAAAGAAAAGAGCGGGGGGGTGGGGGGTGGGGAGGCCTAGTTCTAGAATCCACATTGCTGGGAAGGAGGTAATCAGGTCTACAGAGTGGGAGCCAGCCTGTCTCTTGTGCCCGCCCCCCTCGGGGACTGACCTATCAAAGAAGCCTAGGGTGATTTCTGATTGCCCAGAGCAAAAGGTGGAGTGTGACTTTAAAACCAGAAGTTTTGTGGGGTTTTTCTGACTTGTTTCTGGAAGACCAGCCGTCTCTCTCCCTGTCTACACTGCACGCTGGCGGTCACAACGTGGCGGCTTGTGCGCCGAATCAGGCCCGCTCCTGGGTTTTGTTGGACCCGTCGGGATTTCACAGGTTGAGGTCTTGGACTTGGAAAGCAGAGCGTAGGGAACACAGGCCCCGCGTTTCTACATGGCAAACACAGGCGGACGCTGAGCTGCGGCTTCAGACTGGGTTCCTTGTGGTCGCTGACCCCGCCCAGCCCTCCTCACGCCTTCTCGTGACTCCCCTGGCATTGCCAGACGGTCTGCGGACACGAGACTGTGTCCCGGGGTCTTTAGGTCCCGGGTGCCTAGCACCTGTCCTGGTGCATTACGTGTCACATTTCTATTCCGAAGGGTCTTATCTCCCCCCACACAATGCCCACTCCCAAACGTTTTTCTTAAGTAAGGGCCTTGCATGCCACATAGATTTTACTGATGGCTGCACAGTGAGATGGAGTGAATTCAGAAAACCAGAGGCCAAGTAGATCGGCCAGTTGTACAGGGTGAGACCCCCTGCACCATCCCCAAGATCTCCGGCCCCGCTCCTCAACCGTGGCCACACAGCACACGCCAGGCTTACGGTGGGGGGGTGAACAGCTGCAGTGGCTGAGCCGTGTATGATAACGTACAGCGGTTTGGGGAAATACTGGACCGGACACAGCACCCTGACGTGTTTTTATGGCGGGTGAGTATCAGTTAGAAGAACACGGGGGATGCGTCCTGCTTTGTTCTTGTTTCCATCTCCCTAGCACCTGGGGCGCTGGTATCTAAGGCAAATGCTTTGAACAGGATCAGCTTGGAAAGCTGCTTGGGAGGCCGGGGATCTTGTACACAGATCTGCTTGTCAGAGAAAAGGCGAGAAACTGAAACTCTTTACCTGGTGCTCCCGGGAAGCCGGCTTCTCCCATGTCACCTTTGTGTCCCGGAGGCCCGGGAGGCCCTGGGATGCCATCCTTGCCCCTCCTGCCATCAGGCCCGGGCTCTCCTTTGCACCCTGCAAAAAGTCCGAGATGGCAATGGTGACGACCCCTGCTGGCCGGTAGCGCTCACTGCATGTATACCACGTTCCACCTGAGCTTCCCGGCTCACTTCCCTCTCCAGCTATGAGCCACATCACGCTGGGATCCCACTGTCTCCACTTGGCATTGGGGCACCTGAGGCTCCGGGAGGCCCAGAAACTTGCTAAGTACGGCCAATGAGCCAATACTGGGCAGAGCCAGAATTTGAAGCCAGACCAGGGAGGTGTGGGGAGGTTTTCGCATGGTCTTCCTGTTCTCGTATATCTGACATTTTTTTTTTACCATTGAACATGTATGGCTTTTATCATTCAATGTTATCCTTAATAATGATTTTTAGAAGCCTGAGTGAATGAAATTTAATAGGATTCAGTTAAGGGTCAAGTGAAATTTGGAGCAAGAGCAGCAATGTTTTGAATATTTTTTTCCCTGTTTTTAGTATTTATAAGGTGCTAAGTCCCAAGGCAATCCCTTTACGTCAGATGATCTAAGCCAGTCTTCTCAGCAGCAGCCGGGTGACTGGGTGTTCTCATGTGCCAGGCTACCGGTGGGGAGACTGAGGCCCGGAAAGACGGAGCCAGTCGCAGGCCGACAGGGAACGCGCCCAGGCAGGCAGGCCCAGCAGGGAGGCTGCTGCATCAGCTGCCAGCCCCTGCTCCGTGACCAGGCTGGGAGCCCAAGTGCGCTGGGAGCCTCGGGGGACATAAGCTGGCGGAGGTGGTGGCAGTCACACTGCGACCTGAGGGGTTCTTTAAGCATTTGCTTACTTTTGGCCAAGGCGTCCGTTCATTGCCACAGACTCCTTTGGGCAGAGTGGCGGATTTGGTCCTTGCCTGTGAAGGGGTTTGTGGCCACAGCCCTGATTACCTGACTCTCTAACCCTCTCATGGCTCCCAGTCTCTAGTCATTATTGTCCCTTCTCCTTTTCCTCCCTTTCTCTTTCCCCCTCCCTCCTTCCACGCCACAAAGGAGCCTAAACCAACCTGATCAGGTCAAGGAGAGCTCACTTAAGTAGCTGTCACTCTTTTCCACCCTTGGCCTTGACCTTCAAGGGACTAGGAGTCACCTGAGGGTTGAGAGCAGGGGATTGCCACACTCCAGCGACCAGGTAGGTATGTCACTTGACTGCCCTCTCGCAGCCATCTGAAATGCACGCCCCGCTGAACCTCCCTGCTTTTAAAATGTGCTCTAACAGCACCTGCCCCAAAGTGCCCCCCACAAACCTCCTTCCCACCCCACGACCAGCCGGTCCCCGCGCTCCACACCCTTTGCTGGCGATCTACATTCAGAATGGCGTTCCAGGCATTCCTGGCCTTGCGGTAGCTCTCGCCACACTTTCTCACTCCTGAATCACAGACGGATTCTCTGGGACTGTCAGGTGGTGCCTGGACGGTGTTCTGTGCACAGCTAACATCAGCGGGCAAGAGAGGAGGCCTTTCCTTCTCCCCATCTGGGTGGGAGATGCCCACCCCCACCCCCCCCCCCCAGTACCTGGGCAGAACCCCCTCTCCCCGGATGGCGCCCTGGACATGAGCGGGCTTGTCTCCTTCCACCGGCCTCAAAGAGCCTGTCTGATATTTTAGAAGGAACACCGGGCCCCCACAGGGAGCTCAGAGCATTCTTTTCTCTCTCCCACCCAACGAGATGATCCCAACAGTGGCCACTGTGCGTTTCTGGAAAGGGCTGCCCACGGCGGGCTCACAAGCCAGTGGCCGGCTCATCACGGAAGAGACAGCAGGAGCTGCCCCAGCACCCGTGACATGGGCTGAGAGCTCTCTCAATCTGGGAGAAGAGTTCGCTCCCTGAGGTCACAGTGTAGGCTTTGCTCCCTGAAGGGAGGACGAAGGAATGCTGGGGCAGGTGACGTTTCCAGAGGCAGGTCGATAGGTTTCTGCGAAGCAGAGTCATGTGCTCAGAGCTTTCCACTACCTGGACTTGTTCTCTACCTGCAACGTGTTTTAAAGAACAAAACTACACCGACGAGCCCTCCGGTGTTGGACGGATGGCCCCGCTGAGAGGGCCACCTGTGGACTCGAAGACAACACGCCTGAGCAGGACGTGGGTGCCGGGTACAGCCACTAGGCAGGGACGTTCAAACCCAAACGGAAACCGCCTTTGGGTTCATCACTGGGATCCTCAGCCTTGGAGGGCTCCCGGGAAGAAGAAATCGCAGATCAAAGAGACATGTGAAGAGAAAAGCGGCAGACTTTCCGTGGTGGGGGCCTCTTAACAGGCACAAGGGATGCTTAGTGTGGCTATCGCCACGCTTCCTGGGGCGGGAAAGAGCCAGAAGCGTGTTTTCCTGTGGATCTGAGCTGCGGCAGGTGCTCACGTGCTCGGCCTCATCAGCTTAGCGAGGAGAAAGGTTGTGCGAGGAAAACAGGAGGAAGCAAACGACATCATTTTAAGGGGAGGTGGGACTTCCTAGTGGCGGCTGATCCTTCACAGCCCACCATGGGGGTGGTCTACCCCACCCCTCACACCTAGGGGTGGCCCAAGGCAGTCAGGGCCGGGCCACTTCAGACCCTCAGAGTAGACTAGTCAGTGTTGAGCAACTGGATAGCACAGCAGGAACTGTCTTCAGGGTGGCCAGCAGGAGGAGACAGGAAGAGGGACCAAGGAAAAGAGGGGTCCTTTACAGCAGGAGGCAGGAGGCACATGTCAGAGAGGAAGGGCCCAGAGAAAGCTCGGCAGGTGAGTGGGGCCCAGGTGGGCACAGAGGGGCTCCCGGGAAGTGGGCCCCAGAGCAGGGCAGCCCCCGCTGTGAGATGCGCTTCCCAGGAAGGACGGCTGGGCACCTTTTTAGCACAACAGTCCCACCCCATGGCACAACTTCAGCCTCAAGGTACTCCCGCCGCCCACAGGCAGGGTCTGTGACATCAATAAGGAAAGGGCACGGGAAGCCAGAGCAGGCCCGTCTGTGTCCACCTGCAGCTGGATGAGCCCCTCCAGGGGGAATTAGACATGACAGGTGATCACACCAGAGCCCACAGAGACTGTCGGCCCTCTCTCAGAAGTTCACCGTGAAAAGACAATCTCACATGTGCCCAAGATAACCATGAAGCTAAAGTGGACAGAATTTGCCCAACTGACCATTCTCAGTTGCTTTCTTTGGTTATTCTCTAAAACCACCACGATGGGCGAACCCAACCCCCTCTCTGGTCTCAACTGATGTCAGGGTGAAGCGGTGGATCTCGACCTTGGCTGCCAGCTACAGCTGTTTGGAAAGATTCCCTAAAACACTGGCACGCCGGCTCTGCTTCCCTCTGCATCGTGTTGGTCTGTGGTGAGGCCCGGGCACCAGCATTTTTTCCAGCCCCTCCAGTGACTTGAACCTGCAGCTAGGGCTCAGTCACGGGGGAAGGCGTCACTCTCAGCTGGCTCGATGGCATTCATGTAATCTAGTTAGGGTTCCTCAACCTTGAACGTGCGGTATGTGCGATATTCTGGGGGTCTCGTTAACACGCAGATTCTAACTCAGCAGGTCTGGGGTGTGATGACCATACTTGGGGCAGCGAGGATGGAGCTGGCTCTTCGTTACCGGGTGATTAGGCTGCGCTGCCCCCAGCTGTCGGACAATCCCGGTCCCTCTAAGCCCAGTCTTTCCCTAAAGGCTCTGCCCAAACGCCAGCTCTGGCTGGGGTCTCAGCGGCCATCCAGTAAGTCCTCCACACAGGGACGCATTGCTCCTAGTCTCATTCTCCGAATGCCCTTTGCTCGAAACTCCTTTAGAGCACAGATTGTCATCTCCCATTGTTTAGCATCCCTGTGTCCTGCCGGCCATATCTGCCATGAGGTCGGAGACCCTGGAGGGGAGAAAAACATACCTCCCTCTCTGGAACTGCCCGCACCTGGTTCGTAGTCTGTGGCGAAGAGAGGGAATCTGGAAGTGTTCACTGAACTGAATTTGCAGAACCCCATTGCAGGCTTACCTCTTCTGCTTCAAAGTTATTTTTTTTAATAAGGGGGAAGTGGGGGGTAGGGGGGCCCAGCTCTCAATACCACCAGGCAGCTTGGTTTGAAAGTCAGGTTGACTGATGAGTTGTCCTGCCTGACTGAGGGCCTGGGCCACGCACTGAGAGCCGAAGCGAGAGGTGGTAAGCCGGTTCCCAGGGCTCGGCGGCTGTAGCAGAACGCTGCTAGAGTGGACACCCAGTTAACTGCGCGAGCAAACACAGGCGCGTGCAGCAAGCGCCCACGACAGCCCCTGTACTTGGAGGAAGGCTCCAGAGCTGTTGTGGACACCACCCACGGACCGCTCCCACTCCATCCGGGGGGACATCGCCCTGCGTGGGCTGGGGGAAACACGGGCAAAGCAGGCAGTGCGAAATTCCTACTTCCAATTGCTGTGTTCCTAAACCAACAGGAGCTATTATTACCACAGCTGCTGGGTCGGAGGGGAAAATGGGAGAGGGAATGGCCTGGGGCCTCTTAGGGTAATTGGCACGCTGGTGCCTTAGAATCAGGGGCGCCGTCAGTTGGCCTGAGAAGATGATCAGTAACTGCCAGATGACCAGCCCGGGACTCCCTCATTGCTTTGTGAATTTCCCAATGCAGCGGACATACAAGGACACAAATGAAATGATTTGGAGGACACCTTTTAAAGGAATGGTTTCGTTTGAATATTCAAATAAGGATCCTGCCACCCTGACAAGGACTGAGCCATCCTCAAATCAATTAGAGGAACAATGCAGTTATTGCTGTAATTTAGAGTGACCTTCCCTGGACCCCCCTCTCTCCCCGCACCAAGGATTCACCCCCTCCTCCCTTCTCCTAGGCGATGTCTGCTCCAGGGAGCCCCGATTCCGTTGTCTTTCATTCCAAATCAAGTCGACAGCTGTTAATGACTGAATAAAGCATCTACTCCGTTGTGCTAAAAGGTTTCAAAACCTCATGTCCAAGACCCGCCCAAGTATAAAAGATTTAAGTAGAATCTCCACATAAAAAATGAAAAGGACGTGTCCATCCAATTACTGCATCATTAAACCTTCAGGAGAAAATTTTCATTCATCCTCACTAGTCGCTTAGGCTCCCCCACCCCCCGCCCCCTCCAAAAAAACCCTGCTGAGATTTTCACTTCAGCGACATGCATATGACGCAAATGCGTATGAGCAATCGGCGTCCAGCTCGTACCTGCTCCTGGAGGGCCTCTCATTCCAGGGAGCCCCATGGCTCCTTCTGGTCCTCTTGGGCCTGGCACCCCAGGGAGCCCCGGGATGCGGGGGCAGGCATCCAGATCTGCAGGCGGCCCCGGTTCACCTGAAATTGGAATCACCACTGGTGTGATGGATCCGAGTGCTCACCAACAAGCTCTTTCTGCCACCGCAGGTTAGACGGGCTCCGGACACGACACTCACGTGTTGTCGAGAGTGTTGGACCCACCTAAGGTCCAGGAAGGGGGTGGGACTTTATTCCCTTCGGTGCATGAAAAACTTCCAGAAAGCATTTGGTTGAATAAATGACTGACTGAACGAGTAACTGAGTAAGTGCATGGGAGCTCAGAGAAAGCAAAAGAGGAACATGAAATAGTGAAGGCTGGTCGAGTCAGCAATAACTTGGTGACCTCCACAGGGTTTCTGATCTGTGGGCCACGTTTTCCTGGAGAGCTAGCCACAGGTGGTGTTGCACGAGGCACTAGTGAGCTCTTAACTCTCAGCGTAATGTGTCTCTAATTCACTGCTCTACTTGGCAGCCAGCGTGGCGAGGGGGAGGTCCATAGTGCTTGTTACTCAAAGAGAGCCTCTCAGGGTGGGGAGAGGCACTCAAGGATGCCTTTTAACGTTGAGCGCATGTTGGAATCATCCAAGGCAGTTACAAAAAATACGGATTCCTGTGTCCAGGCCCAGAAATACTGGTTGAACTGGGATAAAAGATGGCCTGGCAGCACCCAGCTGGGGGGCTTTGCAAAACCATGGGTGCTGGGGCCCATCTAGATGTATTAAGCAGGAGTTTCTGGGTGGGGCCAGGCATCAGTAATTTCTCCCCAGAGAACTCCTGCGCCGGCCAGGACTGAGAAGCACTGGGGGAAGCTGCCGTTCTGACGTCAGCACATCAGAATCATCGGGCCACTTCCTTACAGACCAGAGGATGGATCCAGCGAGCCTGGGCCACCCCAACTTCTGTGCCTCTAATACCTTCCCAGTGAAGCTGATGGCACCCATCTGGGGATCTCATTTTGTGAATGACTGCTCTAAAGGTTTGAAATGTTTTTCTCCTTGGTGACATTCACGTCTTTAAGGCATTCTTTCTAAAGCTTCATTCAGTCACCCTGCAAGCCATCCGCAAGGAAGAAGAAGTAGTAACTCTACCCAATAATGGTAACAGCAACAGGTATGGAATGCTTTATCGCACAGGCGCAGCAGGCCCCGCGTGCAGGGCTTTACAGTTAAACGCTCCTGGCCAGCCTGTGAGTCTGCGCTGCTGGTGCTAGAACGTCACAGGAAAGAAACTCAGGCTCAGGTAAACGAGTGACGCATCTAAGCTAACAGGTGGCAGAGGCTAGATTGGAATCCAAGGTGTTCTGGCTCCAAACTGGTGGTCTAACTGCCACACCATGTTGCATGAAGAACTCTTCACATCTGTGCGATAAATGCTAAGAAATGCAACCTATCTTAAAGGATACCACTCATAAGTTATGGTTTTCTTAAAAGTCATACAAATGTGCAAACTTATTTGAAAAACAACATGATAAAGCAGCAAGAAAATTCAAGAAAATGTGGCCACAGACGCAACGTTTTAGTCTACACCATGGTTAATATGCTTGTGCAGATTGCACTTGAACCCTGTGAGGACTTGGGAATTTAGCCTCTTGTGAAGTATTGTATGAAACCACAGCAACACAAAGTTGGACATATTTCTGTTGTACGGACAGCTTAATGTGAAACTTGGCTCTCCCAGTCTAGGCAACTTGGGAGACATGCAATGACTTTCCTGTTCTCCCTGAGTCACTTCATGAACTGTGGACGTTGTCCACCAGTGGGGAAGGAGTGGAGGAAGCAGGTGAGGGAAGGGGTGGGCATTTGTCTGGCACTTCAGATCTAGGGTTCAGATCTATCACCCTCAAATGAGGTGATACATGTAGTCACAGACAGACGGCAGAAGACTGAAGTGAAACCTCATTCAATAAATGACTGTCATTTTAAAACATCAACATTTAAAATAGCAGGATTTTTTAAAATCATGATTTTGCTTTTCATTACTTTTTAATAAACCAGTAGCTGAAAGAAAGGGACCAAAGCATCTACTATAATAACACAGGGCATCTGTATTCAGGGCCACTTACATTTGGGCTAATAACAGATGTGGGAAAAGAAGAAATACAAGCATTCGCAGCTTTTCTTCTCTTCTTTTAAGAAACTTTTTTTGTTCGCTTTGAAAATGCCAAGACACAAAATAATATGCTGCTTTTGCAGCATGGAGGATTAAACAAACACTCAGTTGAAAAGAATAATGGCATTTTCATTTTCACACACACGGAAATTTCCTCCCTGAAGACGGACTTCCGCTGCAGCCCCTTGCTGGGTATTGAGGACCCATCTTTTCACGTTGTTGATGGCACTTAATTTAGGGCTGTCCTATGCCTTTATGTTGCAGCATTTACAGAAGAAGCTTACACTGGGGTGTACGGCGGCGCTCGGCAGAGAAAGCACTCACGCACGGCGCCTGAATTGAAACTATGTGAGCGGAGCAGCCACAGTGCCTTGACAACCTGCAATGAGGCTCAGCATCAGGACAGTGTAATAAGGAGTTACTATATCGGTAACGGGGAAGCAACGGCACAAACACCAAATATAACGACAGGACCCCCTGCGCAAAAAAATGTAATAAAGTTTAACTCACACATGCAGTGAAAAGGGGAAGCATAGAAATGACTGAAAACCAGATCGAGAGGAAATTATTCGCGTCGTAGGAACGCTTACCTCTGGAACCTGGAGAGATCCGAAGCAAAACCAGGACACGTGACGATTTCCATACGGTGGAGAGAGATTTTAAATTGTGAATGAGCGGAGGTAGGTGGGTTTGGAGGGGGTGGAGGAGGGGTAGGAAGAAAAAACAACTGTAATTGAACAATAAAATAATTTTTTAAAAAATTAAAAAAAATTGTGAGTGAGGACACACATGAAATGGATTGAAAATGTAAATCGTAATTTGAGGACAGCGCCTACAACAGCATCTTACTGACATAAAAAGTCTACATGACGTTCCTGGCAGGAACAGCTATGGTTTATTAACAGAGAGATTCCATGTCCAGAAAAACCTGAAGTGAAACTCTCCCGTGCAATGTAACATTCGAGCTGACTTTTTAAGGCAAACATACCCAAGCCTCATGGATGCATAAATTCTATCCATGTAAAGTCTTCTGGAAATTCCATATTAATTTGCCAAAGTTTATAGGTTAGGCAAAGAACGGAACCATGATATGAATCAAAGTATAAACTCTTTGCCGTGTTGCACCACAACCCACCACAGAGCAGCGCAATTTATTTATTCTTTGCACTAGAGAGCTAAGTCGGGAGACTGGAAAATATTCTGAACTGACATCACATCGCCATGATATTGACTCAGGATCTCGAAGGATATCGCTTCTGCCGATCTCAAATACACATGCCTGTGTGCCCTTTCAACTATTCCTCGGCTTATTTTGATGTTACGGTGAAAATGTGTTGTCTATGAGGTTTAAATTAAATAGCCTTTAGGCTTCATAGGAATTACTGTACTTTCCAGAAAACATTAAATAAAATGCCTCACAAAACCATTGGGAATTCCAGGATAGGAACTGAATATACAATCCTCACCTATCAATAATCAAATCAGTCTCTGCCTCTTGTGTGAGGGAATACAGACTTACTCATCTCTGAAGCACTATATGTAAAATCGACTCCTGATGTTCAAACCTGCATTTTTAAATAATAAATAATCATCCCCAGCTGGCATAGCTCAGTGGATTGAGCACGGGCTGCGAACCAAAGTGTCGCAGGTTCGATTCCCAGTCAGGGCACGTGCCTGGGTTGCAGGCCACAGCCCCCAGCAACCGCACATTTATGTTCCTCTCTCTCTCTCTTTCTCCCTCCCTTCTCTCTCTAAAAATAAATGAATAAAATCTTTTAAAAAATAATAAATGATCATTCACCAAACACGAGACTTTGTAGTGCAGTCTGTAGTAAAATAACCTTCACATGAAAAGAACTGAACACATTAGAAAAGGTGTGGTGACTTCAGAAGAATTACTTTCTGGAAAATGACTGTCAGAGTTAAGCATCTGCCCCAAGTGCCCTGCTGGGCTGCCAGGTGGAGATGCCTCAGCATGAGAAACTCACCTGGCGGCCCAGGGGGCCCTTGTCTGCCTGGAGGGCCAGGTAAACCCTTGTCTCCAGGTGCCCCAGGACGTCCGTGTGGCCCCGGCGGCCCCGGGAATCCCATCGGTCCTGAAAGGAACAAACGAGAAACAAGGGCAGCAGAATGGAGGGATACCGGGGTGAGGACAGTTGGAGGCACTGGATTTGGAAGCGCTCGCCAAGAAAATGCAGGGCAAGGCTGGCCTCAGGGTCGAGAGGAGTCTCTCACTTTTTCAAAGGCAGAGCTGAGAACTGCCTTTGTCTGAAGGAAACACCGGAGTCTGCCACAGGGACTCAGGAGGATGGTTCCGTGATCAAGACAAAACTTACTCAGCATGCCTAGCCCTGCAGTCCTGAACTTGCTCTGGAGGCAGGCAAAGGGCATGGGGGGAGGTAACATTAGGGGAGATGCTGTGCTCTCTTGGGAGATACACTCCCAGACCTGAGTCCTGGCCACTCTCTTTCTCAGTCCGTTTCCGCCTCACCAGCCCATCAGTGCCTAGCACATGGTCTCTTCTGCCCCGTCCGCAAAGGCCTGCTCATTCTGCAGAGAGCCCATCAAGCTCACCTCCTCCGGGAAGCCCTCCTGGAATCCCAGCCCAAGTCCACCTGCTTTCTGAGAAGCTCTCACAGAAGGTGTCCCTTTCATCAGGACCCCGATCTCGGTTTATGTTGATGGGCATTTTAGTGTGACTATCAGCCCCCCTCCCATGAAACCCTGCACTTAATGAGGGTAGCGACTCTGCTTAAGTTTGCTCACTACTATATTCCCGTAGGTGCCTCATACGTGTTCGTGAAAATAGATCAACTATTTCTCACTGCGAGAATCTAAAAAGGTAAACCAAGGACACTCCCTTATCCTTCTCACTGTTCAGCACTCTCTGGCCCTTCAGCCTCCTGGGGTGGGAGGTTAGCAGCGGGATCAGATGTTCCGCCAGTACTTCCAAGGCTCTGCATATCCTTTCACAGGTCACTGTTATTCATACACATGCTCGTGATCCCCAGTCGTGATGTTTATTTCAGCTCAGTGTGGGGAGTGCTCATTGTCTGGAGGGACGGCTGGGGAGGAGGCGTGTCTTAGTTGGGGGTGACCACGGTTGTACAGCCAGCCCCCTCTGCCTTGCTCTTGGCGACTAGAGGGCTAGCATGCCTGCTCAGGTCTGGGGCTCCCTGACTGGAAGCCCACATACCTGCAGACACAAGCCGCGTTCTCTAGCACTGACTTCCTGGCTAACAACGGGAAGGAGGGGTGTTGTGTGCTGCTGCTGCCCGGGTTGTTCCGGGCTGCCACCTGCGTCGTGGGCACGGCAGCCTGGAGGTGCTGCTCCCCGCCCCTCCGCCCAGACCTTCTGCCTTAGTTCACCTTTGGTTCGCAACCTCAGGCAGGGTAGTGGTTACTGGGCTGCTGCAAGCTTCAATATTTGCTTCTCTGCTGTACATTTTCCTTATTTATGACATAAGGAATTTAAAGTGGATAACCATTCTTGATACCTTTCCAACGACAACAGAAAGTGTTCGATAAGCCTAGTAATTCTGTGAAGTCCTGGTGACTAAAGTGTCTCCAAATATTAGCCGCTAGGTAAAAAATCAATTAAACATTTTAGCCTTCATGGAGACTCACTCATGACTATAAAAGAGCAAACTCAGCCGTCTGCGACTGAACTGCCCAGCACAGCAGCCACTGCCCACGTGTGTCACTGAACACCTGAAATCAGCAAGTGCACACCCGGCTGTGCTGTAAGTGTAAAGCACACCAGGCTTCCAAGGCGGCAAGAAGGAGTGTCTGATTTGGCACAACCAGCCCTGATTGCCCCATTGATCATTTATATTGATTACATGTTAAAATAGCATTTGAATATATTATGTTCAATGAAAAAGGTCTAAATGTTAATTTCATTCTTCTGTTTTACTTTTTAAAATGTGGCTCCTTCATCTTTTAATTACACAGGTAACTTACCTATAGTTCTACTGTTCATTTTGGTCTAGGAGATTACCAAGTATATTTTTTTTTAAGGGGCTGAAGATGAACTTGTATTTTTGTCTTACTTGTCCAACAGTTCCCCAAACTTGAGGGCTCCTTGGGAAAGTAGAACATTGGAAAAATGTTGCCACTGATTCCACAGAAAATAAGAATTAGCTCACGGTGGTCCAGTACCCCAGACCCTTACGGACAAGGTAACAGGTCTTCTTGTATGACTTAAGGGACAACTGGCACTCATACCTTTCCGGCCGTCTTTGCCGTCACATCCTGGGTAGCCTTTGTGTCCCGGAGGGCCTGCTGGGCCCGGGGGGCCTGGGGGCCCCGGCAGGCCACAGTCACCCGGTTCCCCTGGCACAAGGTCCACGATCCCAGGGAGCCCCGGAGGCCCGGGTGGTCCTGACCACAGGGAGGAAGCAAAAAGATTCTTTCAGTCCAAGACAGATGTGTGTACTGAGAGCTTCTTAAGGAAAGTAATTTAAGGGTGTGCAAGCAAGGGAATTAGAAGAATAAGGGAATCGATAGTGTCAGGAGTGAAACGGAGCAGGTCCCACGGAGCCTGAGAAATGGTGTGAGTGGCCAGTTAGTGGCTGTCAGACAGGACGAACCCAGAAAAGCCCTCCCTCCCTAAAGAGCCGTTCCTTTTGGAAGTATTACATCATGGTTTTTGTCTGCATTGCTGCTCCACTGTTTCAATATGATAGAAAGATGATAGATAGATAGATACATAGATAGATAGATAGACAGACAGATAGACAGACAGAAGAATAAATGGGTGACAGGCTTTTAAGAAAATTTGGCAGATGTGAAAGAAATGTTCACCCAATTAAACACAGCCCTATTTGAAAACAAGTGTCTACCTATGAACATAGAGCTCAGATTTTATTCCGCTAAAACTGTGCTGTTTGAAGCGCTTTTTTTGCAGTACAATAGAATTATGTAACACTGTAACCCCCACCTTTACTAAAACGGTAAGCATTTAGAGACAGCAGGTTTGTGTCTCCCTGTGGGTAAGGAGGAAGATGACTCTGCACGTAGCAAAACACCAGCTGAGCCATACCTTTCCCCGAGTTCCCCGCCCAGTTCTGGGCCAACCCTGTTGGGTTACCACTGCCTTGCTAGACTTTGCCCCTGAGAAGCGATGCGAGGAGCACAACGTGCTGTTAACCACACAGGAAGTGTGCTCGGTTTATGCCAAGCCCGGGTCCTGTCATTGCGCCAGCGGCAGAGGTTTATGGGGAAGGTGCTGGAGACCCATCTGCTGGAGATGTAGGATGAGATTCCTTCCTGCCAGCCATGCTGACCCCTCACGCTCAGCCCCGAGCCAGTGATGGGAAATGCTTACCCTGAGTCAGAGTCTGTACCCAGAGAGAGGTGGTCTGATGGGGAGGAAATGGAAGAGGGGGGGCCCTGAGCTCTGCTCCTGCGTGTGCTCCTGCCCAGCCCACCACTGCCCGCACCCCCACCTTTCAAACTGCCCAAATAATGGGGCTGCTAACGTGCTTCTCCTCTGCTGTTCCCTGGGCCTACCTCCCTACAGAGCTGGTGGCCTCTGGAAAGGGCACCACCAACCTTTGCCAGGAGAGTCCCATACCTTGTGGACCATCAGGGCCAGGAGGTCCTTGATTTCCAGGTGGACCCGGGTCAGGAATGTCACCCGTGGGAGCTCTTCCTGGGGCACCTGCAGGCCCAGGTGGTCCAGGTCTCCCTGAGGATAGACATGTTCACATGTGAGCCTCATTCCAATGGGAAGGCTTTGACTGCATTACTGACAGAGAGAGGTACCACACTCTGCTTCTTACCTGGAGGGCCTGGGGGGCCTTTTTCTCCAAAAAGGCCTGGAGGAGAAATTCCTGGATGCCCGGGGTCTCCTGTCTCCCCTTTCAGCCCAGGCATTCCCATGGGACCAGGTGGGCCCATTTCATGCAAACCTTAATGTGGAAAACAGCATTATCACTGTGTCTTCTCCTCGTTGTCCCTGTCATAGGGGGCTGATCTGGAAGCAGCTGGCTCTGCTGAGACCAACCCAGCTTCAATGGTGACCCAGTGGCTGGGTCACCAGTTACTTCCTTAAGACCCATCACACTGGTCACCATAGGCTTGATTTACTTTGTAATTATTTTCCACATTAAAAACAACAACAACTTGGTGCCAATACCAATCCTCCAGCCTCTACAATGGAAAGAGCGAAAACAAGTAAGATCTGACCATGCGCAATTATGAATAAATCGCTTTAAAATTGAAGGTGGAAACTGACATGTAAATAGAATTATCGTCAAGTTTCACACTGAAAAGACAGAGAGCATCACTGGTTTCTTGGAGAGGACACACATTTTATCAGACTGTTTAGAACAGCCACTAAATGACTCCTAAGTGGCCTGCATTTTACTTCTAGACCCTCCATACTATATAAAGATGCCCAAATCCGCAACGCACAGGTTCAGCCCTCCTCCCACGGTCCCTCAACTCTCTGTGGTCGATTCCAGCCACCTTTTCTGATGCTGAGCTAGTTTTCTGAAAAAGCAATGCAACAAAATTTCATTTAAAATATGAAATTTTTGTGACCGGTGAAGTCCAAGGGCTTTTTCATTTCTATTAAAATACCAAAACAAGCTAAAACATAATTGTCGATAAGTATCTATTTGTTATCTCAAAAAAGAACAGCAATTTTTTAAGGTAATTTGTTTTCACAGCAGGTTATTTGAGAGATGCTGAAAGTACTAATTAGACCCACGTGGTAATATACTTGGCATTACTACACTTAACCCAACAAGTAAAAATCCCAACTATTTATTTGTTCTTCATGTTAACATTTTGAAATCTAGCTCCACCTAAGCAACTATGTGGGGTATTTTTAGTAGAGCGATAACCCTAAAGCAGCATCAACAAAAGGCACTGTTAACCAACCATTTCATCTCACATTGGGTGTTCTCATGTGTCCTCTTTATATAAGGCACCCTCGGCACCACCACGAGTTCCAATGCTGGGCCTCTGAACAAAGCCAGTTTCTTCGTTTCATAATCCAAATCACGGGACATGAGGAAATACCTACCAGAGATGCAGTGATCGCGGGTAAGTCTCTCACAGTGGGTTCCTCTTACCTGAAGCGCCTTTGGTTCCTTTCTGACCCTTTAAACCATGCAAGCCGTTCAGGCCAGGCAGCCCAGAGGGACCTGCAACACATCACAGGCTTGTGACCCCCAGGAGAAGACCCGCCCTTGGACTTCACCGGTCACAACTCGCAGGCCCCTCTCAGAGGAGATGAACAGATTCTCCCGGTGGGAACCACGAGATCTCACCATCTCGACATCATCACCAGGGCCGGACCCTCACTGGTGGCTGCTATTTCATACATTCATTTGATGGACATTTTCTGCCAAGACCTCTTAACATATCCTTTCTTTGGTTTGAATGTGCTGATGTGGGTTTGTAACCATTTCAGGAACATGTTTCTCTCTGACCAAACAGACTAGAATCACTGAACCCTGGTGTGGGCAGTGAGCTCCAGTTTTATGACGATGAAATCGCCCTGGATGGGGAAGGAGGTTGGATGGGAGCACGTGCAGGCTCCCAGGTCCAGGATCCTTCCCTCCACCATGGTCTCCAGATCCTAGTTTCCACAGGATCTGCTCAGGTGGACGACATAAGACAGTCAGGACAGGGGGCGGCTCTGGCGTACTGGGGAGTCCATGCCCTGCCTCGCGTGTTTCCAAGCACTATGCTACTCAGAGAGACAGGCCTGAAGGCCAAGTTTGGCTGCAGCCCTTTCTTTGCCACCCCTTCTTGCAGAGAGCATCGTCCTGGTGCCTCTTTTCAGAAACAAAACTTATTTCATGCCGATCACTGAAAACTTCATTCTCCGTAGTTAGATGTGATGTCATCGACATCTTCATCTTCTTTCAGAATCTTCTGTCAGGCGTCAGCACAGTTCCCTAAGGCGACAGCTACCAACCTGACTGTACTGAAGTCGTCACCGGACACGGAACACACACACACACCTACAGGTTTATCAACATGCAGGGGTGGTCATACTTATAACTGTAAGTATGTGAGACACAGAGTTTATTCTTGTATTATTATGTATTACTTACTGTATTATTTTTCACACAAACAACAGTGAACCTACTCTTGCCCACCTCTATATACATGGACAGGGTCCAGCACAAATAACACCCCTTTTTATTACAAAATCATAGGCATATAATTCTGTACTATAACAGTATCACACTCAAGCACACCATATGACATTCAGATGAAATGCTCAAATGAAAACTGTAAATTGTGACACCCATACTATTACCCTACCAACCACACTCAAGCAGGCGTCACTTGGCCAGACCCTGTAGATGTATATATTTACAATATATTTCTTCAAGCATGTAGCACATTCTGCTGTAACATATAGATGTAGAGATGCACAGGGAGGGGTAGAGGGAAGAGGAGGAGGGACAGAGGAGGAAAGAGGGAAACTGATACAGATCAGCCCCAGGGACTGAGCCCTCTGCCGTGAGCCTCACGCACATCTCAACCCACGAATTCATTTGCAGAAGAACCTTCCCCGCAGCCCCTGGCCAAGCAGCGGCTGTCCATTCTCACCCAAGGCTCTGAGCCCCTCAGTGCACAGCCAGCCACTCAACTCAGCTAAGGGCCACATCCCTTGCAGTTGTGATAACAGCAGCCTCAGCTTACATGGCTAACCCCCATAAAGCCCCCTGGTCTACACCACGATGCCTACCTAGACCCCCGAGATGCCCGTGCTGCAGGCTCATGCTCTACAGCAGTCGTGTCTTTGGGTAACTGGCTTATTTTGGGTAAATTAATTGAGTGCAAGATCAGATCTTATTAGCTTTTCTATGTACCTACTGGACATATCCCCTCGAGACACACAGTAGGTGTTCAGTAAGGGTTTGTTGAACAAACGAATGACTAAACAAATAAGTGACTGAGAAAGTGTGGAATGCAGAGGGCGAGGGATTGAATAGGTGGAGAGAAAGCTATATAAAAAAAGTGGACTATTTCTATTTGATGTCACATCTTTGTGTGACAGATTTATCATAAGATCTGGGGAAGTTAGAGGTATCCATTTGTATATAAATAATACAAGCACTAACTGTTACTCATTCATTAAAGTAAGTCCCCTGTGGACTTATTAGAAAATGGAAGATAGTTGGTTCCATTTTATTATCAGTACTTGAGACAGACAGTTGCTCAATTTTTAAAATCTAAACTTTCGATTGGTGCAAATGAGCCACATTCTCTAGCACACACACAAAAAAGGAATACACCCTTAGTTTCCCTAAAGATCTCTTTGCCTACGGTCTTGACAGTTCTGGTTTAGTCCTGGCTGCTGTGGCTCAGTGGATTGAGTGCCTCTGAACCAAAGGGTTGCCGGTTCGATTCCCAGTCAGGGCACATGTCTGGGTTGCCGGCTAGGTCCCCGGTAGGGGGGGTGCAAGAGACAGCCACACATTGATGTTTCTCTCTTTTTCTCTTTCCCTTCCCCTCTCTCTAAAAATAAATAAATAAAGTCTTTAAAAAACAGCAACAACAAAAAACCAGTTCTGGTTTGGTTTATTTTCCAATCCTCTTCCCTATTTACGAGCCCATGTTCCAAGTCTGCACCAAAAGAACACACAGACCTTCCTCGCCTGCCAAATCTGGATATTTACCGCAATCTATCTGAAGTGATAATAAATTTTAAAACGACTTCGCTATTTCAACGTGTTTTGATCTGCAGCGTGAGCCCCAAGACTGATGGCTTGAGGGAGCCGGCGGGGGGTGGAGGGCCTCAGCTGCTGCCAGCCCGCCATTGTCACGTCCACGCGTCCAGATCCGGGGCTGTCACCGGCCCAGCCCCTGCCATTGTGGAACGGCCCGACCCACGTCTGACCCAATGTTATCTTTCTAAATTGAATGCAGCTACATCTGGGTAGGGCTTTAAGGGCAATTTTCCCTTTCTACGGAAAGCGTTTTACCAAACCCCATCTCTAAATCAGAAAGTTGTTCATGCATAAACTACAGACAGTGCTGATGAGAGGCAATTAGGCTAACAAAGCACAGCCCTTGGTAATGAGGAGTTTTAGTCACCTCCACAGACGCCTTCCTGCTAAAAGGCATCATTTCAGGCTGCGTCACGCGGCTCTCCCAGGCCCGGCTCTCCCCGCAGTGGGAGGATCTAACCTCTGCTCCAGCCTCGATCGGAAGCCTGGCTCCCAGATGGGTGAGCCGAGCGACTCTGTGCCTGGGGCTCCTGTCCAAGGGTGTTTCCTGTCTGTCCCAAAGCCCGAATACACTCCTCTGTCCCCACGGGCCTTGACACAGGTTTGTACTTTGAATGCAGGGACCGGTGTGTCCCTGTTTGTTGGGGACTTTTCAGTCCTAGCAAAGAAGTTCCCTGTCCTCAGACACCCCCTCCGTCTCAGGCACACAGGGACAGCCGGCCTCCCTGACATTACAGCTGATGGGATGGGACCGACAGACCTACGTGACTATCAACAGTGATTGCGCAAAGTTGAAAACTTATCAAAACAGATTTTGAAATGTGGTTTCATTGTTTTTCAATTCAGAAAATACACACGTGCCTACGAAGGGAACACACAAGAGCATGAGCCACGGTCTCCTGACCCAGGGAGCTTTGGTTTCCAAAACGGCCTTCGAAACAGGCACTGAATGAGGCAACGAGGACCTAGAGAGGAACAGCCTCTTACTCGACAGAACAAATAGGCAGTTACCCCAGGACTGGCAAGTGCTGTGGGGCCTGGGGGTGGCGGTGGGGAGCACTCTAGCTGTAACTGGGAGGGAAAGTTTTCTGTGATTTTCAGTCTAGGGAGCATGTTATTTCTTGGCTGATAAAAGACATTCCAAGGTATTTGATTTCTATTTCTTTAATTTTTACTCATGGACTCGAGAGAGAGAAGCATCAGCCTACTGTTTCTTGTAGTTATGCATTCACCGGCTGACTCTGGTACGCGCCCTGACTGGGGATCGAACGTGTAACTCTGGGGCACCGGGACGGCGTGCCAGCCCACCGAGCTACCCGGCAAGGGCCCAAGTTCTATTTGTTATGAAATATTTTACTTGCCACCAACCCAAATCACCAAACCCATATTGTTTAGTCATTGTCACGCTACAGCCTTGTCTTGCGGGCCCCATCACTCCAACCCTGTATGAAAGCCCAACTAGGAAGCCCGAGTGTCTTCTTCGCAGAGGGCGTGTGCACTTGGGAATGTAAATCTAGGAACCGGGCCATTTGCAGCATATGCGTAAGTTAAAGTTTCGATCTGACTGAACCCGAGCAGGACGCAGAGTCCATATGGCCCCGTTCAAGCAGCGCAAACAACTCTGGAGTTCAGCAGCTGGTCTGTTCAAACAAGAAAATTGGGCCCCGTTGACTCATGTAGCGCATACTTCAAATATTTAGTTTCCCAGTTCAAAGTGTTCCTGCTGGAGTGTGGTGCATTTTTATACCAGCACGGTAAAGTACAACAATGGATTTACACGCTCGGCGTTTTAATGTTTCGGACCACACTTCACGGTTTTCTTTCTTTTAAAGACCGGGCAGTTTGCGGTGAAACAGTGCCACCGTGTGGTCAGCAGGGACAAAATCATGATGTGATCAGAGGTTACCTTTCCAGTAATTGTGTTATTTGATCAAATTTGTTAGCTTTTGGGTTCTTAAATAACCTATCACCCTGAAGTTATGGAATAAATTCAAGGAAAGGAAGAGTCAACGATATTAAGTCGATCCTTGTCGTTTTAGTCGGACGGGGGTGTATAGTGTTTTGGCGCCAAGAGACTTGAAAATCCCAGCTATTTTACCGAACGAGGAGGATATGAAGAAACGGAAATGCATGCAGGAGGACTGATTAATCATGGGAAACATTTTCTTTTGGCTCTTTAGCAATTTCGTCTTCCAGACACTCAAAAAAAGTGTTAAGGAACACCCCACCAGGGCTGTAGGGATTGACAGAAACAGGAGGTGGCCACAATAACCAGAGAAACTCTTAAAATAATGCAATTATCTTTTTGCTTGAAGCCTTACATTGATCACAAATCACTGGACTTTGCATTAGTAAAAGTGCAAATGAAGAAGGGGAAAAGCGATAGACAGCAAGATCTCCTGTCTTGGGATGGGGGCTTTCCCCATCATTTGCAGGCACAGCAATACCGGTGTGCCAGCCTTTCAAAATAAAAGGCCTCTCCCTCTGCAGAACTGCCCCAGGTGACACGTCACACTACTGCTTGCTAGGACACCACACGTTGAAAGCTATCCGATGAGTGAAGAGGTGTGAGTGCGGAAAAAGATCACTTGGATTTTCAAAACAGTAGTATGATTAAGCTCAAAGGAAAGGATTCCCAGCTCTTCCAAGGGCAGGCACTTTCTGTTTCACCAAAATTCAGGGCATGTATGAGTCAATACGCAGAAGTGAGCGGGAGGAAAAGGGAAGAAGGAGGAGACAGAGGGGTCTTGGCTACAGAAATCTACCAAGTAGGGCTGGAACCTTCACCTGCTGACTGAGGCGAAGACCTTCATCTTCATAGCTACTAGCTCGGCTGTTCATTCTATTTGTCCATTTCTTCCTTTATTAGTTTATTCATAAATTTAAAAATACCCAGAACCAACCAACAGAGTTATTGGGTATCTACTGAGTGACAAGAATATCAAAATAATCCTTGCTTTTTAAAAAATCACATTCTACTCAGGGAGAAGGACCTCTGAACAAGCAAATGTCATACAATGTAAGTGTTAGGCTAGAGGCACATGCAAAGTACCCATGGAAAATAATTTTTTTTCCTAAAATGAAAGAAATTAACTGAAGAGGAGTAAGTACCATAAGAGGAGGGGAGGAGGGCATGGAGATTTGTTAAAAATAGATTGTACAATTATATCACATGACCTTATATTAACCAGACCTATATTATAACCTGTCTACTATGTTTTTAAAAGCCAAGATATTCAACCAGGAAAAAATGTTTCTTTATCAAACAAAGATAATGAATACTAGTTCCTCCATACTGTCTTATTTTTTGCTCTCCCTTCCACTTATCACAACTGGTAAATACATATTTACACATATAGATTTAATATGTGTCTCTCCTACTACACTGTGAGCTCCACGAAACAGGAACCATGTCTATTTTCTTCAAAATTGTGTCCTCATATCTAGAATCTGGGACATCATAGGAGCGTAGCTCTCTGGGGAGAGAATGAATAAATGGTCCTGGACCTTAGGGAAAACCCTGGGGGAAACGCCCTCAGAAAATGAGACGGTAACAGCGTCCTGTCGGTACAAGATGAACACCACCGGAAGCTCTGGGTGAGGAAGAACAGGAAGGTTCTGGTGACAGCACGGGGAAGAGCCATGGCCCAGACCGGTGTCACTCAGGTGCTGGAAAGGCACCAGGAATTGGCCCTCATGGCCTGGATCTTTCTGATGGGTCAGGCTTCCGTCTGACTTACCTTTTATCCCCGGAAGACCTGGTGGCCCGGGATCCCCGATGAGGCCTCCTGGTCCAGGATCCCCGATTTCTCCTGGAGGTCCCGTTGGCCCGGGCCTCCCTGGATGACCTGAGGATGACAGGGAGGTTTTGCAGACGCCCAGATGATACATGAGTTACACTAACGGGGAAGGGCCTCTATGTTCTCAGTATACGAGGCGCCTGAACCAGGAACACTGTGTTATTTCCTCCGTAGCCCTCCTAACTCTAGGGAGAAATGTACACTTCACCTGGGAGGAGAAAGGTCACTTCTGAGTGATTCAAGTTGTCGATTACAGTTTTAAACTCTCACTTTATTCTGAATTGGCAAGAAGAGGGGCCATTCAAATGTATGTGTAACATGTACCCGCAGTCTAAAGGAGAGGAGAAAGCCAGCACCCTGAATGGCAGGTGAACTAGGACAGGCTAGAAAGGAACGTCTGTCTGTCACACCATCCCTTGTGCCCGGCACCCTGCTGGGCCCTCCACAGGTGCTGACTTAATGTATCCCCAGACCAACCCACTGTGGCAGGGCTCACTCCAACGGACAGGTAAGGAACAGGTAAGTTTTGGTAGCTTCCCCAAAGCGACGGGTCTGGGAAATGGCAGAACCGGCGCTGAATCCAGGGGTAGGTGGAGGCTGGCTGGTTCTGAGACAAGAGACAGGGAAGTGCCCGGGAAGATCCCAGCGTCCTTCCAGGTACCTGGACACCCCTTCGGGCCGGGGAAACCCGGCCGTCCCGGCCGTCCCGGCGGTCCTCTGCGCCCTTCGGCCCCGGCCGCGCCCCTCTCGCCGGGCGCTCCCACGTGCCCTGGGCACAAGAGAATCAAAAGTCCAAGTCATTGCGGGTTGCTCTTCGAGGCCGGGAATCTATAGAACCTCCAACTTCAGCTCTTGCTCTCCTTTTCTGGTCTTTTTTATATTAAATAATTTTTCTATTGAAAGGTAAACATGCAGATAAAGTTAAGAGCAAAACACCTATACTCCCACTGCCTCCCACAATTTTTGTACCCATGCAAAGTGCAAGTAATACCCATAATTCTACATTCTGATTTTTAAAATTTTAACTGAATCATAGTAATTTTCCAAGTTTGTCATCCTTTTTCCTAATTATTGTTTTTAAATGACAGGCTGACAGCTTACTGAGTTCATCTAAATTAAATTGATTAATTCGATTTTTTCCTACTATTGGCCACTCAAGTTTTTTTTTCTCTTTGCCATTATGCGTAATAATTTTTATACATCTTTAATAAATTTTTCCACTATTAAATTATTTCCTTAGGCAAATTCCTAGGAGTAGAATTTCTAGGTAACACAGTATGATATTTTGGATCTTTTTATTCATTGGAAAATGCTGAGGTATTTTAAAGAACATCACAGCCATCATGGAATTCCAGCCCTAAATTCTTCAGGAGGTATGTCAGAAAAACAATATTTTCTTACGTGGTCAAAATAAGAATATCCCAGCCAAGAAAATTAGTAACAACCCTTAATATCATCTAACACTCATTCCATACTGGACTTCCCTCCACGGTCTCCTTAATGTCCTTCCCAGCTGGTGTGCCCAGCCCGGGTTCCACTCCAGAAGCACACGTGACCTCTGGTGGATGTCTCCCTTAAGTCACAGGACACCGCGACAGCCCCTCCCCCAGGACAGTGACTGGTGGAAAAGAACCGTCCGGTGTGCTCTGGTCTTCCAGCACAGACCACTCGGCGCTGGGCTCCTGGCGAGGTTGCCAAAGGGTTTGGATGCGCTTGGCGCCCACTCCCAGCATCCCCGGTCCCCACCCACCGCTCACATCTGCACGTCCCAGAGCAGGGCACGTGCTCCCTGAGGCCTTTCTGGGCTGTCGGCTTATTTTCTTGCTCATCGATAAGGATGAACTAGTCTTCCAGACTTACATTAAATTATACTAGAGAGGATGCTGTTTTCCCATGTGTTTGTTTGTGATGTGTGACTTTAATACACTTCGTATTTTTAGGATAAACTACCAATGTGCTAGAAATAACTGGCTGGATCCACACATACAATATGTGGCTCTGTACTGACAAACCCGTGGGGGGCGTGCTCATCACGTGTTCTAACATTATACGTGAAACAAGCCTAAGTGAGTCTACACCTGTTCCCTGGCCAGTGACGGTCTGTGTTATTTTATTGACCCTGAAAACATGCCTGCAGTACAGGGAAGGCAGCATTACTCTTGCCTCCACTGAAAACACGGTGGTATTAGGAGGCTGGCCCTCACTGTGACAGGGTGCAGCCAAGAGGGGAGCCCCAAATAGGGATCTGTAATAAGATCCAGAAGAGCCTGGAGATAATTGGCTCCACACCACAGGGCACACCTGCCCAGAATCTGGCAGCTGTGGCCAATTGTGAGAGGAGCCAGAAATGGGGCTTCAGAGGAAGATTGGGCGCTGGGATTTAAACCGAGATGCGGCAGCCATTTGAGGGGGGAGAACCATGCGCAGCCCTGCAAGAGAGAACCACACAGCTCTAGCAGAGTGGGGACTCCCGCGGCCCTGAGGGAGAGAACCACGCGGCCTTGACGGAGTGGAGACTCCCATGGTCCGGGGAGAGAGGACCACGTGCCTTTGCCAGAGCAGGGACCCCCGCAGCTTTAGGGGATACGGTGCTCTGGACTGGGCAAAGGGGGAAGGAAGGAAGGGCTGTGTCTGTTTGTGGGTGCTTTAAGGGACTTCAGGATTTTTGGTGAAGACATTAGGTCCCTACTTTAAGTTTATATAGCATTAAATAAACGTTTCCTTTCCTTTTCACAAATCTCTGGCATTGAGAGACGTCTTTCCTCTGGCGACGGACATAACGGACCTGGGGGCTTCTCTCAGTAATAGTATATCGTCCCAGGCCCCCCTTATTTGTTCTGTAACATCACCATCACAGCTGCAGTGAGAACAGAAGTTTTCTTGGGTCACCCGTACTGTATTTTCTCTCCGAATTGCAGGCGGAGGTAGACCCAGATCCAGCCCCATCCTACCTAACCCCTGAGGGGGCCTCTCCTTGGGCTAATTCAAATTCAACACAGCTCTTTCCAGTCGATGGAAGTCACATACTTAGGTAAATCTGAGCAGGTGAATAACATAAAACGTGATTTTCACATTTCAAGCCAAAGCTGTGGCATACAGGAGAGGGGACACTTGAAATGGTGCGAACCACAGGAGACCAGGGAAGTGGGGCCAAGGCAAATTTTCTTGAAAAAATTAGCCTCAGGGTAAAGTAACTCAGATTTATGGTGTTTTAATTAAAACATTAGGTAATATGAAAGGGCTCCATTTTGTACTACTATAGCTTATAAAATCTTACTATCTCCACATCAAGATACAAATATGTGTAGAAAAATCTCTTAATGCTTTCTTTTTAAAAATATATTTTATTGACTATGCTATTACAAGTGTCCCATCCCCCCCCTTTATTTCCCTCTGCCCTGCACACCCTCTCCCACCCATATTCCCCCACTTTAGTTCATGTCCATGGGTCGTACATATAAGTTCTTTGGCTTCTACATTTCTTATACTACTATTAACTTCCCCCTGTCTATTTTCTAACTACCATTTATGATATTTATTCTCTGTACCTTTTCTCTCTTTCTCCCCTTTCCATTCCCCCGCTGATCACCCTCCATGTGATCTCCATTTCTGTGATTCTATTCCTGTTCTAGTTGTTTGCTTAGTTTTTATTTTTTTTAGGTTCAGTTGTTAATAGCTATGTTTGTTGTCATTTTACTGCTCATATTTTTTATCTTCCTTTTCTTAGATAAGTCCCTTTAACATTTCATATAATAAGGGCTTGGTGATGATGAACTCCTTGAACTTTACTTTTTCTGGGAAGCACTTTATCTGCCCTTCCATTCTAAATGATAGCTTTGCTGGATAGAGCAATCTTGGATGTGGGTCCTTGCCTTTCATGACTTTGAATACTTCTTTCCAGCCTCTCCTTGTCTGCAAGGTTTCTTTTGAGAAATCAGCTGATAGTGTAATGGGAACTCCTTTGTAGGTAACTGTCTCCTTTTCTCTTGCTGCTTTTAAGATTCTCTCCTTATCTTTCATCTTGGGCAATGTAATTATGATGTACCTTGGTGTGTTCCTTCTTGGGTCCAAATTCTTTGGGGCTCTCTGAGTTTCCTGGACTTCTTGTAAGTCTATTTCCTTTGCCAGATTGGGGAAGCTCTCTTTCACTATTTTTTCAAATAAGTTATCTTGCACTTCTCCTTCTGGCACCCCTATAATTTGGATGTTGGAATGTTTAAAGATGTCCTGGAGGTTCTTTTTTTTGAGTTCTTGTTTCTTCATTCTGTTCTGGTTGAATGTTTCTTTTTTCCTTCTGGTCCACACCATTGATCTGAGTCCCAATTTCCTTCCCATCACTGTTGGTTCCCTGTACATTTTCCTTTATTTCACTTAGTGTAGCCTTCATTTTTTCCTCTAATTTGCAACCATATTCAACCAATTCTGTGAGCATCCTGATTACCAGTGTTTTGAACTGTGCATCTGATGGTTGGTTATCTCCTCATGGCTTAGTGGTATTTTTTCTGGATCTTTGATCTGTTCTTTCATTTGGGCTTTTTTTTTTTTGGTCTCCGCAGGCCTGTCATGTAGTAAGGGGTAGAGCCTCTTACTACTTAGGTGTTTACCAGGGCAGGGCAACCCACATAGTCGCATTGTGATGCTGTGCGTGGAGGAGGGGTCCAAGAGGGAACAACGCTGCTTGTGCTGCTCTCTGCCAGTTTTCAGTCACGTTCTCTGCAACTCCAAATCAAATTGGGCCCTTCTGGTGCTGATTCTGGAGTGGGTGGGTTTGTGTATATTCTAGGACCTTGTGAGTCTCTCCAACAAACTCTCCTGTGAGGCTGCGAGTCTCTCCCAGCAACTCAACCCCCACAGGTGTTTTCAATTGGTGTTTTGAGGCTTTATATCCTCTTGCTGGAACCCTGGGTTGCCTGGTCTGTCCTGCTCCCCAGTTGTTCCTCCTGGTTTATCTGCACTCGAATGTGGGACTGCCCAGTCTGCCAGCCGCTGCCTTACTGTGAGTCCTTTCCACCCAGCTGCCCATCTCTGCCCCTCCTACCGGTCTGGATAAATGTTTCTTCTTTAACTTCCTGGTTGTCGGACTTCCATACAGTTCAATTTTCTGTCTGTTCTGGTTGTTTTTTGTTTTTAAATTTGTTGTTGTCCTTCTTTTGGTTATGCAAGGAGGTATAGTGTGTTTACCTACTCCTCTTTCTTGGCTGGAAGTATCTCTTAATGTTTTCTGACTGGTGATGATGGCGCCAGTGACACGTTACACTTGTACAGTGACTTTCAGTTTAACGCCTCTGGACAACCCTGCAATGTGCACAGGGCCAGCTTATAGGTGAGGAAACTGAGCTCTGAGATGACAAGCAACCTGCCCAGACCATGTGCCCAGTGACAATGGAGTTGACTTTGAACCACTGACTTCCCTTTCTGAGAATCCTCACTCTGGTACGTGTTATGGACCCCCATAGTGCTAACCTCAAAACTGTTTTCCACTCCACTTGTACACTTCAGCTACACATTACCATTAAAATATATTATCTACATATATTTGACCATGTCAGAGGTAAAGACCCATATGAAAGAAAGGGGGGAAATTAAGCCATTGTATTAGCCTATTTTTTCTGTTAGACTTCTATTTTTTTCTGTTAGAGCAGTTATATGGTGTAAAAACAAACAAATACAATCTCCTACAATCATTCCACTCAGGTGATCTTTCTGTTCTATGGAACGAAACATGGCCATTGCCAGAGAGAATTTCAAGATAATGCACAAAAGGAGATGCTTGCATTTACAAGGGACCCATAGAAATACAAACCTGGTTTCTCACCCAACCACTATCAGCGAAATGACGTTGGGCATAAGTTATCTACCAATCACCTGTGGGCGGACATGGTTCTTTCCATGCAGTGGATACCCTTGTGGACGCATCTTTGTGCACCTGTCTGACTGCTGACTTAAGATAAATCCCTACGAGTAGAATTGCTGAGGTGAAGACAAGGCACCGTGTGTCGGCCACGGGCACAGCCAGCCACAGCCTCTTCCACCCACTGGAGGGCAAGAACACACGGCTGTGTCACAGTCTGTTCTGAGGGGTTACACGTCAGTTGTTACTGATAAACAAGGCACTATTTTGAAGAAATTAGATTTGTTATTGGTGATGAGGTTTCACATCTGTTCGGTTCTGTTTTTAGTAAGCTAGATATTTAGCAAATGAGATTATTCTGTGGTATGGACAATGGCACGTCTCCCTGGCATTCATGTAAGCTTTTCTAAGCAGGGAAGAAAGGGCTGGAATGAAAACCGGCCGCTGTACTCAGTGTGAGTGGTTATGGCTAATGTATCATTTTTAATTATAGAGACTGCGAACTAGTCCAAGTTTTAATTGCTTTCAATGACGTTTTCTACTGTGTCAAAATCTGGGCATGCCTGGGGGTGTACTGTCAGGTCAACATCGTCGGTCCTGGGAGCCAGGACGGAATAAAGACTGAGTCCCTGGTGTATGACCCTGTGTCCTTCTCGGCCAGGAATGCCCTGCTGCATTTATGCCTGATCCTCCTGGCATGTATCCTAAAGGCAAAGCGGGGAGAAAATACTGGCATAATCATGGCAGACCCAGAGGACAAAGTAATTGTCCTATTTTTCAAACCGAACATATTCTTTTTGTTTGTTTTAATAAGAAAGTTGTGTAGCTATACCTGGACATCCGGGGATACCGGGCTCACCCTTTGGACCAGGCGGCCCAAACCGACTTGCAGGATCTCCTTTGCTTCCTGTGAGTGAAAAAGCGCACATAACGTTATTGAAGAGAGCCTAATTTTGTCTCATGTAAGGGACCTAGTCATCCTCATAAGTTTATCTTTGTAACCTGTCTTTCTAGTCTACCTTCAGATATGCCAGAAGAGGATTTTATTAATCCCTTTACTTTCCTACATAAGAACAAATGGAAACATAGATGTAAGATATGTGTAAATACACATGCTTTTATAATTGATAACAATCATAGGAAACTGTAAATCTTAATAAGTTTAGATTTTTAAATTCCCTAAAATAGTTTCAAATGCAGGCATCTGTTTAAGAAATTCCCTGGCATGGCGTGTCCTTATCTTGTGTTTTTGACACACAAAAAAATTGTCCCTGTTTCCGCTGCCGCAGTCACACTGCAAGCTCTCTGCAAGGAGGCTCAACTCAGTGTTCTTGTAAAAACGAAGTCATGAACGGAGTGACACTTTACTGACGATTTCACAAGAGGTGGCACATTCAAAAGCCATTGCAGTCCATGACTCCTATGCTCCCACAGAGCTCCTGGACATAAGGACTCACGTCACAGTGGGAGCCGTTATAAATGGGGGACTCAAGATGGGATGGTAGGGAGGGGTTGCAAGAGACCAACACGGCTAATCAGGTATGTGTGTAAACCCTGCCCACCAACATGGCTTTCTAAAGGGTCCCACCCGCAGCTTGTACGAGGTTCCCTTCCATCTGACCCTACTTTGAGGAGTAGGAATCTGCCAATCCCCAGTCAGCCAATCTTCCCTTGAGAAGTTGTCATAAAAAGTGAGAATTTGAGGTCATTGGCTACTGAAGCAGAAAGAAAAAAAAAAGAGTACCATAATGCCCTGAAGTACAGCATGTTAGAATGCAATCCAAACGTATCCAGGAGATCTGGAAAGGATACTAAACAGAAGAGAGTGATGAAACCAGTTGGCAGGTAAGTAAAGACCAGGCTGGGGAGAATGGCAGAAAAGCCGCAGGAGAGACCCATGGGTTGCTTAAGTGTCGGGCTCCATCAGCCGTGCGGTCGGCAGAACTGGGTCTCCTCTCCGTGAGCTCCCCTGTGGGCTCCCAGGATGCCTTTCACTCTAACTATCTTGAGTGCATGTCAGTTGCAGGAAAATGTTCCCTAATGCAAGTACCAAGGAAATAAGAAGTAGGTTTCTACTTTGAGAGAGGTAAAGGAACTAGAGAAACTCATAGGGAAGTAGAAGAGGAGTGAGTTCTGAAAACCCTGAAGTTGTGAGATGTCAAAAGTCAAATACGAAAATATCCCTCTTTGTAACCATTTCCAAAGAAGAGAGCTATATTATTCTTTCTGAATAAATGTGTGCATACTTTATTTTTCTTACAATTAACTTATTATTGATGTAGTTTCTGTCAAAGAGGAAAGCATGTATCATTGGAAATGAGGGAGAGGATTTGTACGTGGTTCATTAATTGGTATTTTACATTTTAAAGTGTTTTTTTGACCATATTAAAATAAAATATAACTGCATGTCAAACCTGTGAATTCACAGAGTAGGGTTAAAAAGGCGAATCCTTTCTAAAGTAGATTTAAAAATATTAAACCAACCCTCGTTGGTGTGGCTTAGTGGATTGAGCACCAGCCTACGAACCGAAAAGTCACCAGTTCGATTCCCAGCCAGGGCACATACCTGGGTTGTGGGCCGGGTTCCCAGCTGGGGATGTGGGAGAGGCAACCGATTGATGTATCTTTCGCACATTAATGTTTCTCTCCCTCCCTTTCTCCCTCCCTTCCCCTCACTCTAAAGATAAATAAAATCTTAAAAATATATATTAAGCCAAAGGTATAGAAAAGTATTAACTGAATGGTATAGAAAAATAGTAAAAATACTAAAGGTTTTATGCAAACATTGCAATTTAAGATAGCCCGATTTCTGTTTATTTGCTTGTTTATGAGCATAAAGGGTTAACGAAATCTCTAAGGACATTTTTGACATTAGGTCAACTTTCTACTTCTGTTTTCCAGAAACAGAAGTAGAATGTAGGTTGTATTACAGGCACAAGGTAAAGTAAGGCCTGCAGCCTGTTTGTAAATAAAGTTTTATTGGCACTTAGCCACGCCCCTTTGTAGGTTAACTATAGCTGCTTTCATGCACAACTGAGCAGATGTGACAGAGACCATACACTAAAAATATTTATAACTTGGTCCTTTGGAAGAAAAGTATTTGCTGACCCTTGACGTAGAGTAAAAAGCAACCTAACTGTATGTGCACTGCGTGTGGCCCGGGAAGTCTTCAGTGAGCCATTGACACCTGGTGGGAAGGCCTGGCTCTGGCCTTCGCGGGCTGTGACTCTTGTACCTGGGACCTGAAACACCAGACCTGTGGGGTCCTAAGGAGAAAGTCTGGCCTCTGTGGGGCATGGGGTTTCTCAGCCAAAGTGGACGGGGCACACCCACGTGGGTCTGATCTCCTTGCGCCTGAGCTGAGGGAGCCGCAGTCACTCCAAACACAGCGGCAAGGACTCCCCCTGAGGGGGACGACCCTAGGTGCCCTACAGACTTGCTGTTGTCTGTCTGGTCCTCTTGGATCTGAGTGACAGGTGCGGATGACTTGGGTCTGACTGTCTGACTATCCAGAAGAGTCTAAAAGGAACCCCTGGGTGTTGCAGTTCGTTTGATTTTGCTTTGCTTTTCATGCAAAGGGTGCCTGCTCACAATGTGACCAACACCCAGGACTAGGAGACTGATGGCTGGCTGCTGTGTTTCCAAACCATACCTTTGGGTCCGCTCATTCCATCCATTCCGGAAGGTCCAGGGGGCCCTGGAAGACCCAGCTCACCCTGAGAGTTTAATGAAACACAAGGAGAACTGTAACTGGGTTCCACACACCAATGACACAGGCATGACATGATCCAGACATAGTTGGCTATAACCCATTTGGTGTTGATACCTTGCAGTGGAAAAGAAATTTGGAAATGCGTTGCAAGCAAGCCACTACACACGTCTAGTTTTTAAAAGTGGGTGGAACTTCAGAACCAGGGGCACTCATAACAAGAGGGAGCATCTAATTCTCTATACTTGACTGCAAAATAGTAACTGCGTCACATAACTTGAATTTTAAGTTTTGAATAAGTTGAGACTACATAAAATATTAGAAATCACATCACGCCAAAAAGTTTAAAAGTCCACTTTTTTCTAAGAGATGGGTGGTAAATTATATCATACATTTTCTAGAAGTTGTGATATAGCCAACTACCCTTATTGTACCTCCTGGCTTTCCAGGGGCCATTTGACTCATAATTGGAAGGACCAAGTCTATGTATTTACAGCAAAATCTGTGATAGCTGCAATGGGATAAGAAGGCTTAGAAACAAAAATTTGGGTCATTTTTCAAACGACTCTTTATTTCAGTCCACCAGCAATCATGAGGCAAGTCTCATGGAGCTGTTCTAGCTAAGCTCGCAGTAGTACGTGGAGTAAGCAATGTGGTGACCTGTGTCATAGGAACCAGGCACTGGTCAGACATGACAGTTACATCATGGCCTTCTGGAAGCCTCTATCTTTCCCTCAGCCAGCCCCTTAATTCTAAAAGCCAGGGAAAGGGCAGTGATGCCCACTGGCAAATCATGACGCCCCACCACATCCTGAGAGTGCATGGTTTTATTATTTCTCCTCTCCCAAAATAACAGCCACTGACCTGGTCACCTGGAAATCCCGGAAAACCGATGATCCCTCTGGGCCCAGGGGAGCCTGGAGGGCCTGGGGGTCCAGGAAGCCCTGGCCACCCATCTTCACCAGGCTCTCCTCTGTGAAATCCAGGTGGTCCGGGTCTTCCCGCATCTCCTCTTCTCCCCGGCATCCCAGGATAGCCTTTATCACCTGCGGGGGGTGGACGTGTTACAAACCAGTGGGAGCAATTCTCGGACTAGGCTGAGGATCTTGGTCCAACTTTTATGGGATGAAGCCAAAGGGATTGGGGGTCCTAATTCCTGCTCTGAACCACATGGCGATGATAGTTTCGGGCTCCAGTGACCTGACTGAGAAAGAGGCTGCCCTTGCACAGCCTCAGGGGTGTCCTCAGAAGGAGCCCACACGCAGCACCATTTGCATCAACACTCTCATTTTACAAACGAAGGACTTACCCAGGGAAGTTCACACGTTTGACCCCTAACAACTAGTTAAGGACAGAGCCAGGACAAGAACTTCGGTCTCATGGGAATAAGTCTGAACTTGGGGAAGAGGACACCAGAGTGGGGTCAGATCCTCGCTGGGGGCTGTGTCTGAGGCAGCAGCACGGGCCAGGGGAGAGCTTGTCAGAAAGGCAGGTTCAGCCCAGCCTGGCTGATTCAGGGTGTGCCAAGCAAAAATGACTTGGAAAATCTCTGTGCTCTTCATTTTCATGCCAGCCACCAACACTAGGGTACTTTAAACCTGCAGTAGTATTTTTTGTGTATTGCTTGGGATTGATCCTACTTTGCAATATCCAAATCTCTAAATACGCATGAACTTCAGCTAAGTTCTAGCATGTGAAAGCAAAAAAAAAAAAAAAGGAAAAGAAAAGAAACAACAACCACCAAAAAAACTACCATAAGTTCATGGGTGTGTATATTTATATCTAAAAAGGACCTGTTCTAGTCTCAGTGTTACTGGAAAAGTTGCCTAATCCACATGCCTGTTGGAATGATCTGTAAAGAAGTTAATGTATTCGATATGGTTAAAAAAACAAACGTGTTTACCTTGTTCTCCTGGGGGTCCATCATCTCCAGGAGGTCCAGTGTCCCCAATGCTCCCCTTTTTGGAAATTATAGCCATTTCTCCTTCATCTCCTGGGGGTCCTGTGTCTCCTTTAGACAGTAATTATTCAAGAGCAAAACAAACAAGCAACACATGTGTGAGCCTTCTGTTGTCACTTCATGTGCAGTTTGCAAACCCCCATTTAGGCTGCTCAAGGGCATTTATGTTGATGGACTGCACAGGAGTAGCCCTGCCGGTTGACTTCCTAAGGGAAGGGCCACGCCCTTTGTACACCTCTCCCAGCCTGCCTAACAGGGCCTGGTGTAGAGTGAACACTCAGGGAACATGTGCTGGTCTCCGTCTTAAGTGAGAAAGGACAGGCTTGCAAAGCCCCAGGTCTAAAATGCGTCTCTTCATCCTGTGAAATCTGAATCGCCTATCCCGTGTGTTCCAGTTCTCCATCTTGCCCTTCCTGACCACCCTCTGTTAGCTCCCTTCCATTAAAGAAACAGGCACTTATCTCAGCTTGGATCTTCACACAGAGAATTCCAAAAAAGTAGGAAGGGCAGATGATATAGCAGCCTGATTTTCATAAACACTGCCCAGTTGTAGAGTGCATTGGAGTGGGCTCATACCAGCTTGGTGAGGGCCAATGATTAACAACTCAAAGCTTTAAATCAGTCTGGGAGTATTGATACCAGGGTGCAAGTATTTATGCCTCCATGGGACTAGTCATGCCATGGTGGGAGTATTCGTGCCACGGCTCTCAGCAATCACTACCAGGGAATTTATTTTAAATTTTATTTTGGAGAACCAGTTTACCAACACATCACTGGCATTCACCTCATTTTTTACTTTTTTGACGGGATAATTGTTTAGTAGCATAATATCACTAGCACAACAAACATCACTTATCACAGTCAACTAGCAAAGAATGATTCTCTGATTCCTTAATTCTATATAATCTATAGGCTAGTAAAACAAAATAATAGCAGAATCAATCACCTCAGAAATAAGAGTAATTTGAATTAACCAGGAGGCTATTTCCCCAAAGGGTTTTAAGGTTTTTACCTTGCTTCTAAAACTGACAACTATTCATTCTCAACCCTGAAAACGAAATGTTACCTTCACTCACTGTAGACTCACAGTTAAGTGGTAAAAGTTAATATTTAAAATAGATGAGAATATTTAAAGAAGTAATATCAAAACTTTCATGTTTTATACAATAAAAACTTTTTTTATTTTTCAATTACAGTTGACATTCAATTTCTTTTCAGTTGAAAACTCTTACTTTAAATGAAGCTGGGGGTGGGGGGACTGAACTCAGGGCCCAGATGAAAGTGAACTCACTCCATTTCGGAGGTTGGCAAGCCACAGCCCGAGGGCCGGGTCCTGCCTGCTGCCACTTTCTGTACGATTCATGAGCCATGATTGGTTTTCACACTTTTAGACAGTTGGGAGAAAAACTCAAAACAAGAATAGTATTTTATGACATGCGAAAATTAGGTGAAGTTCAAATTTCCGTCTCCATAAATAAAATATTTTACATGCTGTCTCTGGCAGCTTTCGTGCTACAGCAGCCTAGTTGAACAGTTGCAACAGAGACCATACATCCTGCAAAGCCTAAAATATTTATATCTGGCTCCTTAAAAAAGTTAGATTTTTTTTCATAAAAAAATTGAAAGAGAATTTGGGAGCCAAGAGCCCTGACCGCACCCCCTGCCTAAAAGGTGAGAATGTTTTCTGAAACCCAATAGCTATAAATCAAAGCACTTATTAATTTCCTTCTGTGAAAGAGAGGAATTCATTTGCCATAGTTCTGTGTAATAAGATTGAGAGGTAAGGACAATGAAAATTTTGTTTAAAATTGTAAAATCGACACCACAGCACCGAAAGGCAGAGGAGGAATCTGCACCACGGGACGGTCCCGTGTCGCGTTCCAGAGACCGCTGTATGGGCTCCGGTCAGATGCCCAGAGCAAACCTCTGCTGCCCCACTGTGCCGTCCACTGCGCTTACCTTTGGCGCCTCTCACTCCCTGGTCTCCCCCGGAGCCAGGCCAGCCCTGCTCTCCAGCGTCCCCCTTTCTGCCACGGTGTCCCTTGGGGCCAGGCTTTCCTCTCTCTCCAGGAAAGCCTGGCAAGCCAGGCAGCCCCTGGGGTCCTGGAGAAGAGAAAGCATGAATTTTCAGGGAGAGGCTTTAAAGGCTGGCACGGTCCCTAGATCTGTGCCCCTGAGCCTGGGGTGCGCACTCCGGCCTGACTCTGAGTCTGCAGTGAAGGTGAGCGGCCACGACGAGTCTCATGCTGTGGAAGAGCTGGGCTCTCCCACGCCACGGGTCCCTTATGGTTCTGAGTCCTGAGCCCATAGTGGTTGCAGAGAGCTGGGTGTGAGGGAGGGAGCTGGAGAAAGGAGGGGGCATCTAAAACAGGAGCGCATTAGCCCTGATGCTACAATTTCCAGGTTCTACCCAGTTCATTGAGCAGAAGTGCTTGTGGGTTCTATGGCCCTAACACCCCACCTACCAAAACACTCTGCCCCTGGAAAAATCAATACAGAAGATAAGAGAAGGGGAGATGTCACCAAGGGTAGCACAGAGTCAAGCTCATAGAACAGAACGTTCTATAGTGTGGTCATACCTAACAGGTTTCACCTGGCAGTGGATTTTAAGTTTATAAAATGAGGAAGAGAATTGAAAAGCGCTACCCACCCTTGGGGCCTGGATGACCAGGTAGTCCATCGTCCCCAGAGGGGCCTGGGATTCCCGGGGGTCCTAGGGGTCCATCTACCCCTGGCCCCCCTGGGACTCCGGGGAGGCCCTTCATTCCAGCTGGTCCAGGAGGCCCCGCATCCCCTCGCTGTCCTTTCCAGCCCGGGGCACCTGAGACAAAGCACAGTGACAACAATGCAGGGAGACCGACAAGTGGCCTCACACACAGGCGGGGAAACAGAGTCATGGCAGCTTCAATGGTGCATCCGGGGCCAATGAAACAAAAGTGAAACAGTGTTTATCAGCTAAAAGAATAGCAGCTCTCCATCCTTCTACAAATATACTTTTGCTGGCTGCTATAAAATGAAGGGCAGAAATATTTCCCAATAAGGACGCATGAATAGTATAAACAGTTTTTATGGGAAATGGATAGGGGTAAAAACCAAAGTGTTATTTGTATTTACTCTTGGAGGGGTGGAGGGGTGGGGACGGAAACTAAGGAAAAAAACTGTGGTACATTGACACAGTGGAATTCTATGCAGCAGAGAGAAAGAAGGAGCTCCTACCCTTTGCAACAGCTTGGATGGAGCTGGAAAGCATTATGCTAAGTGAAATAAGCCAGGCAGTGAAAGACAAATACCATATGATCTCACCTTTAACAGGAACCTAATCAACAAAACAAAGAAACAAGCAAAATATAGTCAAAGACACTGAAATAGAGGACAGGCTGACAGTGACCACAGGGGAGAGAAGAGGGAATTTCAGGGGAGAATGGGAAGGGTTTACAGGAACAAATTTAAAGGACACATGGACAAAAACTAGGGTGGTTGGTAATGGGAGGGAAGTGGGGAGGGATGGGTGGGTGGGCTGGAATGGAAGGAAGTAAAAGGAAGAAAACTGTACTTGAACAATGAGTAAAATAAAATTTAAAAAAAAAAGAAAACTTTCCAGATCCTCCCAGACACTATGGCCAAGGGAGTTTCGGTCAGCGTGTGCACTGTGATGGGAGAATTGTAGAAACCAGAGCGACATCATCTAACGTTCTTGGTGCTAGAAACAAAGTGATAGGGGCAGGTTTAGTCCCACTCTTGTGTTGGCCCTATGATACGGCACGTTCCTCCGTTTGGATCCACGCAACAGGATTTACGTGGCAGGTGGCAACCTGAATGCCCAGATGAAGATCCTATTGGAAAGAGCCCCCTAGAGCCCTGTGCTGAGAAATGCTCTTTCATGAGTCCCTGCAGGTCTTGCTGGGTAGGCCAAGGATACAAGGTCCTGACTGCTCTTTACCTGGGCTGTTATTTCTCAAGGTCATGTTTGCTGAGAGCAACCTTGGCAGATGATACAGCACCCCTCTCCCGGCACAGAAAGCCGGTTGTCTTCTAGCCACTGAACACCAGCAGCCCTCCTCTCAGTACTGCACCCCGCTGTGCACGCAGTGTCTATCCAGCCCCTCTTATGTCACCCCCGAGACACTCGGGTGGCTTGGGGACATGACACAAACCGACAAGCAGCCTGTGCTACTTTCTGTGCAGTGAATAAGGAAGTTCTTCGTCACTGACCCTACAGTCTCATTTCTTCCAGCATCCGTGAAACAGCAATAAGCAAGCTTATTCCTGCATAAGTAGGGTAAAGAAGGCCCCAGACCCTTCACAGCTCCTGCCACCTGCTGACACTTACCTGGACTGCCTGGAGCCCCAGGGAGACCTGGTGGCCCTGGTGTCCCGGGAGCACCTCTTTCACAGGAATGGCCCGGTGGACCTGGGATGCCTGGAAACCCGGGACTTCCCTCTCTGCCTTTAGGGCCTTTGAGACCTGGGGTTCCGGGCACGCCAGCTGGCCCTGAAACGATACAATTCACCTGTGACGCGCATGGCACAAAAACAACGTAGATGGCCAACCACAGAGTGCAGGCGCATCAGCACAGGCAGTCAGCACGTTCCTCCTGGCCCAGTGCTCAACGGGTCAGTTCTGTGAATGGGGAAACCACACATTGCTCAGTGAGTTACTTGATAAGGTTATGTAGACAACAAAGACGTTGTTTATGCAAACTGAAAACCATGCAGTTCTTCCAGATTTTTATTAACCTCTTGCATTGCAGCAGGCTTCTCACAAAATCGCCACAACACTCGCAGACCCAATGTGTGCTGTGCTAATCTCCATTTTTATTTACTGGACAGGGAGTGTCATAATCTTCAGAAAGAAAAACACCCCCCATAATTCCCCATCCCAACCAAAAAGATCTATTTTATTTTTCCATGTTTTCTTTATACTTTTGGTTCCTATGTATATATTTTTAAAGTAGTAATCACAGTGCACATTCAATTGTTGGATTATTTCACATTGCATATTAATCTGAAAGTGTTTTCCATTTTGTTGTAAACTTCACAGATATGATTTCAACTGCTAATGCTAATAGATGAATAGAGTTTCTTGGAGTTCATACATGTGTGCATTACTTAGCTCTCTATTAGGAATAACACTATAGTTGACTTGAACAACTTTGAACTATACAGGTGAACTTATATGCAGATTTTTTAAATAAACACTATAAATGTATTTTCTCTTCCTTACGATTTTCTTAATAGCATTTTCTTTTCTCCAGCTTTTATTATTAGAATACAGTATATACTACACATAACATACAAAATATGTGATAATTGACTGTTTATGTCATCCATAAGGCTTTCGGTCAGGAGTAGGTTAGTAGTAGTTAAGTTTAGGAGAGTCAAAGGTCACATGCGGAGTTTTGACTGCGCAAGTGTGGGGACGGGGCTCGCTGTCTCCAACCCCAGCACTGTTCCAGGGTCAACCGTGAAAGTGCATTTTCATAGCCTTCGTCTTCTGTTGAACACTGCCCTGAGATACATTTTCACAAGTCCGATAGTGAGATTATCCGACCTAAATTATTTTCACTGACTCACATAATGTGTCGTGACTTTCCAATGTATTGGGAATCACGTGAAAATCCAATGTATTGGATTTTTTGTATACAAATATTTTGACTTACAGACTACCTAGTCAAGCTCCCTGAAGACAGAGAATGTGGCTCACTCCACAGCATGATTGTACTGTCGTGGGCACCTAGGAAACGCTGGCCTGTCCGCTGTTAGGCAAGCACCAGAGCAGGGTTTGTCCGAGTCTGGTGTGGGGCCCACTCTCGGCCGCTAACACCCTGGGGCTACAGTTTATACTGGACGGTTGGGCCTTACCCAGTTCTGATGGGACGAAACAGAATCCCTGAGTCTGGAGCCCTGAAGGTGATGATTCTGATGACCTCGTCCCACCCTCAACCCGGGATTACTTTTAAGTTCATTCCAATCTGAAAACTTCTGCTGGAGTCCCCGAAGAATCCTTAGAGATTTCAGAAGAGGACGTGAATCCCTGCCAGGGCCGTCTTCCCATCCTGAGTTTCTTCCCCGCTGCCCTGCGTGCGACCCCTGCTGGAACGGACGTCCTGTCACCCTGTCACCTGTCCAAATCACGCAGCTCGTCTGCCAAGGCTCCGCCAGTGTCCAGCTCTCCCAGGGAGCGCTCCCCGGACTCCTGCCCACATTGCTCCGCCCCCCTGAGCTGCTCTCCCTCATCCGGCCTGTCCTGCCCTTCACCCAGGCAATGGCAGTGGGCAGGCTACACGGTCCCTGCTCCTTGGCACTAACACACTGTCCCAAGTCCAAAGCAGGGACACTGACATCCAGGAGCTGCCAAATCAAACTGATTTGCCTGAGCCACGGTAAGCTGCTCTGGATGTGAAAACAACCAATAAAATGCAAGAGCAACACAGGTTATTTGAAAGGCAACTGGGGTGCCCACGTAGGAGGGAAGGTGCTCAGGGGACATTTTTACGTTCTGGATTTCCAAGTGAAATACTGCAAGTGCCCTTCAGTGACCTTTCCCAGAACTGAGCTGGCTTTGTAGACACAGGGACTGCACAGCCCTCATACCTGCAGGCCCGGGATGTCCTGGGTCACCCCTGAGTCCTTTCAACCCCGGCATTCCTGAAGGACCCCTCTTTCCTGGGGGTCCTGGGTGGCCATAAGCGGGGTCTCCAGGGGCTCCTTTCTGACCATCCGGTCCAGGTAAACCAGGAGGGCCTGGGGGCCCGGCAGGAGAGGAGCCCTTGTCCCCTTCCAAACCTGGATCTCCCATGCCACCACGAACACCTGTGGAACAAAAATTGTTTCAAGCATTAAATGTAGAAATCTAGAACCTAAGCACCTATAAGACTGCTACTTTGATAAAAACACATTTTTAAAAATACAAAGGCACTTAACAGGTATTGTTGTTTTTGCCATCTTTTGCAAGGAAATAAATTGTAATTTTGTATTTCCTAAATATGGATGGCATCTCCCTGATTGCTTGCATCGTCTGGCAAATGGACCACCTGGACTGAGCATCTTTTACAACGCAACAGACCAATGACGGCCTACAACTCATGCTTCAGGTGGAAGAGACCTTGATAACTCACAAAATTATCACAACGCAGCTAAGAACTTCATGTATGGCCGAAACCCTTTCCCTCACCATCTGGGGACCTTGGGACTATTGCCTTAAGAAGATCATCCAGTTTTAGGACATGCGACTTGCCCTAAAGAAAAGCACTTTCCTTACCAGGTGGACCAGGTATTTTTGATACTCCCGGTTTGCCAGGACAACCTTTTTGCCCGTCAAAACCCCTCGGCCCTGGAGTACCCCGAGGACCAGGAAATCCTTTCGGACCTAAACAAAACAACAATGAAACACAGGCTCAGTAAGACACAAATCAAAGGAGAACAACAGGAGGTGATTTTAAAAGATCTGTGTTGAGCCTGTTTACGAGTGTTTCTACTTGATGGCGGTAAAGATGTGTCCTCGTCTGGGCGGTAGAACAGTTTTATGAGTCCCCTGCTCCAAATAAGTGTTTCTTAGGCAGTGATTGATTGTGTCCGGGTACTTTCTCAGAAGCTGCCCTGTAAAGGGTTCCTCCTGAAAGCCTTTTGCAGGAGCACCACCCTCCAGCTGAGCCTTGCAGTGCGCTCTCGTGCTGAGTCTCAAACACACATATGTGAGCACAGCCTGTCCTTCAGGGAGGGTAGAGGCAGTAGCCAGCATGTGGCCCTGATGCAAAGACACGACAGGAAAGGCCAAAGTGCAGTCCCCACATCTCACTACATTTGCCCTTAAGTGAAGTATAGGCCAAAAGCCCCTGTGAAAGGAATTGAGGGGTTTTTTAGAACCTTCTGTGATTTCCTATTAGGAGACACCTCAGCTGAAATGACATACAAATCATGAAGTTCAGGGCTCAATGTTCGCTTCCCTTGAGCTGGAAGCTGCTAAAAGTGATCACAAATTGTTTTTCTGCATCTATGACAAGGTATCAGTAAATGTGAAGAGCATTGGATCAGTCAGCCAGCAATGCTCCTCTCTACTGGTGGGGACATATACTTCTGCCCCCTGGCTCTTGCCTTGTGCTGGGTGGGGTGTCGTTCCCACGCTTTGGCCTGGGGCTTGGTCCTGGGACTTGCTTTGGCCAATAGGATATTAACAACCATGAAGCAACGAGAGGTGCAAACTCTGCCCACAAAGCCAGGCTGCCCTCCTGCATTTCTGCAGTCACATGACACGAGCACATGCTGGTCCCACAGTGACCCAATTCTGCAGACCCCAACTTGAACTTGAGCCCAGGACCAAGTCAACTGACACCATCTTAGGTCCACTGAACCCCCACAAACCTGCAGACCCACAACAGAGAAAATAAATATGTGTGGTAGCCCACTGGGATTTTGAGGTTGTTATATAACATTATCGTGACAAAAGCTATTGGCTACAGAGAGCTATAGAGTGTCATTCATCATTCAACCTGTCATTTTTTTGTTGTACAGGACTGAAAAGTTACCTTCAGTAGCTCTGCCAGTGGTCAATGGGTCAGTTTAAGTGAACTCTGAATAAATAAAAGGAAATTGGGCAAAATTCTTTATATAGATTTGGGGGTCTAATGTAGCTAAAAAGATAGTGATCCAAATGAACCAGTTTCCTGAACATGAAATCAGGGATGTAGGTATGTGGGCATTTTTCAGATTGTTTCTGGCCAGAAGTTTGGGTCTCTTGTAAAGCAGAATAGAGAAAAACGTAGAATCAGTAAGCAAGTGATTGTTTTTTTAATTCTTGGGACACAGGACAAGAAAGTAGATACAATTTTAACACTCTCAAAGGCAAACATTTTAACTTGTATGTGATCCAATCCAGGTAAATTTTGTTGCACGGAGATAAGAAGAACCCACTTGGAGTGTGCCCAGACCAGCAGACTAGAGATTCAACATGAATTACTACAAATGCTGTTTTCCCATGGGCCCTCAAATCCTTATGTTAATTTTAGAGTACCCTAACTTTTTGCCCGTGGATTTTCTTTTGGTTTATCTGCCTCGCCAGGGCTTTTATTCTGAAGAACGTATAAGACAGCGGCTTCTCATTGGTCGTACCTGGAAGTCCATCCGCACCCGGAGGGCCTGGCTGCCCAGGATAGCTGACATTACAAGGAACTGCATCACCTGGAATAATAATTTTAAAGGGTGGCATTCACACAACTGATAGCTCAATGCACTGTGAATCTCAATGACAATTCCATCAATATATTTTTTCATAGAGTATATGTAGAATTCAAAGGAAAAGACTCAAAAATACCATAGATCACTTGAACTACTTTTACTTCAAATTTCTAGAAAATCTGTCCTAACATCCAAACTTCAACTCTCAAAGCAGTTATAAACATAAGAGGATGAAGCAAAATATTGATTCCAAGAAGCATCAGTTTTAGTGACATAGAACAAATATTGGGTTTATAGACTTAAGGTGTTGAGTGCCATGAGAAGCCTTGGTAAATTACCAGCAGGCGCCGGTGCCAAATTCAGAAGATTCAGCTCCTAGTCCGGAGGTGGGGTAATGGTGCAAACAAAGAGACTGGGTGGGGCATTCAAAAGAGCTATCGTTCACTGAGGGCCCGGCCTGGGCCAAGTGCTTCCAACAGGTTATCTCTTGTCGTCCTGACGACCCTGCAGTGCGGTGAAAGTCATCTCCCACACCAGTCAGGGAGGACAATGAGATTCCCAGTGTGCACCTCTGAGACCCCTGTCTTTCAAAGTGGGGTGGCTATCTTTTATCACAGAAATAATAATCTCATCATGTATGCTCTCAAATCACAAACATATGAGATGAAAAAAAGTAATATTCGATTTGGATGGGACCCGGACTGATTTTAAACTATATTGAGTTCCGAGGTATTTGCCTTTCTAAGTCGTTAAATCAAGAACCAAAGGTATCATTCTTTTCTGAAATTTCACAATTAACAATGTAGCCCAAGGGATGTGTACATATTACAAAAAAAATCTTAAATAAATCTTTTTCCAACCTTTTAAAAAGTTTATAGCTATAATACTGCACATCATTTCATTGTTGGAAATTCATAAAACTATCAAATATATTTAAAATCCCTTCTTTTTTCTCCCAAGAATGCTTACAGATGGGTTTACAGGGACAATATAATGTGTTTTTTAAATGAAACTAGTGGGTTTTTTTAATTAAAATACACTGCCTTATCTCAGAAGGCTGTAAAAATAGATATTTTGAATATGGGTATACACGTAATTTTAATATAGTCAGATTGTATTAGTTGATACTGAGAAATGAATAAAAGGCAACTTTGGTATGCCAAACAAAGCAACAAAGACATCTTATCATTTTTAAGCATTTGTTTTAAATATTCATTCTGATGTGATGCTTTTACTTGTTTCACAACATTCGAGGTCTGAACAGCAGCTTGATGGAATTGTACTCAGTGGTTCTGCCACGGCTCGAATAGCTGCACCCAGAGGAGAGGCTCGCATGAGCCTCCGTGGCTTCACTGGACACGCTGCCACACGAAATGTTCACAATTACCTTTCTGACCCTTCGGGCCATCGGGGCCCCTCTCCCCTGGGCGGCCTGGGGCTCCTGGCTGCCCCCTTGCTCCCAGTGGGCCGGGAAATCCCAGTCCTGGAGGCCCCCTCGGTCCTTCTCTCCCAGGGGGGCCTGGCTGTCCCGGAGACCCTGGGTCACCTGGGGCCGCGTCTTCATGATCCCCCTGGGAACGTTCACATCGTGAGTCAGTTACCAACCTTGGAGGGTCCGTGAACTCAAAGTAGTCATTGTCACAAGCTCAGGAAACACAGGCAGAAAGCTCATAATTCTAGGAGACAGGGACTCCAGCAAATTTAATTTTAAACGATTAATTTAGATTCTTCTTCATATTCTACATTCATATTTACAGAAAGATGTGATTGGGGTGTGGGTCTTATGCCTCAAACACAAAAAGTTATGGGGTTGTGACATCTTGAAAACAGAATAAGAAATCTTACGGAGAACCATTCTTTATTATTCAATATAATAAAATACAGAATGAGTAAATGAATGGAGGTAGGAGCTTGCAAACTGAGTACGTTCTTATGCACTTGAAATTGTTTTCCAGCACTCTTATGAGAAGACACAGGGGTAGGCTCCATGCCCTGCCACATCTGTGGACAAAGGGCTGGCAGATCCTTGCTCCTCCCACGTAAAAAGTTGACCTTTGACTAACTGTCTACTTCTGTTTCTCTGGAAACTCTAAAAATCATATGTCAACTGCTCATTTCACATTACTAGGCAACCTGACATAGAGGAAAATCAAACCCAGGCAGCAAAACCTGCATCTGGTCTGGAAGGGCTGGAAAGGCCTGCACAGAACCCTCGCTGGAGCTTCCTTGAGTGGTGGCTCCTATAACCGCCAAGTTCCCTGTGGGGTCCCCCAAGCTCCACTGTGGGGCCCCCCGAGCTCCACTGTGGGGAATACAGTCCTTATGGGGAAGGCGGCTTTCAGGTCAGCGCTGCCCACACATCTGCCGCATGCGGACCTCATCTCCTTCACCCCACCCGAGGGCCCAGCTGCAAGGGCTCTGGCTCACCGGGAATGCCTGACGCCGCCCTACTGGCGAGTTCAGTGTCCCGTCTACCATCCTTCTGCACAGGCTGGTCCCAAATGTGATATATGATAGTGTTGTGAGTCTCCATTGTTTCAGTGAGCCTAGGAAGACCACCCCCTGCCAATGGGTGTGATAGAAATTCCTCTTCCAATGTGATCTGTAATATCCTCTGGTTTTACACAATCAGGTTAGTGTACATGAAGACAACTGCCACTCAGTGGCGCTGGTTCTAAATAGTTTCTCAAGTGGAAGAGTGAATTAAACAGGGACTATCGAGTCTAGAGCAGAGAACATTATTCACATATTGGAAGTCAGCAGAAAGACCAAAAAGCTATAAGCATGATCTAACCTGACTTCTAAACTTCTGTCTCTTATTCACACGTGTTGTCTCTGAACGATTTCCTATGAAATCAGAATGTGGTTCTCCCCTGTTACAACTCAGTCTGGTGGAGGGACCACGTGCTTTGGGACAAGGCCAACCATGGTTTTCACTCCTGTTTGACCTACTTGATAGATAGAGGACCTGGAGTGCCCTCACTGTAAAACTGGAGAGATACTTGTTCTTCCGAAGCCTACTATTGGGAGTAAACCCCTAGCTCCCTTTCTGTGTGATGACAAGCATTCAGAAATACCTCATATGCATGATGGTTTACATTCCTAAGCGTTGAAACATGTCTCACAGTCTTCTCTTATGACCTTCATTACCTAGACATGGTCTCCACCCAAAAGATGCTGAACAAATGTAGAAATACCATTCAGCAATGGATTTTCCATCAGCCAATACATCAATTTAGTGAAGTTGCACTAGTTTATCCTTTTTTTTTTTTGCTCACTACTTCCCTCACATGCTTCTTCCCTAGGGAACAGAACTCGAGGTAGTTATCAGGACCTGTGCTCTGTTCTCCACGCTACCGAGTCAACTGAACAGGCCTCTCATCAGTGCGGGCTTTGAAGACACGAGGGGAAAGACCACCGCAGGAATGATACAGAGACTGGAGACAGAAAGTCCTGCTGTGACTGAACTGCCACTCAGGATTTCAGACCATCTGCAATCATGCCATAGCTTTTATGACAACCATGGTTTTGTGTCGGTGAATCACAGGTGGCTCGGATTTCCAGCACATTAACATTTACCGAGGTAGAGCACATGCTTTGTGCCCGTGTAAGACAGCGAAATTCCACAGCAGAAGAACTGTACATACTGGGGGTCCTGGATCCCCTGGCACGCCAGGATGTCCGTCCCAACCGTGTTGTCCCCGCTGCCCTGGGGGTCCCGGGAGCCCATCAGGCCCTCTTTCTCCTTTGTGCCCTGGGAACAAAAGCCAAAAAGATATTCCAGCCCTTATCAGAAGTGGGGGAAGTAGAAGATGACCTGCGACCACAGATAAAGGCGTGACTTTCACTCCGTGTGAGGGGGGAGAGAGTCCCCTGAGGGCCCCACTCGCCACAGTTGCACTAAGGCAACTGCGAAAGTCAGAAAGTGGGAGATGACAACCGCCCCACCCACTGAATCTTCTATTTGGGAAACGTTCCTCTTCCCATGCTGACGGGGGGTTCTGTATGGGGCTGCCAATCACAACAGCATCTCCCCCGCCTGTGAGATGTTGGACATGGTCCTCCACCTCCTGGCCACAGTGGATGCCCCTGGGGACGCCACAGTGGACGAATCACCACTGTGATTCATGGTTGGGCACTTGCGAAGGCCGGTCCAATCCTTCCTGAAATTTGCTCCTAACTGGAGCGGAGAAAATACACTTCTTTCTTACATCGAGTTGGAAGAACTGGGACCTGCCTGGGGCATGTGCCCACAGCCCAGTGAAAGCGACTCTTGCGGCAAAGTGCAGACGGCACAATGAAATATGCAAGACGCAGGGACAGCCTCCTGTGTGGTTGTCCCTTGCAAACCCCACATCTAACCTTTCACATTTTGCTTAATTAGCCCCCAAATTACTTTTTTCTTAGACTACTCCAATCTGGATTTCTGTCACTTTACAACCAAAATATTCTTGATCAGCACAGGATTCTGTACGGTGGTGAATAAATACCAGGCAAGTCAAGGGAGGGCTGGTTTCAAACCTGGGTTCCCAGCACTAAAGATCTGAAAAGGTGACCGAAGACGCATGTGTGCTTCCAAATAAGAGACAGAGGATTTGAGGCTCAACATTCACACGACTCAGTGAAGGGCAGAGAGTATTTTCTTAAGAAACCTCAATAATAATCTTCAGTCTTGCTGTAGAATTGATCTGTGGTCACTGGGGAAATTACTGCAAGGAGGCGGTTCATGTATCATTCATAAGGTCTCAGCGAGGTAACTAATGAGGCTCACCTTTCAGTCTGGCTACAACCCTGTCTCCCTTTTCTCCTTTGTGGCCAGGCGGTCCTGGGGCACCAGGTGTTCCCTGGGTGAAAAATAATAGCAACAGGTCAGTTTAAGTGTGGTGGGTCAAAGGTTATTCACATTCCTGTATATTTAATGCCTCTTCTTTCCTTCTAACCACCTGCTCTAAATTCTAGTTTGGCACACCGGGTCTCCCTCTCGTCCTTGCCTTCCGAGGCGGGCCCTGCCTTCCAAAACCGAGGCTCTTGAATTGCATGTAAAAGCTGGTGGATCTGAATAACGTCTGTACCTGAGTTAGCAGAAATTCATCAACATCGCTGTCCTGGTTGTGACAACACACTAGGATTGTGTAAGGTATCATTGGGCGAAGCTGGGTGAAGGGTACGTGGAAGTTCTCTGAATGACCGTGTGACTTCTTATAAGTAAAACTTTATTTTAAAATAAAAAATCTATAGTTAGGAAAAACTTTTAAAACTATCGTGGGCTTTGTAATATAGAACTGAAAGGAGAGGGGTAGGCTAACCATGGCGGCTGCCACTAGAGCTGAAGGTAGAGATTGAGAGATGAGTTTGTGATTAAAGAGACTGGTATTGAGGGAAGTTAATGAGCAATAGAAGGAAAAGTAAGAACTTTGCTACAGTCAGTATATTTCCTCTGCAAAGCAAGTAAACACCTACCATATTTTGCTGTGTATAATGCGCATTTTTTGCCCAAAATTTTGAGGGAAAAATAAGGGTGCACATTATACATGTGTGGTCCTAAAATGTGGGTGCACATTTACACAGCAAAATATGGTAATTCTGGCTGATGGGTCATCATCTTTTGACCTCAACTGCTCTGAGACTGGTGTATGTGGGTTATGGTTTTGTAAGTGTTACATAGTATGAAATAGCAAGCCATGTCAAAAATCTAGAACCCTACCGTTGGTATATTGGAGTGGCCAAGCATTCCAGTAAATATTCTAGTAAACACGGACACACTACACATAGCTGAAAGTTACTTATCAAAAAACCCTGGCAAGAATGTGAAAAGAGGCAAAAATGGCTGAGCAGCCATTTGCTTTGCTCCCACACAGGCCCCGCTGCCTCGCTTTCACACACTCCCGCAACAGGTTGAAGCACGCCTGATTACCTTTCTAACTGGCCCTTACTGGTTTACGAGCGGCGCGGCGTAAAGGGGAGAAGGCGCCAGAGAGATGCGCACAGCCGCAGCGTCGAACAGAGAGGGTGTGAAGAAGCCAAGCATGCACCCAGCGGGCAGAGGAACCGAAATGGACGTCATGGTTGGGAGCCGTTCCATGTGGAGAAGATACAGCCGCACACACACCAGCCGCTCAATAACCCCACAAATATCACTCCAGGATAACACCCTGTGTGCGGCAATATCCTTGGGGCATCAAAACGGCGAGTGGAAAAAAAATTCTCAGTAGAAATAGCCAAATTCAACAAGGAAAGGAACTTTAGAAATCATAAAGTGCTCATATGGCTTGAGTATTGCTTAAATTCTTATTTTTGCTGTCCATGCTAAGTCACAAAGGACAAAGGAACAGGGCCACAGTGGTTGGCATGAGGTATCCAACCCAAGAGATGGACAGTGAAATGTCCCTCTGACGGATGGAGCATCAACGGGAAACTACTCACACAGCATTCGAACCAATGACTCCCCAGGAAGACAAGACCAGGGCCACGCTTCCTGAACGCCCTGGAGGAAGGCACGCACCCTGGGGGTCTGAGCAGATAATCAGTGAGCACACTGGCAGCTTAGAATGTATTACGAATTGCTCTAATGTTCTGCAGACGTGGAATTTTAATTATTCAAGTCAGATCATAGACTAAGTTGAGCTAGCAAGAAAAAACAATCACCAGCACCATCTCTATATTTCGCGAAGGAGACATCCATTTACTGAGAACCTACGAAGAGCCAGGCGTTGTTCTGAGTCCCAAGGACACAGCAGTTAACAAGACCGTCTGCCTTCATGGCATGGAGACTCTAGTGAAACAAATGTTGAATCTACGAAATTCCTGGGGTCAGAGGGCGCCCCAGCCACTTTGGGATCGAGAGCGGCTTTTCACAATTCGGAGACCCGCGATGGCTAAACATGTGTGTTAACACAACAGGCAAATCTCAGCAGCAACAAAAATGTCCTCTCTGCCTGGCGCATACTAGTTGTTTCACACACAGTCCAGGCCCGGGACCTCAACCGCAGGTGCCCAGTGGGCCGTGTCCTTCTGATGCAAGCAGGCGGGTGGTCGTGGTGGGGACTGGAGAGCCCAGACCTCCCCCCATGGGCACAGCCAGCTCTGAGCTGCCAGCAGCAGTGGGAACGCACTGACCCTGTGTTGATGAATTTCCAAGTTTCCAGGACGGCCATAAACCTCATAGTAATAGTACAGAAAGCAACAGTGAGATGTACGAAGGAGTGAGAGCACCTGCAGGGACTGTCTGTTGTTCTTCATGCTGTCTCCTTCTGTCCATCCCTCCCTCCCTCCTTCCCTTCCCTTCCACAGTGCCCCACAGTATGAACTTGGTCCCTAACTGTGGCTGCAAAGCGATGCATTTAATGCAGGGAAGTTATGTGGACAGAATCATACGCAGAACAAAGACATCACAAATACAGAGACTTAAGCCCTGGAGCACCGGAATCACATAAACCTCAGCCAGGACAACCCTGGATGAACTAGCAATCCACACGCCAACATGTCAGCCCTGAGAAACAACTCAATTAGGAAGCCACAAAAGTATTTTAGAGCCAATTACATCTTCATTAAGAAGATTAAGTAGCAATAAAAAGAAGTGATGATGATAAAATGTTGAATTAGAAAAGCAGACTATAAAATGCAAATTACGTAATAATTACAACCAAGCCCACTTCCCGTACGTGCATGCAGGCCCTAGCTTCCTGTTGAGCAGACTGTGCAAGTGCAGCAGGTGCTGCAGGGGCAGCTGGGTCGTCACCGCACTTCCGGGCCTCAGGTCGGGGACCTTATTTTCGTGAGACTTCCCGGGAGGAATGGAAACATGCATGGGTGCTGCTGGTCAGGCTCCAGGCCACCCAGGATTAACCCTCTTTAATAAGGAGGGAGAGGAGGGCTGTCTCCTGCCTGCGGAGGAGGATCCAGGGGGCAGTGATTTTGCTCCGATGGACAGCTGAAAGGCTGTGCCTCAACCCGAGCCCCTTGTAATGGTCAGCAAACGAGAGCCACTTTGAGATACATCCCATCATCCACTCTCTGGCACTAAATATCACGTGAGCTCTGACAATGCCAGTATTTATATCTCCAGCCTCTACCTCTGATCTGGATCCTTTACTTACGTATCATCCCCGCTGCCTACTTGACATCTCCACTTGCTTGTCTACTAGGCATCTCAAACTTAAGTGTCCCCAGTGATACCGCTTCCCTTCATCCACCCACGGCTGCTCCTCGCATGGTCTGTGCCATCTCGGCTCCAGCCTTTACGTCTCTTCTTCTCGTGTCCCAAGTCCAGGCTAACAGCCACCCTGTGAGCTCTATCTTCAGAATGCATCCACTTCCCACCACACCCTGTACTACCAGGTACCGTATTTTGCCATGTATAATGCACACCCCATTTTGGTACTAAATTTTCAGGAAAAAAACCTTTTGTTTTAATTTTTTAATTCAACTTTTCATTTATTTACATTTAGACACTTGTTTTTTATATTCTAAAGGAATTTTAGCATTTATTTTTTAACATATTATGGTACAAGAAATTTTATGTAACAATTACAAAACACATGAACAGATCAAAGTATTTCAGGCACTACCCATGTGTAGTGTGCGTCCTTATTTTTCACTCAACAATTTGGGCAAAAAAATATGCATTAAACGTGGCAAAGTATGGTAAATCCATGTGCTATCTTATGTCGCCAAGATTGCTGTCGCCATGTCCTGGCTCCTCTCCTCCCCACCCCGCTCAGGGTCTGGCTTTAACAGAGCTACAAGAATGGTCCATTTAAAATGAGTGTCAGATTCTTTCTGGCCTTCAAACACTCCTGGCTGCTCTGTGTCATCCAGAGTGAAAACTCATGTTCAGCCCACCCACAAAGCCCCATGCTCAGCGGCCCCTCCTAACTTCCAGCCATTCCTTTGACTTTATCTTCCCCTGCTCTGCCCCTCGCTCTCTCCACTCAAGCCACACTGGGTGGTGATGGTGTTGCTCACCACGTGCCACACTGTGTATTTACTCGTCAATCTGTTGTCTGGTGTATGTCCTCCCACAGGGTAGAGGCTCCCAGGGAGCACAGACTGTGTGCCGGTCCCTGCTGTAGCCTTAGCACCTGCACTAGCACCTAGAACATAGCAGGTGCTCAATACATGAGCCAAAGGGATAGATAGATACATGGATGAATGGATGAATGAATGAATGAATGAATGAAAGAAAACAGATTATTTGGGGCATTCATACATTGATATGTTCAAAACATAAAATATATATCACACTATAAATTAGAAACAGGTCCCATTGAATTTGATCTCTGTCTCTTTTCACTGGAAAGATTGTTCCTGGTAAGAAGTACTCACCGGTGGCCCTGGAGGCCCTTCAGCACCAGGAGGGCCCGGGTGACCTTTCTCTCCAGGCCACCCGCGGGGCCCCAAGTCTCCTTTACTGCCCTGCCTCCCGGGAAGGCCAGGGAGGCCCGGGGCGCCCACGGGGCCAGGCTTGCAGGCACAGGGCCCTGCGTCTCCTAGACAGAGGATAAAAGACAACTTTGTCATATTGTCATGTTTCCCAATAAAGGCTTCACTACAGAAAACCAATAGTGAAAATAAAAACAAAAAGGGTCTAACATACACAGTTCTGATAGCAGACAACAGATCAAGTGTGGTGTGGGGTGGGGCCTCCATGTGGGGACACCGAGGCATGGTCTTCTCTACGCGGTGGGTATATTGTTTTTGCACCTATGGGGTGTACTGAGTCTTAATAAACTCATCTTCACAAATTCTGGGGGGGAAATCTGATGTCCAATTCTACTTAAAAAACGTTTAAAATAAGAAAGCCTCTTAAAAGTCTCTTATTTGGCTCTTACTAAAAAGGTCTCTTACTTGGTCCCCGCTGAAGAATCAATGACAAACATTTGGTTAGAGCATAAACCCTGAACAGTCAAGGAAACGAAACAATACGTGACCAGGGATTATTGGACGCATTGAACATTATAACTGATAACTCACTGCACTGCATTCGCTGATCATCAGGACTGTTAGTCTTAAAAAATGTCTTTAAGATAATCGAACTCATCAGCTCTCATACCCACCTGACTCAGTCGGTCAAAAGGCACAGAACAATTTAGAGTACAGAAATAGCACCATAGGCATTGGGTGAGCCTGGGAAATATGAGACCCCCAGAGAGAAACCGAAATAAAAGATCAACACCGTACTCCCTCTGCTGCTTCTAAGGAATCAAGAGGATCTTGTGGAAAAGTTACCACTTGGAGGCAAATGTCACGGCAGGTAAGTTTCTCCTTTGTACTCTAAAATATGAGACTTTGACTTTTGGTGAGATCTAATCACGTGATGAGCGCACACTGAAGTGGAGTACTCATCGGGATGACGAAGGAGAGTGACAGTCTAAGCGAAATGCCACACTGTACGTGTCACAAATGCCTCCCAGTCCTGCGTGTGTTGTCCTCTCGAAATTCCACCTTTGATGCATACTTGCCTTTTTCTCCTTTTGAGCCTCTTCTTCCGGGAGGACCCATTTTGCCTTTTACTCCTGGTGGTCCGGGATGCCCAACACTACAATATATAACTTCATAGTGGGAAAGGGGATGGGCAGAGAGAATCACACGATTGTTTGTGAATGTCTCCTACAGAATGAGTGGAAGTGTCTCCTGCACCTACATTTTCCCCTCAGCCCCACTCTATCTTTCATTCCTCTCAATTCTTTCTCGCTCATAGAAGAATACATAATACACAAGGGTCACATCATGCTTCTGCCACCATCACCTTTGGTAAAACCATCCTGGTCTCAGCACTAATTAGTGGGTTGCAGAGCAAGGCCACAGGCAACAAAACAAGCAAACATACCCAAACAAAACAAGTAAACAAAAAACTAAGCAGACGTGTATCACAAAGATCGTTTCCCCTTTCATCACCAGTGATTACCTAATGAAGGAAGCACAAAGCAGCACTCGTCAAAGCAAAAACTCGGAGCTATCTTGCTTACGATAATAGACAGGATGTAAACAATAAGTTCCTCAATCTCCCCCATACTCCAGTAAAATAACATACAGTAAAAGAATATTTTTAAAAGGGCTAAAACTCAAAACAGAGAAAAGGAAAAGGAAATAATGGCAAAACATATACAGACTTAGGAGACCTAACAAAGCTGAATTCTACGTAGGCAGTAAGAAAAGCAACGGAAGAACAAAATGTACATCAGAAATCCCTCCCAAAGTTCAGGAACTGGGACCTCTGAAGTAGAATGGACATGAGTCAGCCCTCACACAAAATGATTTGTTATTGAAACAGTCAGACTATAAGATCCCCTCCTCAAAACTTGCAGCAGGATAAAATAACAGCCCCCCCAAAACTGGAGGAAGCAGTGTAGCAGGAAGAAAACTTGAAAAGAAACTGTAATTTAAAAAGCAGGTGAGGAAAGACATTTTATCCCTGAAACGTGAACAGGCTGCTGCAAACATTGAAAGAGAACAACAGCAACAGCAAAATTCTTAGAAATTAGAAAAAATACATGATTATAGAAATTTTAAAATTCAGGAGCACAGTTGGAAGCCAGAATTGAGAAAACATCCCAGAAAGTATTGCAGAAAAAAAAGTAAACAGTAATAGATGGAAGATTTTAAAAAGAGACATGTAGGGTTTACTCCCTGATGAATCATGGAGTGCAGAAAGAGAAAAAGAGGAGAGAGGGAGAGGAGAGAATGGCTTCAAGGAAATACTTCCAGAATTTATTTTCAGAAATAAAGGATTTGTGTTGGATTGAAACTGTCCGCTGAGTGTCTACAAATAAATGCAAATGTACCCACACACAAAAAAAGCAAATCATTGTGAACTTCAAGGACATCAAAATAAAGAAAAACTCACAACCTTCCAAGGAAAACAGATCTCAAACAAATGATCAAGTATCTACATGTTACTGAACTTTTTGCAGTAACAACACAGGGTGCTAGAAGACAAAGAAGAATGCTTTAAAAAAACCTGCAGGGAGAATATTTCCAATGAAGAATGTTATACTCCGACAAACTGTGGATCAAATTCTACAGGAGACTGATGTCACTTTCAGACAGGCAAAACCCCTCAGGTCTACACTTCTTCACAGGAAGTACAATGAGGGAGTCAGCCATCGAAAGAAACATGTAAGTTGTAGGAAACACAGAGACAGAGAAAGAGAGAGGGAGAGATCCAGGACCACAGGGAAAGCAGATCTCAAGGCATCATCTCAGCAGATGAAAAACGCCACCTGCCCTGATTTGAACAGGCCAAAAGCTCTGGGAGAGATTTATTCAAAGAGGTAACACTGATAGAATATTTAATGAGCTGTAATGTACTATTGGGAGATTCACGCAGTTCTAGCAGGTTAAGGTTGACTTAGCAAATGCACAAGGAAAGCAAGGCAATTGCTAACAAAATGCTGCGCTGGAAACCAATGATATAGTGTTTTATATGGCTGCCCTGGTGAATAGCATTTTATAACTATTCATCATAAGCACTGAATATTTAACTCAAATTATTATACTAACTATATTTCCCAGTTTATATATATACATGGTTGGGAGGGAGGGGGAAGACAGCTAAAGTCAAAAGACAATGTTTAAACTGAAAAATTAAGAAATAACAGTGCAAGTATGTTGAATGGCAACTCAGAGACAAATAACAAAAGGTCCAGGAAGGAACAGGAAAAGGGGTTGTGGGGGGTGGCGGTTCACCCCAACTGGCTTTGTCGAACAGTTTGACTCCTAAGCCAGGTCCACGTACAGCCCTGATAAGAGCTAAAACTACCTTTAAAACTAAAAATTATGTTAATTAATAAAATTCTATGATCACACGTAAATCCTCCACCAAATATTTTCATGCACTCTAATGAATGGGGTAGTCCCATGTCACTTTACTTTTTGTCATGTTAAGAATACTAACTTGGCTCAGGAAGTACCAAATAATTTTGTAAAGATTAAGAAAGTCACAGCTTCTACGAATATCAAATCCAACGTGAATGCTAATGAACATGAGAGAGGAGCACTTTACCATCTGATCCTGGAGGCCCCGGACATCCTGGTGCTCCCGGCGACCCCGGAGGCCCCGGGCGCCCCGGTTTCCCCGGCGCCAGGTCAGGTCTCGCGGGAACACCTGCTTCCCCTGGAGCCCCGGGAGGGCCGGGGAGCCCCGGCAGCCCGGGGAGTCCTGGTGTGCCTAGGAGAGAAATCAGGAATGAAAACCACGTAGACGCTCAGATTGAACTTTTCTGCAGAAGAGATCAAGTCAGTATATTCTTCCTTGGGCTGCACATGTTTTTAAAGGAAAAAATGTAATTAAAAAATAACTGAATATCCCAGCCACCAGAATGCCTCACCCCCCTAGGAAACGAGCACACAAGCGGAAACAAACAGGTTTAGGGAACCAGATTTATTTCCTTCTCCCCATTCTTTAGGATTACTGGGAAAGAGATATATATCAGGTAATTGAAAGTATTTTTTTCCAGTCTTTCCACCTTGATAACTTGGTAAAAATAGTATCAGTAAGTATACAGGGCATAAAATACCATGGCAGCTGAGGTTGGTGGGGAAACACAGAGGCCTGGATTTGAACCTGGCCTGTCTCTCTCAGGCCCCAGGTATTTAGCTTCTTTAACCCTGTACGTCTATCCTAGAGGCCTGTTATGAGAATGAACTAAAATGATCTGCATAAGAAGCTTAGCGTCACATCGGGTGGCAGTGTGAGCTCATCGAACAACTGGGTTGTCGGTGTGCTCAGAGGAGGTCCAAGTGAGTAACAGACGCTACACCTGCTTCCCCCGGACAGTCTACTCACCTCTCGGGTGCCTGTGGCTTAGGGACAGCTGGGAGCCTTGCATGAAGAGAGTGACACTTCTCCTAGCTCTGTCTCCCTAAGCACACCTGGCTCTGAAATCTCTTTGTGGAAAACCATAGGTTTCAAAGATGGCCACAGGGCAGTTCTCATCCCGCCTGTTCTTGTAGAACCTTGGCATTCTCCTATTGAGAGGTGGAGGGTCCCCTCCCTTGCCTGGGGCAGGCCTTTGTGATTGTTGCAGGCCAAGTAAAGTAGTAATAAGAATAGCTAACATCAGTGAGTCTTCCCTTTGTGCTGGGCTGTAGCCTAAAAATTGTATACATATTACGTCTTCAATCCCAACAAGAACTCCATTTTGCAGATGAGAAAACTGAGGCACGGAGAGGTTTAACAGATCCCCAAGATCACATAGTTTGTAAGTAACAGCCTGGAGTGTTTGTGGTCCACAGTGTGAGTGCATAGCAATTTCACCACACGATACTAAACGGCAAGGCTTAATCACAGGTGGCTGACTCCAAAGCCCAGCTCACTGCATGACAAATACTGTAGAAGATCATAATAAGATTATAATCATTATAATAAGATTATAATATAGAAGATGTATAATATGTATAATAAAGGCCATACACGTTGGTGCACTTAAGACAGAATGAACGTGTGTTCCTGTGGAAGTGGCTGCTGTCTTGTCCTCATGCCACTCCTAAGACCTGACTCCGAATCTCCGCGATCACCAGGTGGACCTGGGTGCTGCCTTGTCCCAAAGCCAGGGGAGATGCTTGGCTGCCTTCCGACAGGGAGAATGGGCCACAGGATATACGGCACACGTCAGCCATGAGCACCCATTTGTACAGTGTGAAATAAATTAGGTTGTAGCCAGCATTGAAATATTTTTCGGAAGAGTGGAATAGCAGGGAGTGCATCCTATACCAACAAGGGTGTTATTATGTTGTGAAATGTGTGTTTCAGTTATGTGAGTATGTGGACACACACGTGTGTGTGATGTGACGTGCATACAATACAATATAAAATTATTTCTCACTAGGGAGTGGCATCAAGATTTGAAAGCCACTGGGCTAATTCTTTAAGTAAAGAAAAAATGCTTGCTGAATTAAGAGGCTTCCGGTTATGTTTGGTTTTGCATCTGCTGGACACTGTCACTTACTCCCACTGGGTTTTTATTTCAATCTACGAGAGGCACTATTTTATTACAGATGAATCCAAAAGAGGAAATCTAAGACCAGAGTTTAATGCTTCCTAACCAAAAAGTGCTTTTATGATTTATATAGTCCTGGGTCAGTACGCCAAGGCTGCAATATCTAAAGATTAAACGAATGAAACGAAGTTCTACTACCTTTGTGGCCATCAGATTGCACACAGTGGAAGCTGGATTCAAGAAAGAGTAAACCAGGATGCTGTAGCTAACAGCTGAGTATCTCAGGGAACTTCCTAATCTCCTCAGTAAATATAAGAAGAGACTCAGACTAGAGGAAATTCCGATTATTCAAGACTTTTCTCCTCATGCTGAGTCTGTTCTCCTGGGTGGAGAGAATGCAAATATCCTCCAAATATTTATTCCTCATTTTACTAGGAACATCACCCAGCACAGCAGTCGAGGGAGTTCAAAATCCTGATGTCAACAGAATCATTTCCCAGGCTCTTCATCCAATAGTACCATGAGCTACAGGGGAATTTTTTTTTTTGGAGGGGAGAAATGGGGATTGTTATTTTTGTTTTGTTGTTTTGTTTTTTAACTAAGGCTGGATCAGAATTTAACTTTTTAATTTAGAATTTGCATTTCCACATTTCACGTAGGAGATAGCACTCGGGGCCTAGGGGGATGAAGGCACTTCTGACGGTTACATGTCCCTTGGGAAAGCCCTCGGAGAGGGTGGGAAGACGGGAAGCAACACTCTAACCCTGGTGACGACTTCCAGATCTCATCTGCCAGCGATCCGCTTGTGGGCAGCCTGTTACACAGACATATTCCTCACCAGAGGCTTGAGATCCTGACTGAACATTTCTGAGGTGCAGCCTGGATTTCTTCCAAGTACGTGATTAACTGGTTGGAGTTCCATTGTTCTTAACCCTGGCTGTATCGTAGCACTGTGAGGCATTTTTATAATAGCAGATGTCTGGGTCCCTCCATCAGACAGTCCAACATTCTTGGTCTGGGGTGGGCACAGGCCCCGGCGATTCTGAAACACTCCTGAGATGATTTCGGTCTCAGCTAGAGTCGAGAACCTCTGGTGTGGATGAGGGTGAAGCAGACCTGGTTTATAAAAGCCAGGGGGACTCATACCTGGACAGGCTTCCCCTGGCAGACCTGGGGACCCGGGGGGACCAGGAGGCCCAACATCCCCCATTTCTCCGTAACGGCCAGGGAGGCCTGGATCTCCCGGAGGGCCTGCCAAAAATAATGACACTTGTGAACATAAAATAAATGAATACCTGCATTATGAAGTTCACATGCAACTACTTTGTGTGAGGCTTGCTGAAATACAACTAGGAGACCAATTTTTCAGTTTCTGCCCACATTTTAAACCTTATACATTAGGTCTGAGCCCTTCACCTGCCACTGCTCTGCAGACGCGTGAATTTGGAGCAGTGCTCTCTGTCACCGATTTAGGCCCCTCCTGTCCTGGAGGCGCCATCTGGGTGGGTCTTATTCAAATGGTTTTACGCATATTTTAACAGCTAAAAAACCCTACTTTCTGAAAGGTGACATGATAAAAGTCCCAGCATGCAGTTGACACGCTAAAATACAATTTGGTGTCTTATGCCAATAGAGATGAACCAAGATGCACACCCCTACCTGCGCCTGTATAATTACATATTCACATTCAAGTTCATGGAGTTGACCTGCCTAAGGTGCAAACCATGGAAATCCTGGGCCCAAGTCTTCTGTCAGGGCCACCCAAACCCCACTGATGAGTAATTAATGGAGGAGCTGAATGAAACACACACCTTTGAATGGAGGAGGTGGAGTCAGCAAAATCCCTGGTGGTCCTGGGGGCCCACGATCTCCAGTATCCCCCTGAAATCATTCATTCATTGGCTTTTCTTAGAAATATTAATATTTTTTCTCATGTTGCCTAGCAATAAATAAGTATTAGAAGGACCAAGAATACATTCATATAAGAAATAAGACTAGAGGCTGACAAGAGAAATGAATAGTTCATGGAGTTCTAGGAAAAGCAGACTTTCTACCTACAAGCAGTAATAAATAACCAACTGGCAAAAGTTGCCTCAAAAGAAAAAAAATGTGGTTCACATCCATAAAGTTACTCCATATTCATAAATGAGACACCTCGGACGCCACAAAGGGTTCATAAATAGACCGTGAGCGTTCATGTCTAACTTGACACTCAGGGACAAATAGTTTATTTACTTACAAGACCTGAAGCTACATTTTATTTCAGCAGCAAATATGCCCCACCCGCCTTGTGTCCCCTTAATGCTGCCACGGCTTGTCCTGGGCCGCGCTGAATGCGAGGTCACACGGGTTGCAAAGGAGAGAAAAAAACTCAATGCTGGTAAAAGCAAAGAGCTCTCCCTGGTTCCCTCTGTGTTCAATCACGATGCTATTTGATCCCCCTGGAATTCTTTAAGCTCTCATTATTATTCACCTTCAAAAGGATCCGTGCTCGAATGGAAAACACAATCATCACCACGGGCAATACAATAATACATACAAAATTAACTCTGTCTCTTTCCAAAGTTACGTTTTGAATCACTCTTTGAAATATCCAGAAAAACATATATGAGATAACGGAAGGGCTGTAGAACTTTGTCAGGCGACACTCCAACAGGTTCACTTTCGTACCTTTGGCCCAGGAAGTCCGGGCGGCCCAGGGCTTCCAGGGTATCCTTGTTCCCCCTGTAAGTAACCGGAAACATGCCTTCTGTTAAAAAAGGTAATTTTAAAATTACAAAATTAAATTAAATTTAAAAAATTATCTCATTCTCATTGAAATTGAACAACACGTGCTCACAGAGAATCTGTGCAAAATCTTAGCATCTTAATGCTGCTTTGGGGGTCGTGGGAGTTTTGTGCTTTAGTGTTTGCGCCCACAGCTGAATCACAGGACTCGCAAAGCGAACGGGTCTGCCTCTCCAGCTACTGAATGCATGTTTGCGTGCGCTGGTACAGCTTTTGAATGACACTCAGTTGCATTTACTAATTAAAATGTATTTATCATCTCCATAGGGTGAACGTTTACCTTTAATCCCGGAAAACCTGGAGATCCATGGGAGCCGGGCTCACCCTAATAAATTCACAAAAATCAACACCAGCAGAATTAAGTCAAAATGCATGCACCAGTTCCAGGAATCATATTTCATGGCATGAGATTGCCCCATGGTCATTTAATCTTATCTTCAAAGGTAGTTGAATAATTGGATATAAATATAGATTCCTTTTCTTTATAACATTTACTATTTTAATTGGTTTTTAGTCTTATTTTTTAAAAAATGTATGCCCTCACCATGCTTTAAATTGAGAACATATTTTTGCGGGTATTATTCTCCCATGTTAGTATATTTAGCTTAAGGCTTGCATGGGCTAAATATCTTTGAAATCATTGCAATACAGCTTCCCTAGAGAGGAACAGTTGCTCCGTGCATGAGCAGCGACAATAACCACTGTGGAATCCCAGGCCGTCCCACTCAGTACTGAATCTAGAGCCAGACAAACCCATTGCCCATGCCCACTGGGGCCTGGCCTCCACAGTCACTCTGTGAATGGGGATCACGGTAGTGACTTGGGTGGCAATGTCTGAGGTCCGATTCCGCGCTGCTTTTCTACTCCCACCCCCACAGGAATATCTTCCTTATCAAATAGGCTCAAACGGACAATCACAAGATGCTCTCACATGGACACCAAGCCGGGCGGAGAACGCCACCATCCTGTCACTCCCCTCCAACTCTTCTGCCTTCTGCCTGCCTGTCTTACCTAGGCGATGTCCAGAGAAGGGGTGTTCTGGGACTCTGAGCTCTTACACAGTTCTCGTTGTCAAAAATATATTGTTCCTATTTGAGATAAGCCCACTTTTGAGCTCTCGTGAATGTCGATCCAGTTTCATCACACCGGGAGAGAGAACCACCTCCAGACTCACTGGAGCGAGGTAAGGGTGGCAGGAGCATCCTTACCCGAGGGCCCGGGAAGCCAGGAACACCCTTTTCTCCTTTTTCCCCGACACCAGGTTCTCCCTTGAAGAGATGAGAACATTTACAGGGGTTCAAACAGCCATGTTTCAGCGACAGAGGATGCAAAAACAAAATGAGAAATAAAAAGGATCGCTATCAAGTTAGAGAAAACACCACTTTAGAACAGACACACTGCTACAGCACAGGTGGCAAACACAAGACCCACGGGCTGAATCTGGCCCTCCACCGTGTTTTATCCGGCCCGGCACCTTGTTTCTACCCAGTGGCAGTGCCGAGCTCCTTGCCACCAGTTAAGGAGCAGTTACATTTACACAGTCCTAAATTACATTCGGCCCTTTGAAGGCAACCACAAGGCTGATGTGGCCCCTGGTGAAAATGAGTTTGACACCCCTGTACTACAGGATTATATAGTAAGATAGTGAAAAATTCTAGTAACTTATATTAACATTTAAAGCAATGATAAAAATCCACACACAAAAAAATGTGTCTTTAAAAATCAAGATAGCGCATCATACACATTTCAAAAGTACTTCAGTAAATTACCTTGGGTCCTGGAGGTCCCGGAGGTCCGACCATTCCCGGCATTCCTTTCACACCCTAAAAATCAGAGTGACTGTGATCTGGCTTGTTCTTATGATTGAACATGTTGAATTCCATCTCTTTCAGAGATCGCCTCTTTCAACACCCATTTGATTGATTTTTAAAATAAGAGATTCCTCTGCAACTGCCGCTCATGAGTAACTCAGATCCAAGCGCACTTATAAACCGGACACTGTTCAGGCTGGCCCTGTGTGGGAGGTGTAATGCCATGGGGTCGTGGGGCACAGGTGGAGGATGACCCGGGAGCCAGGGCCACAGATGCACACTGGGAATGCAGCCACTGAGAGGAATGTCTCATTTTGAGCCAATCAGTGAAATTTAATCCGGTGACTGAAAATCGTCTGCGGAAGCTGCACGTGGCATCCATCAGATCAGCGCTGCAGGCTGACCGAGGGGCTGATCTTTGCCAAGAGTTGGTTACATGCCCAGCTCTATGCATCAGTTTCCCTCTCAATGATCAAAACATCAGCCCAGATGTAACATCCAAAGGACAACTGGACTTCCAGGCGTCTTTGCAGCCTGCAGGTCAAAGTCAATATTAACGGGGCACAATTTAGCAGCCCAGAATGTGATGTGTTAAACACAATGAAAACAATGGTAACCTATTCAAGCCTCCTTTTCAACTCTGTACGACGGGGCTGATAATAGAACCAACCTGTTACGACTGCTTTGGGATTCATGCAGTGACACGCATGGGTCCCCAGTACCTGGCCGGCTCACGTGCGTGTCCATGCAACATCGGCTATGATGTTGTATCGGGCTTTACCAAGGTAGCGTGGGGATTGGGAATTACCTTCTCTCCTTTATAGAGACTAGAATCCGGTGGCTGTATCAGTAGGGTCGGTCCAGGAGAACCTTGTTGGCCAACCTCACCCTTTAAAAAAAAATCAAGATAATAGGAATTCCATATGAACTTTATTTTGAAATAAAATTTAAAATGAGGAAGACTCTCATCCATATATTGTGATGGCACGCTTACAATTCTGTGTGTGATGGATTTAAAATTAAAATCATGGCAAGTAAGTGATGTCATTTTAAATATTCATTGTTTTTCATAAGTAATGCATACTCATTACTTAAAATAAAGTTAAAAAATAAAAGTGCTCCATAATCCTACCATCCAGAGATAATCTCCACTAAAACTTTGGTATCGTTCTTTGTGGTGTGAATGTGCTGTGGATATGTGTATTTGTGTGCATATGTATGTGTGTAAACATACATGTGTGTGCACACTGTACATGTGTACATGTATGTATATGTGATCAAATGATGTGTTAAACACAATTTAAAATATATAACCACAATACCTTATAAACCATAAAACATAATTTGACATACACAATATACTTAATATTTTAGTTAAATTTTAAATTTTTTAATAATTTCCTATTTTTATTTTAGAATACCATTTTTGCACATTTTTCCTATTATACTAGAAATTCTTCAAAACCCTGATTTTTAGTACCTATATAATAATTCATAATAAGAATATACTATCATTTATTAAGCCATTTCCACTGTGGTTAGGTTTAGGTTATTTCTAATGTATTTTCAATAACATTTTTAAACTCTGTATAAAATAGTTAGCTGAAAGTTTTTATTTATGTCATTATAGATTTTATTTTCTTGGAGGGAAAAAATGTTGCTTGCATTGGGTGTGCCACAGTATGACCATAAATTCTCTCCCTTCCTTAGAAGATAATTATTTTGTAGTTTTCTGAATATTTCTATTATTCTACACCTAGAATGATCTCCCACCATGGTAAAGTGCAGGCAATAGAGCAGGCCACGTGTGTTCGCAAACCTGCCCGTATTGACGGTGTCATTCTGGGCAAGTTCCTCAGAATCTGTCCGCCCTCATTTCCTAAAGTCCTCCACACCTCCTTCTCCTGCTCCTCAATTCGGGGATTCCAGCACTGCCCATTTCAAAGCATTATTTTATGGAACAGACGATGCACGTAAAGTGCTTACGACCCACTACATTCAGTGGAACGAAGAAAGTGCCCAAGTACAGAATTATTAAAACCATTCATGTTTTCGATAAATGGGATTTGTGGAAGAAGAGTACTGTTTCAAGTTTAAATGAAAAAGCACAACCAATAATCCCATCCCTACCTAATGCTGAAAACCTGGAAGTTGGGGACATTGGGTGTTTTGTCATTGTTGATGTCCCGCAGCACCTAACACAGTCCTGGGGTAGCAGCTGCTCTACAGAGAGCTGCTGCAGGAACATGCGAGTGGGTGGGCAAATGCACAAACGGCGTGTGAGTAAAGGGGTAACCGGTGTTGGTAGAGATGACTGTGCTTATTCTCGTAGTTGGAATAAGCCTGAAGAAAACCCATAAAGGCTGACTGGCAAGAAGCATCTTCAAAACATTGGTCACGTTACTATTTTGCCATCTTGTAAAAGTATCATATATTCATGTTAGTCAGAAGTACAAATAAGATAAATTATGAAGAACAAAATTTACATGAGCCATAATCCCATCACCTAGAAAAAATCAGTAACAACATCCAGGGTAGTGTTTCTTAAAATGGGGTGGACAGACCTGTTCTTGAACATCTGAGAGTTCTGCATAAAAATTTCAAAATTATGTCTTTATTCATCTGAGAATCCAAAAGAATTAAAATAGGCGTATTTTGGATCATTTGAAAGGTCACCTCATACCCAAATACTTGCACCTTCAAGGCTGGTGCCGAGGTCACTGAATGGGCTGTCCTTGCCTCTCTCCACAAAGGAATGCATCTCAGACCGGGCGGGGTGTGGCGTCTGGGGCTTTGACAAACATATTCCCAGGGGTCCATGACTTCCCAACTTTGAAAAACATTGTTTTAGTCTATTTCCTCTAAGTTCCTAGTTCTCAAGGGGGCGATGGGGCAATTGGCCATCCCCTCCCCGAAGGACATTTGGCAAGACCTTGTTGCATTTTGGGTTCCCACAGTCGTGGGGGAAGGGATGCTACTGGCATCCAGGGCAGCGGCTAACCATCCTGCAGTGCGCAGGGCAGCCCCTCCCAGCAGTGGGAAGTGAGAACCATCAAGGGTCAGAAGTCTGCTCTACGTGTATATTGCAGTGTCTTTTCATTATTGTTGTTGTTTTTACAAAATTGAGCTTGTACTTTTGTAACCCGTGCTTTCTGCTCATCCTTATACCATGGGCACCTCCCCACATCAGAAAGTCTTCCGGTGTATTTTTGGCAATGTTTCCTTCTGTTCAGTGGCTGTCCCATAACTTACCCAACCACACCAGGGTGCCGTGAGAGAGGGGTTGGGGTCTGTCTTGCTAAATATGCCCACCCAGAACCAGTGCTAACCTGGCACAGAGTGGATGCCACCATTTTTGAACTATTTGTCCACAGTTGTTGAAAGAACTATTCACCAGCTGTTAGACGTTCAGTTTTCTTCCAGAAAAGCTGCCCTTTTGAAACACTATTGGCTTGTCCTTGCCAAGGGTCGTGTTTCGGAGGAAGGGACTGTGGGCGTGAGGGCGGGAGGGCGTGGGGCTTGTGTGTTGCTGAAGGCTTCGGTTCCCGTTATTCATATTTTTTATTTATGTGTGCAGTTTGGAGTTTGGAGGCAATTATAAAGTTAAGACAAACTAATCAGTAACTAAAATTGCTACTCCAGATATAATGTATTATCAAAACTGTTCAATCTCTTTTTGCTTAGGGTGAAGGGCATCATATAAATTAACTTGAATTTAGTGTCTAATTTGGTCAGAACTGTCACTTCACAGTCAAGGGTAGTGGTACCATAATAATTCAGCAGAGGAAAAATTCTCAGCCATAAAACCGGGCAGTGCTGAGATAATGAACCGCCCCCACAACCACAACAGGACAGAAACTTTATCATCCACCCCTCCGTGCCAAAGGGGGTTCTTACCGGGTCTCCCATTTGCCCCTTTACTCCCACGCCAGGATTACCCTGGAAAAGAAAAAATAAGTTAATCTAATTGCTTTTGAATATAAAGAAAGAATTCCAAGCGGGACTTCTGCTTAAGCAATTGCTTGGAGTTTGTTCATCAAACTCTCTGAGAAGTCCAGTAAGAGGAAAGTCGCCACCCTAACCAACATCAGTGGTCATTATCTCACGGCACCTGCGCTCAACTGGCATATTTTACTCGCAGCTGCCTACCTTCACACCTGGACTCCCAGGATGGCCCGGAGGTCCCTAGATCAGCAAAACACACAAATTACATTATCAGTCACAGAAACCAGAATGAATCTTTGTTGGTTGTCCCAGGCTCCTCTTTAGGAAACCCTTAGTTTTAAAACACCCATAATGCACTCGCAATCATAGTGGGGTAGGGCTGCATGTTCCCCCCCAACCCCCCTGCTGGGAGGGGTCCACGCTTCTAGAGAACCGTGAGCCGATTCTGCAGGTGATGCTCTCTGAGACCCCACCTGTGCCTGACCCAAGACAGGAATTTTGCTTTTCTTGCTTTATTTAAATGTTAGGCCTGGGATCTTAAAGGGGTATGAGTGGAGCTGTACTTACTGGTATCCCCGGCTCTCCTGGGTAGCCCACGGGGCCTGCCGGTCCTCTAGCACCCCTCGGTCCCTACACATGAGAGGATTCGGTTCATTTGTTACCCAAAACCGTAATCGGTGTTCACAGCAAGAACTGCATGTGATGCCAAGTGGATATAAACACCCAGAGAAACAAGGGTCCCGGCATATCTGCCCACTAGGGCATCCTCACAGCGCTAGGAGCACGGCCAGGGCACCCGGAAGGTGTGACGAACTCCCACGTTAGGTTTAAATTAAGCACCAGAGATCCATCTACTTACTTATACACAAATTTTATAATAGCAAGAGTAGAGGACTGAAAAACTTGTTACTAGCTACTCCTAAATCCTATATGTGTTATAACTGTTATGCAACAGGACGCTTCTTAGAGATTAATATTAATTTAATTAATATGAAAATATGAATGTATTTATACTCTTTCATCTATTTCTAAGCATGCTCTGGTGATCAGATCAATGTGAATGGAAGTGCTGTCCCTAGTTCAAGACCAAGATGGTTCAGCCATGAACCCTTTTCCGTAATGTGGAGGTTACAGCACAATTACAGCATAATTGCACACAGGTTCTCGAGTACAGGTTACCGCTGCAGAGGGAGGCTCCCTGTTCTCCCATTGACACTACCCAGTCAAAGGATTTGCAAGTATGCAGCGGAATTGCCCTCTCCAGGAGGAGGGATCCGTATTTAACAGCGACATGAAGGATTACGTAGAACTGAGCTTCAGGAGTAGTAAGGAAACCAACTTGTCTACAGCCAGAAGTTACGGAGCAAAATTATAGGTTCACCACCGGGAGGCAAAATTGATCTGAGTGTTAATCTTGTCAACATTGGTAAATTAGAAGGACTAATCCAATCATTGAATTACCAATTCCAGGGAGACAAAAATGGGACAAACCATAACATATAACACACAAGGACGGATTCAGCAGGCAAAATTATTTCTGCCTGATACACAGGGTGGGGCGAAAGCAGTTTTGCTGTTGTAAGCATGGGAAACACAGAGTTTATTCTTGTGTTATTATCTATTAATCACTGTATTATTTTTCCATACAAACAACTTAAAACTGACATTTGTCCCCCGCTCCCGTGTATTAAGTTTCCAGGAAGACTTCTCTTCCTAACTACTAAGTGACTGCATGCTCCTGAGCAACACCGAAGGATCCTTAAGAGATGGAAGAGGAAAGGGCACCAGGTGCGTGCTGAGACCCCAGCATGGCCTCGTGGGTGTGCAACCTGTGCAGCCACACAGGCTTTCCTGCTTGACTTAATGCTCTGCTGTCCCTGTCTTAACTGTCTTAATTGTGAACAAGGGACCCACATTTTCTTTTTGCACTGGGAGGGCCCCACAAATGCTATAGATGACCCTGCTGGGATACAGACCAGTAGGCTATCTGGGATCAGACAGAAGCGGGTTCCTGCTCAGACTTACTGGTAAGCCGGGAGGTCCTGGGTCCCCTCTGTCACCCTGCAATAATGACACATTGCTTTAGAAGACCAGCACCATTTCCTGAAACACACGTGATGTGAGAGTAGGAACACACGCACAGGAGTTGTTCGGAGTAGCGAGCAGCTGTCCAGCCTGCCAGTGTCGAAGAGACGAGTGTGGAGGGCTCCGTGGGGGGACTCCGGGCCTCCATTCCTGGGCCCAGACTCTGCTTGTAATCAGCCGAAACAGGGGAAGATGCTGGAGCCGTGAGCACGTGGAATCAAGGTGAGATTTCATGTTTCAATTGACGGTATTCTAAATCCTCGACCCAGTGGTCCTGTCTCATCACAGTTTAACTGTCCCGGGTCCGGTCCCCAGACCCTGTCTCCCTCCACAGGCCCCCCCGCTCCTTCCAGCCCCCTGGCTGCACATGTAGAGGGGGTTGTTGTGTGGGAACACAGCCCACCCGCCTCTGTGCGGATCTACCGCTCCGTGACTCTGCCCTGAGACTCCGCCTCCTCGAGAGGATCAAAGGGCGAACATTCTCTAGAAGGCAGGCTCTTTTTCTAAAATGTAAGATATAACACATGGTAAAATATGCACGAGGTGAAAGTTTGTGTTTTCACTATTTCTAAGTGTGCAGGTCTGTAGTGTTAAGTACATTCACACCGTTGTACAACCATCACCCCCGTCCACCCCTGGAGCTTTTCCGTCTTCCCCAGTGTGAACTGTACCCCTTAAAAACGAACTCCCCACCCCCTCTCCAAGCCCCTGGCAAAACCCATTCTCCTTTCTTGTCTTTATGAATCTGTGTACTCTAGAAACTTCTTACCTTTGCCCCTCTGTGACGGGCTCATGTCACTTAGCACAAGGACCGCAGAGTCCATCCATGCTGTGACACGTGTCAGAATTCCCTCATTTTTAAAGACTGAGTGATATCCCATTGTGTGGACAAACCACGTTCTGTTCATCCATGCATACCTCAGGGGACACTTGGGTTGCTTCCATTTTGGGCTATTGTGAACAGTGCTGCTATGAACTTGGGTATGCAAATACCTGTTCTTTAGTCTCTGCCTTCATTTCTTTGGGATATATACCAGAAGTGGAATTCCTGGATTATACATTAATTAGACATTTCATTTTTTTGAAGAATTGCCATACCATCTTCCTGCTACACCATATACATTCTCACCAGCAATGCACAACAGCTCTAATTTCACCACACACTTGCCAGCACTTGTTATTTTTCTTTATTTTAAATAATAACGATCCAAATGTGTGTAAAGTGAATATAAGCTCTCAAGACCATTGTTTCTCCTTAAGATGATGAATTCTCTAGATCTACCTTCCCTTCTACCTCGCCTGTTCTCTCTTGCACAATTATAAAAAATACTCCCCATAACAAATGTACAACAAATTACAGTTTACAATATGCTGCACCATACATTATTATAGCAGATCATCAGCGCTGAGAAGAAAACAGGATAGCTATCACTTTAATTTTCTTTTACAAGTAAGGAAACTGAGGCTCAGAGAGGCTACGGGGCCAAAGTCACAGTAGGAAGCAGGGATCAGTTCCTTCTTTCTAAAGCACCGACCATGCTGGTTCCTAATGTGGCCCTGCTTTTGATGCCAAGTTCATTAATAGATCATTTAAGCCATAAACAAAAGCATCATCTTGGCTGTCTAACAAGTATAAATAGGCATAGACACCACAAACAAACAGTGGGAGCTCACTAAAGGGATTGCCACTCACGTGCACCCACTCTGGGTGGCTTGGAACCCGGGGCCTAGCGGAAGCAATCTAGATAGAACTAGTGTTACCTAATTGTTGTAGAATATTCTACCTGATGACAATTGACCACATCTTAAAAATGTACTCTGTCTCTCCTCTTGATTTATTATCTTTCTGCTTATCCATGGCTACTCATATTACAGAGATGAGGTGGTCATTCAAGAGTGTGTTTCTAAATATCCGTATATTATCCTCTGCTATAAACACAAAAGCACTTAATTCACCAAGAACTGTGCTATAAGGTCTCCATAATTTACAGGTTCACTAGCGATGACTTCTATTATACAGGGATACAAGTATTAATATTACATTTTAATTACAAATAAGCAAGTGCTTCTCAACCGGGAACAGCTTTCTTCCCAGAGGACATTAGGTGATGTCTGAGATACTGTGTGGGAGGGGGCCGCTATTGGCTCCTAACGGGTAGTGGCCAGGGATGCTGTTTAACATCCTGCAATTCACAGCTCAGCCCCCGCACAAATGACCAGCAGGCCCCAAACGGCTGTAGGGCCAAGGTTGAGAAGCCCTGAAAGAACGGTATGGTCACAACTCTGCAAAAACAGCTGGGAGGTTCAGGAATGTTACAGCAGAGCAGCTGAAGCCAAGTGCCCCCACGCGGGAAGTACAGTGTCCCCAGAGGGTCCGGATGACGATGAGCACCACTGTGCTCAGGGACCTCCGAAGGAATCCTCAGTCCATGCGCTGCCTACATGGGTGTACCTGTGTTGGGAAAAAATTATTTTAGACCCACCATGACCATAGTGCTTACCTGCATACCTTTGATGGCACCAAAAATGAACACGGAATTTCCTTTTTCTCCAATTTCCCCAGGAAGGCCCTGAAAAATAAACATATTCACTTAAAAGATGAGAAAAGCATATTCCTATTTCCACATTTTATTTTCCATGTGAGTAATACTGAGTTGCCCCATAAAATTTTAGCCATTTTCACGACTCGGGCTCCTACAGAGAACATGCAGATGCCAACGTTAACCCCTCCCAGAAGGGCGCCTGACTTTGCCTCCAGCGGGACCTACAAATGGCTTAACGGCACGTCCACCATCAGTTTCCTGGGGAAATCAGGTTGCCTACGCAGGCAGCCCTTGCTTCGTGCGGTTCCAACGTGCCTGCATTTCAGTCCCACGGTTTAGTTACATGGCACAAGTCCTCCGACTAAATGGCTCAAGTTTCAGTCATCCCGGTGCATTAACTGAGTAACTGCATGGAGCACGAACTTCACTGCTCTCTGGGGGCCCCCAGGGCACTCAGAAGTAACAGATAGGAAGCATGGTCACTGACCGACCACATTACTCCTTTCACAGTCCACGACGCCTGGTCACGGCACATCTCTTAGTTCGCACACCCACACGAACAGCAGCGTGTAGAGCTGTGCTGACCCTTATTTCAGTTACAAACCCAATGACAAGGCACAAGGACGAATCACTAAGAGAGAGAATCAGCCAACCAAGATGCAAATGAAGTGAGGAGACAACATGTGACAACGTGGGAAGGGCCGTTCGCACAGAGCGTGAATGGAGCAACCGAAGAAATGGCTGAGCGTGCACCTGCTGTCACGTGAGCCAGAAGAACTAGTGAAGACAAACTGGCCGACCTTAGAAAGAGGGACGTGGTTGTGACCAACAGGATGAAGATGAGCCAGAGGAAGTGGCACAGACAGAAAACGGCACGTCGAGAAACTCTCAGAAATATTCCACAGCATGGACACTGACCCAAACATGGAAAAGAATATGACGATGCACCAAAGCACGGAAAACACACTTCACGTTACAAGTTACGTGACGAGAAGACCAGCACCGTTCACACTACTTGCGATAAGCTTTTACAAAGAACGATCGCTTTAATTCTCCACGTGTCTAATGTTTTAAATTACAGGGTACTAAACATTAGGTTATTTTTTAAGGTTCCCTACATATTTATAACTACAAATAATCATCTTTGAGGCTTTAACAACACATTTTAAAGGACAGGAGACAGTGCTAATTTTTTCCCTTGTGTGTTAAGCTTGCTCTGTGTGGTTTCAGCACCTGCGATCATTTCAGGTCTCACGCTGCAGAGCCCAGTGAGGACTGCCGGCGTGCAAGTCCGAGTAAAGAGAGAGAGAGAGCTGCTCTGTCCAGGGACCATTGCGGCAAACCTCAGTCCCCCGGGCAGGACCCCACGCCGCTCTCCTGAGCACTGACAGACACTCGGGAGAAGGAGGCTGGATGCCACCTGAAGTTCTAGGAGACACGCACACGCTGAGCAGACTGCACCTGAGCCGGGGTTTGGACACCAAGGGTGGCCGAGAAGCGGAATGCTGAAAGCTGGCTGCTGTTCTTACTCGACAGCCCAAGAAAGGTGCGAGTGTGGAGATTCGTTCTGAGTTCTGCATTCAGAGCAATCCCACCGGAGTCTGGGGCAAAAGGAAAACTCGTCGGAAAACAGGATGACCCTGACCGTGAGGGGGAGAGCATCTCTTAGAGGGAAACTCGGGAAATGATTTTTAATCAGGGAAGTGGAAGGGCTGAAAAACAGTCACAGAAAGTCAGTTTTGGAAGGTCAAATCATCTCCAGTCTTTATGTGAGAACAAGAAAAAGAGAGAAAGGGAATGTGAGGGGTAGAGGAAAGTGTACTTCTAACTGAAGTTATGTTTAAATAAAAGTCTAAAATTCTGAAGACAAAAAAACACCTAAGAGCAGTAAAGTGCTCTCAGGTGCTAGATAATGTCAACTGTTTCTGGACATCCATCCCAATCCCCTCCCGTGTAGCTACTGCATTATGGGGACTAGAAAGTGAAGAGCAACACTTCCCAGAATTCTTTGCAGCTGGCTGTGAATTAGGTTCCACCTCAGGGAGGCACTTAGGCGACCTGCGGGGCAGAGTGTGGGAGACATCCTGTTTCTGTACTGCAGACAATGCCAAGCAGAAAGGCAGAAAGGCAGAAACCTGCGTGTTTGCGGGTGTCCCCATGTGTCCCCACGTGGGGACGACAGAGCAGCTTCCTGACCTCTGGCTACCTCAGGGAAGCATAAACCTTTGAAATCAGCGGCCTCATGGTGGCCCCTGAGTTCCACTCCTCCCACCATTAAAATAGTGCCAAATGCCCTGTATTAAGTCCCTTTCTGTTTGAAATACCTAGAAGGATATACTTATGGGTCTGCAGTGAACCCTGAATGATAAACAGCATAAGCTTTGCTAACAGGCCTCCCTGATCCCTATCACAGCAGCCAGGGGCATCTTAATGGTACACAATCAGGTCATCTCGATTCCTTCCTTAAAACCATCCACAGTTTCACCCTCCCTGAACCCTGGTATTAACCGAGGAGCCACCCGGCCCTGCGCACTGGTACTAACTGTGTTTCTTTTACCCATGGAGTCTGTTCCCACGGTATGGCCTTTCCCTTAAGATTCCCATTAGGATGAGCTACGGGTGACTTACTGGGGGGCCTCTGGGACCAGGAGCTCCTCTTTCTCCCGGAAACCCTGGATCACCTCTTGACCCGTTGTAGCCATTCAAGCCAGGTTTGCCTCTGGGTCCGGGAGGCCCTGGGTGCCCCTGCAGGAAACAGAGTGAAGAGCGAAGCATTTGTTTTGCAGGAATGCTATGACACCAAGGTTATGCAATATGGGTGCCCAGAGTATGGCGATCGTGATTCTCATGCTGCTTCATTTGGGGAGACTTCCTTCCCCATCCCCACAAGCACTATGAAACACAGCCGAAATCAACAAAAAAATTTTAATATGCCCCCCCATTTAAACTCACTCAGTTTGGAGTATTCTGGGAGATTTGGGAGACCTTTCTTTAAACCCTTAGAAAGATTAATGAATAGTAAAGCCCCTAAAATACTTCTTCCTTCTTTTATTTGGTTTTCATATTAGAAATGAGAATATGAAACCCATTTCCAAAGTCAGGACTCACCAGCAAGTGAAAACTTTCATTATGAGTATATATCTATTTCCAGAATATCCTACTTGACAGGTATGTCTAGCTCAAATTTTGGAATGTTTTTCTCTAGCCTATTTGAAAACCTTGCTATTTGAGGCATATATTTCGGTATATGAGTTACTCTACAAAACTGAAATATAAGCAGTCTTTTTATTCACTGACATGAAAAAATAAAGAATTTTATATATATTAATTTATATATCTATATAAGGGGTTTGAGGAATGTTTCTTCCTTCTTTAAAAAAAGTGAAGAAAATGTAGGGATACTTACAGGGATGCCATCCAAACCTGAAAATCCAGGAACACCAGTTGGACCCTAAAATTCCAGACAATAAAACAAATTTATAAAAGCTACAAAGTTATTAGACTGGTTTACTTGAAAACATAAGTAATTAATGCTCATTTCTTTAAAAAACAAACACCCTTAGCGGTGATTGTTATCTATCTTTTACAAGAGCTTCAGTGCCAACATTTAAGAATCAACCTGCTGAACTTTCTTTTTCACTGAGGAAGCCAACGTAGCAGTGCCAATTCAGTGAAAATATTCAACACGCTGTAAGCTGGAAATTCAACTTCTCAGAAATATCTGTCACAGACAAACCAGTTCTTAAATGTGAACACAGGCGATGCCCAGGATTGTTTTCCCACGCTTCTCCTCACAAAGTTTGGACAGGGCCTCCAGTTCTCATCAACGAAGAAACCATACTTCTATCCATTCTACAGCATGTTATACAGTATTTTTAGAGGAATAAGTTTAGTCTACACAGGTGGATGTGGAATGACATTTAAGTCACATGGTTGAGAAGGAAGGGAGGGAGGGAGGAAGGAAGGGAGGGAAGAAGAGGAAGGAAGGAAAGAAGGAAGGATGGAGAAAGAAAGAGAAAGAGGAAGGAAGGAGGGAGGGAGGGAAAGAAAGAAAAAGAGAAAGAAAGAAAGAAAGAAAGAAAGAAAGAAAGAAAGAAAGAAGAGAGAGAAAGGGAGAAAAGAAAGAAAAAGAAAGAGAAAGAAAGAGAAGGAAAGAAAGAAAGAAAGGAAGGAAGGAAAAAAGGAAGGGAGGGAGAGAGAGAGAGAAAGAGAGAAAGACAGGCTCAGCATGATAACACATAGTATCATTTCGGTTTTTTGAGGAACCATGAAAGGGTACCACTCCCCCCGCCACAATCATGCATCTACGTACACAGAAGAGATCTGGAAAGACATGCTCCTCTGGAAAGGGGTAAGAGAAGGAGGGCTGATTACCAATGAGGGGTTTAGACTTAATTTATTGTAACAAGCAAGTAGGTACTGCTGGTGATTATAAAAACAAACTGGCACAGCAGTGCTGGTAGGAGGTTACTAGGAACCTTTCCCTCAAGAAGAGGTTTACCTTGTCTCCTCTTTCACCGGCTGCTCCAGGAGGGCCGCTGTCCCCTCTCATCCCTTTCTCTCCTGGAATCCCAATGGGTCCTGGAGGTCCTGGTGGTCCAATAGGACCCTGGGGCCCTGGTGGTCCTGGTTGTCCCTAAGAAGGAAGATTAAAAAGGGAGGTGGGCCGATTCTTAAGTAGCGTCTTCTAACACAAATACAAGGTCACCGGGGCTTACAGAAGACTGAAAAACTAGAGATCAGGCAAACTCTAATACAGAAACACAAATGATCGATTCATCACAAAAATAAGCAACAGAGACACTGCCTTGTTCAACCTGACTTGTAGCAGTACAATAAACTTAAATCACCGCATGTGTACACACTTATCTATAAACCGACAATAGTTCTCCTGCTACTTTCATTCTGTCTATGATATGTATCAGTCTTGTGCCATTTGGTGAAGCCAGGAACTTAAAAAGAAAAACCTCCAAGTCTAAGTACCGTAATGTTAGTGACACACAAGCTAAGGGGAGTAGGGGGAGGTGACTGCCAGAACTTTCGTTCACTTCCAACGGCTCAAGATTCCGTGTGGAGGCAACATTCCTTTCTGTAGCTGCTTCTACATCCTTTCTTACGCGTGAGTGTTCCGAAGGAGGCAGTCATAGGTGTCCCATTACGTTTATGCAGCGCGGCTTTCCTTGAATGAAAAGGTCACCTCTTACTTTGGGTGTAGAAGTCTCGTGAGCTCGGTTTCCCCAGAAACCCCCAGGGGGACCGTTTCTGGCACAAGGATGACAGACTCCCTGCTGCCAGCGACAGACCGACAGACCGATGCGCTGGATTCACGCTCAGTGACCGCCCCTCGGGAGCAGCCCCAGGTCTCCCAGCTCCGTCTGTGCTGGGAGAGGCTGGTCTGGCCTCCCACGAGCGCCCCCTCGTGGCCCCCAGGTCACTGCTCCCTTCTCTGTCCCAGGCTCCTTCCATCATCATCCTCATCCTCATCATCATCCTCATCATCATCATCACTACTGTTAATTGAGCATCCATAAAAATACTAAAAGCTTAGAATGTTCAAGGAACTTTAAATGTATAAATGTGTTGCAATAAAAGAACCGAAAAGTATAGGATATAATTACACGGGCGCAAACCACGTGGGGTCATTCTGAGGGCAAATCAATTTATTCCAGAGCGTGCACAAATTCTCAACTACAGTCTGAACGTAAGAATATGTAATGACTTCAGCTGGCCTTTCCTACCTATGTTAATTAATCTCACTTAGTTACTTAATTACCATATGTTAGAAGTTCCCTTTTTTCCTAAATATAAGGCTCAGGAAATAACTGGGGTGTTTTGTTTTTGTTAAGTTTAGGAATTACCTTTTTATCTTCCATGTAATTTATACAAAAGCTCCTAAATTATCTTTTGTTTGAATGCTGTATTATGTAGAACAACAAAATGCACGTTTGCACATAAAAGGGTAAGTGGGAAAGAGACGGCCAATTAACTGGCTATAAATCTCTCTAATGTGTTTCATTTTAGGCCCGCAAGGCTAAACCCAGCGAGCTAATGGAGAAGAAAAAAAGAGAGGAACGCTTAACACAGCACAAGAATCATAAGACTCTATTCAGTGTGGCCAGTGTCCTGGTCTGAGAAAGCACCATCTAAAACACTCCCACGGAGAAATACATCAGGGATGGCCGTTTGCATCATCAAATTCCTCATCCCCATCTCCTCCCTCCTCCTCTGCTTCCGGTCGGTCACGCTGACTTCCTTGCCATTCCTGAGCAAGCTCTGTCCTTTCTCAGACTTCGGTGGTCTGTCCGAGAAGTGTCCCTCCAATCCCCGTAAGTCATCTCTCAGTGCCCACCATGGGGAGATTCCCCGATCTCCTGCCCGCGCCCCCCCCCACACCCTTCAGAACGGGATGCCTCTCCAACACACCTCTGTGATAACACTTCTCACCTGTTCCTTCCATCATCTCCATCCTCCCAACCCCACAGCCGCCAGGCCAGGCCGTGAGCTCCTGGAGGGCGGAGGCTAGGTGCCCAAGGTCGGGATAGTAAGAAAGGCAGAGGACAGTAAATACTTAGTAAAATAATAGGGTCAGACCCCACCCGCCCACCTCAAGGGAAGTCTGAGTGACAGGAAAAGGAGCTGCTTTCTAGTGTTTCTGAACTGCCATCCCCACAGATCTAGCTGAAAGCTGCTTTGCGAACCTGCAACGAAGATGATGACGATGAGGAGGAGGAGGAGGGTCCCGCCCCAAAGTGAGCAGTTCAGCAGCCCACCCTGAGCGCTGGCCCTGAACGCAGCTCTGCCGGCGTCCTTTGTTGTCGAAATAGAACAGGGGCCTCGTACGCCTTTGTTTCGACCATGTTGAACAGCAAACACAACCTCTACTTTGCAATTGGAAAAACTACCATAAAACCCTAAACACCTACGTTTCAAAGGTTGTTGAAAAACGTCATTGTTTGATTGAAATGTAGTGCTTTTTTTCCATATTAACAGGTATTTTATTAAAGGATAAAATTTTTAAAGAAATACATGAAACCTTGTACAACAGTATTAAATCTGTCAGAAAGCTGCTCATGAAAATTTCCCAATTACCCATCTTCAAAACAGTCATTGTTAGCTCGCCAAATGTGAGTAATCTGATTTACCCATAACAATGCAGACAATAATTCCATTTCATTAAATTACCTCATTTAAAGAAGGGGTGAGAAAAAAAAACAACTATGGTTATGAGTAGATCCTTGAGCTTACTCACTTACTGACTATAATAGAATTAACTTCAGAATAAACAGGCATAAGTAACAGACCCAACATGGATATGTCTGTAACAAAAGAATCATTAAATAATCACAGAAATTTTGTAGTTTTTAAAAAATGTTTTTAAAGAAATATTCTACTCCTAACCATGCACCCTTCACCCACAAACAATAATGTGATATACAATTAATTGCTACACTGCATTCCATCCAACAACAACAAAAAAATGCCCCGTGGAATGACTGGCTTCCACATGTGGCGTCCTGGTTTTTTTTTTTTTCCTACGGTGTGCACAGAATTACCTCTGTGGTTTACAGCTTTCCGTGACAGACAGTGAAGTCAGAAAACGAACCCCCCCGCATCCAGAAATGACCACTGGAGACTTTGGCATGCCCTGTGAAGCCACCGGGCCATCTTGCCTTCCTCTGAAAGGCCAGGCTGGCACTGTGTCATCAGACCAGCAGAGGCACCTCCCCGCTGTGGCTACAGCAGCAACAGCGCCAGGCTCTGGGGCCAGCTGTGCAAATGGAGGACAAAGGCCACCACGGTGGGCGGAGCATTCCTTTTCGGATTCCGTCCTTGTGAATCGGCCACGTCGATCTCGTTTCTTGAACAGGACTAAGATCCAATGATTTTCATTTCACAGCTTGGTAGAAGAAAATCAACAGATAAAAGAAAATATACGTTTTCAAAATCAAATCTTCAATCAGGTTTTTGGGCGGCCACTGATGTGCTTGTCCCCTGGGGACCCAACGCTGTCCCCAAACAAGGAAGCCTGGGGAAGCAGAGATTCGAACCCATTTCCTCTGACCTCAAAGTTGCTGCTTCCCTCCCTACCCCAGTCGTTCTAACCTCCCTGTCCGACAGACCCTCATGTCCACCCTGAAACAGTGAACTCGCCTTTTTTGTTTTCTTTTTTCTATTCTTGTTTTGTGCCTACTCCTTCAGTAGCTGCTTGGATGCCTTACAGTCAACTTCTTGAGGCCAGGGATCCACGTTCGTTATTACTTGAACCTTGGCCACTGCCTTGCGCAGGATCAATTCTACACACACTCATAGAATGCTGAATCAGTGAAGACTTTTATAATTAAAACTAACGAAGCAGCAGCATTCAGCGGCCCCCTTCCTCCTTTTTTGAATGCTCGGTTGTAATGCAAACAAACGGCCACTAGGTGGCAGGATAACATCACTCACACCCTGGAAAGGGCTCCTGCGCGCCAGGCCTTCAGCTGGTGCCTCCAGGGTCCTCCCCTGTCACCGGGGAGACAGCTGGAGATCGGACGGGTTACAAAAATAACGTGTTATTGGAAGATTACACAGCGTGAGGAGACTAAGCTCTGGTGGCAGACCTTTTTCCTGCACCCAGTTTCCCTCACTTGTTCACGAGGGAATCCTTCCGCCAGTTTAGCCTGGGGTAGCGCTGACTGAGGATTGTCAGAGGGCTCCTTAAGGGACAGCTGTGGAAAGAACGCCGCTCAGAGCTGGAAGACAGGGCCTTGCCGCTGAACAATAAGGTCCCGCTTGGACCAAGTGGAGGAGTGGTTAGCCCATGTTTAAAATGGCACAATATCAGCCCCGCATCCTACACCAGTTGCGGGCACCGAAGGAGGAGGCAGCGTTGCGAGTCTCAGTAGGCTCCCAGAGCGCCAGGTTCCAGCTGACTCTCCCACCTTCCTCCTTGCTCTGGTCTCTCTCCGGTGTCCCTGACCCCGGCCCTCTCTGTGTTTTCCTCCCTGCTCTGTCCTCCGTGCTGTTCCCTCACCCGCGGTGGTGGGGTTCTCCCTGCAGCTCCGCAGGGCTGCCCTGCCCTCTTCTCACTTTCTCCTGCGCAAACCCGTCCATTCCCAGAAGGTCAATTGCATGCCACTCTACATAGTCACTGCACTTCTCTTCTGAGCCCAGACCTCTCTTTCTGAGCCCTGGTCTTTTATCCACCTGACCTCAAGCTCCATGAATCCAAATCTGGACTCGTGGGTGTGTGTGCTCACTGCCCCTCTCACACACGTGCTCATCAGGCATACATCACTGTGCAGGCAGCTGCTGTCTGCAGGCAGTGCAGTGATGCTGTCTGCAGGCAGTGCAGTGATGAGACGCCCCAGCACCTCTAACACCCATGGCTCACTGCCCCACACAGAGTCATCCCCTCCTTCTTGTCAATTCTGTCTCCCAAATATTCCCATCACCCACCGCCTTCCCCCCACCTCTGCACGCACTCACCCCCTTGCTAAGCCACCATGACCTTTCACCTGTAGCAGACTCCTAACAAGTTTTTCCTAATATTATTGTCCCACCACCACTTACTCTCCAAACAGCAGCCAGAATGATCTCACATGAATTCAACCTGCCTCCACTCTTTCTAAAACCTCTCAAAGCCTTCCTCATCAC